AGAAAATAGAAATATATTCATTCAAAGATATGCAACTGACTGTCAGCAAAACAGATCTCTTTCTTTTTCTCACATTCATACCTGCAACAAGGCTAATCATGTCACCTGGAAAAACTTTTTTTTTTTTAAACAAATATTTTTTTGGCTGCAGAACCCATTCCGTGCCCCATACGCTTCACTGTGCAAAGGCGTCCAATGAAGACCTGGGGTATACAGTATGATATAGATAAAAGTGAAGTTGTTCAGGCAAAAGCAGCAACACTGGGAAAAGCATGGAGTCCAGCCTACTGGCTGCCCAAGCAGGGAGCCCACCTTCTAGGCACTTTTAGGAGTTGAGGATGGAAGGTTACCGTTTGCTGAGACACAAGAGTGCGATGAGAGAGCTGGACTCAGGGCATGACAGCTCCATAGTGCTAGTCCATACTAGCACTAAAATGTCTCTGGTGTAACTAAGAAAATGGCACCCATTAACCTCAGTTTCCTCCCCCCCCCCACACACATACACACATACAGCTCCTTCTATAACCCATGCAATGTATATGGGGAGCCCCCCAAGAGTGCCCTAGATAATCCTTGAGTGGAAATTTAAAGAAACAATGTTTATAGAATATCAATTTGAATGGACGCAAAATTCTTGGTAGCCTGGGACAACCATGTCTTGGCCTGGCCCTGCAAAGACAACAAGGCTTGGTTTCCCAGTCCTGCCACTTACTGAGCTGTGTGCTCTTGGGAAATTGTTCATGGTCCATAGTCTCCGTTTCTTTGTGTAGAGATAGTAATGTCTGCTTCGTGGGCCTTTTGTGACAATGAAACCTAACCGAAGTGAGTGATGACTAGTAGAGCTAGAGCTATAACACTGTCACCTGGGCAAACAGAGCGAAATGTACTCTGACGCCGTCAGGAGGGTTAGGGACAAGGGTGTCCCTGCTCAGCCACAAAGGGGCTCCTAGACCCAACATTCACTTCCAGTTGCCAGTGATGTCAGTGGGGTAGACCTGGGTCTGAGACAGACCTGCCAACGGGGCTGGGCTTTCTAAGGGTGGAGGGAGTTTAAACATTTGTACAATTAAAACATTATTGAAAAGTTTTGTTCCTCCTGAATTTTAATGTCCAGGGTCAATGCCTTGGTCATGCCATTTTAATTCAAGCGCTGGTTGACTTAGTATTATTTCAAGACTGCTCCCAATTTAATCTTCACAATTAGCTTTCAGGTTTGGACCTGTATCTTCATTTTACAGATGAGAGTAAGGTCTTTCATATGGTTGGAGATTGTCAACCTGGAGGCAAAATGAAATGTTTGTGGCCTGTATACAGGCATGCAGACTTGTGCTTAACTGTAGAGTCAAAGGCAAAAGTTAGTATATTAAAAAGATGGAATGGGTAGGTTTGTCATGAGAAAACTTCACAGAGCTTTATTATGAAAGCACACGCTTTGGGTCTTTGTTGCGATTCGTATTTTAAAATCTCATGTCTCTTGTCCGTGTTAACTTTTGATCCAATGAGAAGGAGCTCCGACGGTGGAGAAGGATTGGCACTTAGCTGTCAGCTTGTCTAATGCTTGGAGTGTGGATTTACGGAAATGAAAGTCTGGAGAGGTTGACTGACAGATGCAAGTGGCAGAGCCGGGACCGGAACCCAGGACCCCTCGGACACCCAGGCCTCGTTGGTCCACATGAGCTCTCTGAGCTAGCACATTAGCTACCCTTTTCTTCCAGGGTGGCCGCAATGTACCTTGTCACCAAATCGCAGAAATGTTTGACTACTTTCTAGGTTTCTTTGGACATCAAATAGGTTTCCCAGCACCTCCCCACCCCATCCATTGGTGATTGCTCATGCAACACAAAACAGTTTTAATGTGACTCTTAAAAAAATATTCCATGGTCCACCTATTGCTGTTTTCATACCACTCCACCCTCCCACTCCAAGTGTCCTTCATGTTGAAACATGGAGGCCGACAGGACAGCCACCTCCAGACAGCCGGTCACTGACTGCTGGTTGCTGCCATTTCCTAGTAGCCAGAAAGCTGCAGGCTTAAGTGTATGGGCTGACAGTGCTCCGATCTGATCACTAAATACTTGTTTGACATTACTGACCTCTTGTGATAGTAAAAAACCAGTTCCCTCATTGTACCAGGATACTTTAGGATATGGCAGTGAGAGTTGAGATGGACAAACATGTGGTCTTTCCTCTACGTGGCTCCTGGGGCTTGCTTCATATTACTTGTCTTTAGAGATACAACAATCAGTTTATACAAGAACATACTTGTTGCTTAACATGTTTTTTAGCATAGCTCTGAAAACATTTACTTTAAAAACACATTGATAATTCTCTTTGTACACATGACACTTCTTTGGAATTTTTCTTCCTATGTGATACTTAAGTAAAAATAGAATAATTAGTGTTCTGTTTTAGGGACCAATCTCTCCTTTCCTCCACTAGAATATATATAATTTTTTTTTCCTTTGGAGTCTTATAAAATCAGGTCACAGAGAATGTGTTGCCATGGTAGAGTCTTATTTCAGTTTCTCTATTCTTCGGGAGCCTTCAGTTGCTTCACATCCGGACTCTTCTGGTTCTCTGGTTCTTTTCTTTCTTTGTTGCTACCCAGCATTGGCCATCTTGTTTTGATGTCTGATTCCTGGCTCCCCTGGTTGCCCACCATGTTGTCAAGCTGCTGAAGCCATTTAGTACAAACCCTGAGAGTTCACTTTGAAAAGCGTTTTTTCCTCCCTGCCAAGAAGGAAGAAAATAGTTGTAACAACAGAACATTGTCCTTGTTTTAGCCATGTTTGAAAAAAGATTTAAATTTACTTCTATTTGATGTTTATGGAATGTATACTTTGTGTCAGGACCCGTGTTAGTTCCTCTAGGGAGAAATGGCAAAAAAAAAATAGGTATATTGTTTGTTATTATTTTTTAAACCTTAATCCCTCCCTCCACCCACAATTCTTCTTTCGAGCAGTCCCTTCAGGTTCTGGAAAACAAATGTTAATTGCATGGGTCCAGGGATGGCCTTTCAATCCCTCTGAAATCCCCAACTTTTTCTCGTCACTGTTTTTTAAGTTCTTTTTGTGTCTTAAAAATTCTTTTTCTTTTTTTTGAGAGAGAGAGAGTAAGAGTGTGCATGCAAATGGTGGGGGGAGGGGATGGGGAGGGACAGAGGCAGAAGGAGAGAAAAAGAATCTTAAGCATGCTCCACACCCACCTCGGAGCCCGACAGGAGGCTCCATTTCATGACCCTGAGATCATGATCTGAGCTGAAATCAAGAGTTGGACTCTTAACCAACAGAACCACCCAGGAAGGCACCCCCAAAAATTCTTTCTTGATTATAAATTCCCCTCTATCTACTAGTACCATGCCTCTTTCCTTTATAGTCAAGTTCCTGGAAAGAATAGTTTATATTCAGTATCTTTGTATTTCTCTTTTCTCAATCATCTTTTTCTCAAGCATACATCTATTTGCTTTCTGTCCAATCAATGAAATTATTCTACAAGGATTACTCTTACTATCTACTGCTGCATAACAAACTACACCAGAACATAATGGCTTACAGCAGCAAACATGATCTATTATCATCTCTCTTGAGTATGTGGGTGATTGGGCTCAACTGGGGGTGGTGGTTCTGCTTCACGTGGCATTGGGTTGGGTTGCAGTGATCTGTAGGCTTGACTAGGTTGGAATGTCCAAGATAGCTTACTCACATGGAGAAAAGTTGGTTCCGGTGTATTGGCTAGTTTGGCTGGGGCTGTTGACCAAAACGCCTTGGTTTTTCTTCCATGTGGTCTCCCCATGTGGCTTGGACTTCTCAGCATGGTAGCTGGGTTCCCAGGGGTCATTCCCAAGCACAAAGGCAGAAACTGAAGATCTCCTAAGGATTACCTTAGACAGGTTTGTAGTCTTACTTTTCCGCACGTTCTTTTGGTGAAAACTGGTCATAGGGCCAGCCAAATTCAAGAGGAGGGGACGTTCATGTCATGGTCATATTGCCAAAGAACTGTGGGATGCTGCAGCTACAACCACAGTTAGTTACTAAGGATGTCCTAACTGGTGTATCCATATTGTTGAGTATTTTGCAACTATCACAGAGATAGGAATAGCCTATATTAAAGTAGAAAAAGGTCTGTGGTATATTATTATTATTTTTTTAAAGATTTATTTATTTATTTGAGAGAGCGAGAATGAGAGAGAGAGAGAGAGTACATGAGAGGGGGGAGGGTTAGAGGGAGAAGCAGACCCCCCACCGAGCAGGGAGCCCGATGTGGGACTCGATCCCAGGACTCCAGGATCATGACCTGAGCCGAAGGCAGTTGCTTAACCAACTGAGCCACCCAGGCGCCCCGTCTGTGGTATATTATTAAGGGAAAATGCATAAAAATTTTATAGTATAGTATAGAAATGTGTGTATACATTTGCATATGTTTGTATGAGCATAGTGCATATGGAAGGATATGCTTCAAACTGCCCACATTGGTTATATTGAACATGCCTTAGCATTATAATCAATAATCAGTTTAAAGGTAAGCAATGGTATTCAGAAATCAATTTTAAGACCTGATAGGAATCTGTAGACAAACAATAAAGGTAGGAGATAATGTAGGAGAATATTAGTTTAAAGGCTTAGGGAATGTTTACAAAAAATGGGAATCTCTTTTTTTGTGTGTCTATTGCATGTTTATATATGCATACAAATAAATCTGTAAAGATTTAGAACAAAATAATTGCAGTAATAATTTCTGGAGGACAGATGATTTTTCTTTTTCTTTTCCCCTTTAGCTTCTCTGTATTACACAATTTTAAAAACAATGAGCACATCTTATTTTCATAATAGAATAACATTATTTCTAAAAATGGAAGATAGTACATAAAAACTGGTACCATTACGGTGTCTGTTATCTGAATACTCAAGACTTGAAAAAGCAATAATCACACAAAATTATTATAAAATGAATCCATTTGACAACAGCAGTTGTCACATAACATTTTTGTTCCTTTCTTACAGCAAAGACTGAAGGAAGAGAAGGAAGCCAAACGGGCACGTTTGGATGGTAGGCATGACTACTTATTTGCGATTGTAGCTTCCTGTGTAGACCTGGACAAAACTGAAGTGGAAGATGCCATTCTTGAGGGGAATCAGGTGAGATGCATTTGATTTCTCACTGACTTGATTATGGAGGGCACAGAGAGTCTGTTGACCCAGTCCTATGGCAGGATCTGTGCTGGGCTGTGGACGGGGTGTCTGTTCTAACACGGGTAAGACTCCATTCTGATGGTACAGGTGGTGGCATATTGACCTTAGGGCTCTCCAGCTCTTCATGTTGAATGGGGTACTTACAACAGTCATTTAAGTTCCATGGTTCTGACAGCAATGTCTGCATGTTTCTGAATCCAATGAAGCTGAGTTCAGGTGCCATCTTGGAACCTGAGTTTGGAGAATAGAGTCTTCTCTCAGCTTCTGATTTATTGTGTTTTACATGTATCCTGTTCTAACCTGGGTGATTGAATTGTGCCATAGTTTCCTGGCTTTGACTTTGGTTTGGCAGCTGAATCTGGTTTCTTTTGTTCCTGAACTTGACTTCCATTTTCTGCCATGATTTCCTTCCAAAATCTGGGGTGTGTTTTGATTTTGGAGAGGGAAGATCAAAATATGGGGGCACCATATTTCCTGAGCACCAAGGAAGGCATATCTGGAGTGCTATGATGCTTGCTGAATTCTTGTTGTTGTTGTTGTTGTTTTATTTGTTTGTTTGTCTTTTTAGGCATAAAAATAGAGAGGGTGAGTCTTTTCTATTGATAGGGGTGTCACACTATTGATAATGTTATTTAGTGGTATGTTTATAAATGTTTAACAACCAGCTTTGAGCAAGAGGGTAGACGGAGGCACTATTTTGAGTGTTTGCTGATTTCTGTGATGTAATACTCCCATCATGGCTGATTCCAGACTATCAACGTGATGTTACTAAAGGCTTAGCTGGAAAGAGTTGTGATCAATTGCCTGTCATGAACCAGTATGAGCTGGCTCCAGCACTCCCCTGGCTTTGTTCCTTCCTACCATGTTACTCTGGCGGGGTCACTAAGAGTCAGTGGAACAATGAGGGATGGATAACACTAAAATGGCTCAACTACAGGATAGATCAATCAGGGATTGAGGAAATGCCCTTTTCCTCCCCTTTCTCCTCCTCATCACAGCTAACATTTGTTGAATATTTACCAGGCGTCAGTCTCATCTAAGTGACTTTCATCTATTATCCCATTTAATTTTCGTAATGCCAGGAGGTAGATAATTTTATTCCCCCAAAATGGTGGCATAGAAGGAGACAGAGTCACTTACCGGATTCAGTCTTAGAGAGATTGTGCCACATGTGAAATGCTTAACTCTGCCCCACTTCCCAATTCAGACATCTGGACTTGGGATCGTGCAAGTGGAATAAATGAGTAAAAGTCTGGAACTGTAGGAAGCCAAGTTAAACTGCCTTGTCATATTCAGGACCAGGAAGGTCAAAACCTGGAGGTTGAAAGAAAACATCCTTGCTTGGGCTCACAAGCAACGTAGAGGGGCAGGAGTTTCAATACTGGCCTCTTGGAAGTACCTCCTTCACATTCTTGGCTTGAAAGTTAATCTCAACGAAGGCATCCCATGCAGCCCCATAGTTCTCAATCAAGGAAGTGTAATGAAGGAGACAGGGCAACTTGCTCTTCCTTATATTTATATAATAGTTATGTCTATAATATGGGGGAAATTGAAGGGGGCTTATTTTTTCCACAGTTAAATTTTCAGACTAGAGTTTATCATTTGGAAACATTTTATTTTAAATTGTGGTAATGACATAGAACGTAAAATTTACCATCTTAACCTTTTTTTTTTTTAAGTAGGCTCCACATCCTACAACACTGAGGTTAAGACCTGAGCTGAAATCAAGAGTCGGACGCTTAACCGACTGAGCCACCCAGGCGCCCCATTAATCGTTTTTTTTTTTTTTTTTAAAGATTTTATTTATTTATTTGAGACAGAGAGAATGAGAGACAGAGAGCATGAGAGGGCGGAGGGTCAGAGGGAGAAGCAGACTCCCTGCCGAGCAGGGAGCCCGATGCGGGACTCGATCCAGGGACTCCAGGATCATGACCTGAGCCGAAGGCAGTCGCTTAACCAACTGAGCCACCCAGGCGCCCCCATTAATCGTTTTTAAGTATACAGTTCAGTACTGTGAAGTATGTTCACATTGTTGGGTAACCAATCTTCAGAACTCTTCGTCTTGTGAAATTGAAACTCGGTATCATCAAACAACCCATCCCCCCAGCCCCTGAAAACCACTATTCTATTTTCTGTCTCTCTGAATTTGACTACTTTAGATACCTCATATAAGTGTAATCATACAGTATTTGTCTTTTTGTGACTGGCTTATTTTATTTAGCAAAATGTCCTCAAGATTCATCCATGTTGTAGCATGTGTCAGAATTTCCCTCATTTTTAAGGCTGAATAATATTCCATCATATGTATATGCCACATTTTGTTTATCCATTTATCTGTTAATGAACAGTTGGGTTGCTTCCATCTTTTGACTATCGTGGATAATGCTGTGGTGAGCATGGGTGTACAAATATCTCTGCAAGATCCTGCTTTCAATTCTTTTGGGTATATACCCAGAAGTGAAATTTCTGGATCATAGAATAATTCTATTAATATTTTGAGAAATCACCATACTGTTTTCCATAGTGACTCTACCATTTTTACATTCTCACCAAAAGTGTACAAGGGTTCCAATTTCTCCACATCCTTCATAACATTTATTTTCTGGATTTTTTTTGATAGTAGCCATCTTAATGGACATGTAGATTTTATCCTTTTTCTTCTAATATGAATTTAAAACTGTGCCAATGACTTTAAAAGAAGTGCTTCCATTGGTAGTAGGCCAGTTGGCAGACCTTTAGTTGTACAGTGAAGCTCATGGACTAAGTTCTGGACTGCTGTTGGATGGAGTGTTCCATAATCATGTGTGTTCTTCTGGCATTTTTCAGTGATTATTACAATTTAATATTAATTGTCTCTAGTGTATTAGACTGGATTTTGAAAGGTGTGTTCTCGCTTTCTGAACTGCGATTGAGTGAAAACAAAACACTTCTATATTTATCTGCTTTCAACAGCTCAGCACTTTTGGAAATTAGCAAAAATGGAGAGACGATCTCTTTCAAATGTGTATATGTAGCACATCTTTTCATGATTAATTGAATTCCTTCGTTGAATTACATTTTTATTATGGTGAGGCATTTACTCTCTCACTGTTTATTATGTTGCAAAAAATATGATGCCTTCTCTATGGTTTCATTAGATGTAGTGTTATCTGAAAAAGAAAAATGACAGCAACTGCTGATTTAAGTATGGTTTCTAATTCAGCACGAAGTTGTGACCTTGCCTTTTCTTTTTTGCAGATTGAAAGAATCGATCAGCTTTTCGCTGCTGGAGGTCTTCGTCACCTTATATTTTACTATCAGGACATGGAGGTAACAGAAACAGGTATCCAAACTTGGTGTGATGTAACCCACAAATGTGTTGCTAGGTTCATCTGAGGATGGCATGAAGCAGAAGGCTACCCTCAGAGCTGACGGGGCCTCTTACGCTTCCATCTTGGCATATGGGACAAATGGGCGTCTGTGAGGTGAGGCCCAGGTTCCATTTTCTGCTCAAGGAGAGGGGGACAGATAATGATGGGTATCTAGCCTGGTTGTTCTAACTTTACTTGAGATATTTTGTCTCCCATTTCAGGCTGTGCTGGTAATTGAGGAAAAATAAAGTACTTTACATTTTGAGACTTCTTTTCCTTCCATGCTAGTTCATTCTATGCAGTTATGTTCTAGAACTTTTTATGGGCATCTGCTTCTTTTCTATATAGATACCATTTATTTTTAACATAGGAATTTTTGCCAATGAGCATAATGAGTTTTCTACTTAAATACCACATTATGTTTATTTTCTACTGACGATGATTCAAAGGAGTAATATGGAATGACAAGTTTAGTTATTTTCACTTAAGAAAAATTTGCAAATCTTTGTGTGGATTAAACTGGCATATCCCATTCTACTTTTATGTGGATTCATATAATTTTAAAGCCAAACTAGGGATATAAACAAAAATCTTATGATTATATTATTATATTCATTCTTTTATTACCTTTTTGAAGAAAAAGGAAAATAGTTATTGCTCTTGGCATATAGTATGGCTAATGGTTTTTTGTTTAAAAACTGAGAAAATTATGCATGCATGCTCTAAGTGATTGACACTTTTCTAGAATTATTCATCTGAAATTTTGTGGTCTTGTGCTCTCTCTCTGTGTCAAATAAAGAAATAAAATCTTTAAAAAAAAAAGAAAGTTCATTATACTTTGAGTGAAAAATCGAAATAATACAGAGATTTCTAATTCTATCCCAGATTGCAAAACATAAAGTCAGATGAAATGTTGAGTTCATCCATGAAATGTGTGCTGGGTGAAGTAAGCCTTTGTGTGTAAATCTGACATTGAACAAGAAGGGCTCATGGGATGTAGACACAATGCAAGTTCATTTTTGTTTCCCACTCTCCCTCTAAACCTTTTTCAGTGGGACTGGCTTTAATCTTTTGACCTTGGATTAAAATTCAGACCATTCCATGACTTTTCTGGATATTCTTAGGTAAGAAAAATTCCTATAGTTGCTTCACATTATAAGTACTATCTCAATTCAGAAACTAAAAAAAATTCCAATTGATCAAAATTAATTGATCTAAAGTTAAATATTCTTCACTCCTGGTCTTCCCCCTTCCTTCCACCCAGCAGGGACCTCAGAAGGCCAGTATTTGCCGTAGGAGAGAAGCATATGGTCCTCCTCTGTTTGTTCAGCTTATCCTTCCAGAAGCTCCTGTCCACATTGTGTTAACCACAGTTGCTGACTGCGTCAGGCTTGAAGCAGGGCAGGGAAAGAGGGGGAGAGGTGGGCAGGAGAGCCTGGACTTGACTGGCACTCTCACTGTCACAGTTGGCTGACCTTGATTCTCTGGGTCTTTGCTCTTGTGGGCCCTAGGTGGATCCTCCAGAGATGCTGCACATCCCACGGCGATGTGTTGTCCTCCTGATGAGAGCTATCTGCTGGTTATCTTTATTGGACAGGTTCACTGTCAAAACTCCAGTCCAAGTCCCTAGCCCAGCTCTGTGGGGGGAGCCTAGAAGAGGGTTCCTCCAAGAGGTTTTTTTTTTAATTTAAAGATTTTATTTATTTATTTGACAGAGAGAGACACAGTGAAAGAGGGAACACAAGCAGGGGGAGTAGGAGAGGGAGAAGCAGGCTTCCCGCCGAGCAGGGAGCCCGATGCGGGGCTCGATCCCAGAACCCTGGGATCATGACCTGAGCTGAAGGCAGACACTTAATGACTGAGCCACTCAGATGCCTCTCTCCAAGAAATTCTAATCCCAGGGTTTTGGGATTCAACTTCCAGTCCATGTCCTTCCCCAGATTTCTCCCTTGGCCCTGTCCTCCTACCCCAATAATCTTGCTTGAGCTACCGATTTACTCGGAGAACTAAAACTTTCATGGGCAGATAAGAGCACAGTGGTTGAGCTCTGCTTACCTAAATGATCCCCTCAATGAGCTGCATGCTTAGATGACCAAAAATGAATTTTCAAATAACAATAATGAGAATGCTTAGTGAGCGACGATTTTTATGTGCTTTTCTAAGGTCTTCACATGTATTAACTCCTTTAATCCTCACAACAACTCCAGATGCTTGGACCTAGTATTATTATTTGCATTTTTCAGATGAGAAAACCAAGGCCAGAAAGATTAAGTAACTTGCCCAAGGTCACATGGCCGGGAAGTGCAACCTGAGACTCAAGCCTTGGGAGTCTGGCCCTAGAGCTCACACCATTCATCACGATGCTCTCCTGGCTCAGCGGTGTCCTGACTCAGAGAGCCATACTGAGGGGACAGCAGGGGTCTGGAGTTTATAGTCAGAGCTGGTTTCTGATCTTGACTCTGCCACCTGTTGGCTGTGACTCGGAGGCAGGTCACAGCTGCCTTTAAAGGTTGTAGTGACTTCAGTAACGTAGACAATGTACCCAGCAGGGGAGCTGACACAGAGTACGAGCAATAGATGCTGTCTCCTCTCTCACCTCTTTATAGTATTGGTGAAACTAAAGTTCTTCTGCCCTTGTAGGACAGCTTGGCTCTCCAGGGGGAGTAAATCCCCTTTCTGAGAAGATTAAAAAGCCTAAGGTGTTCGTGACAGAGGGAAAAGATGTTGCTCTTACCGGAGTGTGTGTGTTCTTCATCAGGACTGACCCTTCCAGAGCCATCACCCCTGAGAACATCCATCAGGTAAGGGGCAAGAGCAGTCCTTTACCCCAAATTGCCAAAAATCACATAAATTCTACAAAAAAAACCCCTCACTATAGAGGTAACCGCTATGTTCATCAGGTATCTAAAACTACTTCCAAAGAAGTATTTCTAAAAGCATTCACAGCAAACAAGAGGTCATTTCCTTTAAATCTGTGGAGTCAGAGGACCTACTATTCAGTTTATTAACAAAAACTGATATAATATTGTATGTATGCATGTGCATGCATGTGTGTACGTGTGTGTAAAACATGAAGTCTTGCCTTTTAAACATAATTCCCCATACATGACTTACTTAATGGCAAATTTCATACATTTAAAGTAAGATTTACAATGATGGATGTATAATTTTATTTTTTCTGCAAAGTAACATGTAAATCTCCTCTGCCCTCAGTGGGTGCATTATCTGCTTGAAGCAAATAAACTGGTTCTGTTTAGTTCGTGCTTTTATTTTGAGGATTGCAACTTAGAATAGTATAAAGCTTATATCTTAACCAGGGTATCGAAAAAGTAATTTCCTGGACTTAAGAGACTGAATCTACAGACAGATCAAGGCCAGACCATATGTAAAACAGAATTTTGACCTACAACTGGCAGCAACCTGCCCAGAAAACCAAGCCCCTTCTCTATGAAACACCCCAGGTAGCCAGCCTGCAATGTGAGACTTGCAGGAAACCGGCAAGGAGGAAGCTCAGCAATAATAGCTGAAACGATTGGCCCGCATGGTCAGATCCTCGTTCATGACTGTCAGCCTCCTTCACTCTGGCCATACTCCCGGGCATACTTCCCTGGGACCAACCAGAGAAAGCCGAATATGCACCCCTCACCAATCACACAGGATGCCCTGCTTCTTGGAGCTGCTCCAGCTACCCCACACCCAAACCTGTCCCTTTTCGCCACTAGAAAGTTTTCCCACTCCCCTGCCTGCTTTTGAGCGTCTGCTGAAATGCAGGCGATGGTGACCGACTCTTGCTATAGCCAGCTCATAGCTTTTGCTCCTCTCATTTGGTTCATCTTCATTTACTTCTACAGGATAGTTGATGAATGAACAGAACTCAGAAATGACTCAGTAGCTATGTTGCCATTGCGGGTAATTTTGACAGTAGAGGATCTCCTGTTTTCCAGGAGGTGAGCTTTAATATGTTAGACACCGCAGATGGGGGCCTGCTCAATAGCATGAGGCGTTTGCTGTCAGATATCTTCATTCCCGCTCTCAAGGCCACGAGCCATGGCTGGGGCGAGCTCGAGGGCCTTCAGGAAGCATCCAGCATTCGGCAGGAGTTCTTGAGCTCTCTGGAAGGCTTTGTGAGCATCCTGTCGGGCGCCCAGGAGAGTCTGAAGGAGAAGGTAAGAATGAATAAGTTATTCCTTCAAAAGTTATCAGATGGTGAACAAATCAACGTATAAGTATGTAATGCTTCTCTTAGATGGTCTTAATTCCATTGCCCAGCAAACCTTGAAAACATCTTGTGTGCTTTTTTATTGCCCCTTCAAGAGGTGGTGGTGACTAGATTTAAATTCTTACAGTTTGGAGTGATTAATGCATTAGGGGTTCCTTAGAAGTGTTGGCCATGATGGAGGGTTTTATTCAGTCATATCAAACGTTTGACTGCAAACAGAAGTGTATGTAGCATCCCTCTGCATCCTAGAAGGAAAGGAATTTGGAACCAGGGTGTGTGGCGTGTGTGTGTGTCTGTCTTTGTGTGCGCATGCGTGTGTGGGGTGGGTGGTGGGTAGGGATGGAGGAAATCCCGAAGATCAGACGGAAAGGAGAGAGGAGTTGACATATCTGGAGGGAGTGGACTGGGTCCTGTGGTTCAGTCTGTGACCAAAAGGGCCTTTAAGGATAAGTTTGGCAAATGTGATTTAGCTTCCATAAAATTTGTGTGATCTACGGTAAGCCTGTGTTACTGGTTCCTTGGGGCAGAAGGTGGTGGATGCAAAACCATGACGGACAGCAGCCCAGATCAGGCATCTATGGGAGACAGAAATGTAGCCTATGATACCAATAACAATGTATTTTTAAAAAGATTTTATTTATTTGAGAGAGAGAGAGAACGAGCAAGGGGAGTGGCAGAAGGAGAAGGAGAAGCAGGCTCGATGCTGGGCTCATTCCCAGGATCCTGAGACCATGGCCTGAGCTAAAGGCAGATGCTTAATCGACTAAGCCACCCAGGTGCCCTACCAATGACAATGTATTACTCACTTCTCTCCAGAGAATACTGAGATGTATTGGACCTAGTGGGGGAAGGAGGCATTAGGGTTTCTAAAGGATGTGGAATGGGAGAGTGGAGCGACTTTCAATCCAGACAGGAGCGGGATGATTCCACCTAATATCTGAGTTGTATTTGCAATGAACTCTGATGCAGGCCATAGTAAGATGCAAATTGAAGCAAGTTAAATTGTTATTCTGCCTAAAAAGCAGTGCTTTCGTAAGGTTCCACCTCCTATGGCGGTATAGCTATTCAAAAAAGTGGATGGATCGCCACCTAGCGGGGAGATTGTGCCACTTCACGAAGTGCAGAGCCCTCCCCTGGGAAACCAAGGATCTCTCTGGGAGATGTGGCAGGTGCAGAAGGTGGGGGAGGTCAGGGGTGGAGGCGTGCTGGGAGGTTCTTCCAGGCTGGGGGCAACGTGAGCACAAGCCCAGGGGAGTGGGGGCATATGCCTGCCCCGGTGGGTTTTCAGAGATCTATTGTAGTGTAGCCAAGTGAAAAACAGAGTGGGGAGGCTAGGTTCTGGGAGGTTGGAATGGTGTCTCAGCCCCACGGGGATGGGACAGACATAGAACTTCTGAGCATGGGAGCCAGGGCTGGAGGCCATCAGATAAGGTTAGAGCTGGTAGGGCTTTAGTAGGAAGCCAAGTGAAGGAAATGGGAAAACTCTGGTTCTGCCTTGGTTACCAACAAGCCCCTTAGGGCCTGGGCTTTGTGATGTGGCTCCTTGGCCATATTGGCATTTGGCATTTGAGGGTGACAGATAACCACATCCCTTCCTGCTGGTTCTGAACCAGTTGAGAGAAATGTACTCGTTCTGTGGTTGGTAAAGAGGGATTAGGCCTGAAACCTGAATTTAGGCATTCACAGTGCCAGGTGCACCTTTACCAGAAGGAAATGCCCTTCTCAAATATTGAGGTCCATTTATGTGTGTGAGAAAATGCACCAGGTTTCTTTGTCAAGTCAAAACCTAACAGACCTCCTTCTCCATCCTCTTTCTCCTCCCTCCCCTGAAACAAATCCATATATTTGACACTGAACTTGCTAACTATAAGGATGTTATTGGGTAAGGACATGAGAGTCTTTTCATCTGGTTAGTACCAAAAAAAGAATGTAATGGATTAGAAATTACCCTCCTTCCAATCAGTATCCTTGAAGTGCCCCCATATTCTTTGGTTTTGTGAGTTGACTCTTCAATTTTTAAGTAATTTCTTAGTTCTTTATTAACTCCCAAATTTTGTAATGTTATGATGATTCTCTCTAGTACACTCTTTTTTCTTTTTTTTTTGACCCAAAATCTGCCCTCAGTCGTCTCCAGTGGTGTGCTCAATCCGTAAGGGAGGATTGAGCCTTGTGTATCACACTGTGCTTCCAGGGACCTTTCTTCAGGGAACAGGGTAGTTTAGAGAAGACCTTAAGATCCTTCTGAGCCTAGGGGTCAACCAGAAGTGTGTGTGTATGTTTTAAAATTAGCATCATCTTATATAATTTTCATTTTAATTAGGTGAACCTTCAAAAGTGTGACATATTTGAACTGAAAACCCTGAAGGAACCAATTGACTACCTGACTCTAGCTAATAACCCCGAGACTCTGGAGAAAACAGAAGGTTGTATGAGAGTATGGATCAGACAGACAGAACAGGTAATTTCCAGAAACCAAACATCAGTTTCAGATGCCACTTTACTGAAGTAGTCAGTGGAAGACAGTATATCGTATGCCGTTCCCATTTGCTTGAGTGTTTAACTTCAAGCCCCTAAAAAGGTGAGAAGTTCAATGTGATTTAATTTATAGTCATTAGTTAAGAAGAGATAGTAAGAATTCGAAGAGATGAAAGGAAATGGCTTTAAATACTTAGGTCACAAGAAGACTGCACTTTGCCAATTGTTTTCTCAAGGTGTATTTTACTTGAGAGAGGACCTCTGTGGAAGTACAAGTTTTCCAAACACTGTGCCCTCCAAAAAGGAGCTTGAGACTTAACTTAAAAAAAAATATTTTCAGAAAAATCCTAAGTGAAGGTGGACATTGAATCAAAAAGTAAGCACAATGAAAATTAACCAAATTAAGGCACGGGGGCTTTCCAAGGTTCTATTGTTCCAAGATTATACAGTAAGTGGATAGTCAAGGAAGCTTTCTGAGAACAGGTCCTCCAAAAGTTCATTAAAGCTTTTTAGATAAGTAGTTTTCAGTTAGAGCAAGTCAACTACATTTTTGTTAAAGGGTTAAAAATGGATACAAGGAAAAGGCTGTCATTTGAAGCATGCACATGATTAAAAATATATCATGATTCCGACAACATAATTGACTTATTTCCTTATTTTTTTTGCCTGTGCATAACTTTCGTGCTGCCAGCCCTAGTCAGAGGTTCAAGGCTCTGCTGTGCATTTTCAGGTCCTTGCAGAAAACAACCAGCTGCGTAAGGAAGCGGATGACCTTGGGCCCCGTGCAGAGCTGGAGCACTGGAAAAAAAGACTGTCCAAATTTAACTACCTTTTGGATCAATTAAAAAGCCCGGATGTGAAGGCTGTGTTGGCTGTGCTTGCTGCCGCCAGGTCCAAGCTTCTAAAGGTTGTCAGCCATTTCTTTTTGCTTTGTGACATGGGAGTGAAAATTCTCTGTGTGCATTTTCATGTCATGGAGTAACTAGGTACAGAAAAATGTTATTACACCTTTAGGAACAAACTTTAAGGTTGGATAATATCCCCCTGTTATAATTCTGAGTATTGTGGAAATAGCCTTTGAATCAACGGTATCTGTTGGCCTGTGTCCATGTAAGTACATGTATTAATTACAGAGCATTGCATGTAATTAAGATGTAACGTAGTATCATGATTATATATATATTTGGATTTCGGACCAACCAGGAGTATTAAAATAAGAACTTAACTTGAATATTTTTTTTTTTTAGCCCTAGAATATTGCTTTTATACCCCAGTGTAACAAATTACCCTACAACTTAGCAACATAAAACAGCAAACATATATTATGTCACAGCCTGTGGGTCAGGAGTTGGGATGCAGCTCAGCCAGATGCCTGTGACTCAGCATCTCTCCTGAGATTATGGTCAGGGTGTTGGCTCATCTGAGGCTCGCCCACCCCAGGGGAGGACCTGCCTCCAAGTTGCTTGTGGGGTTCTTGCAGGGTTCAGTTCCTTGCTGGCTATTGGCTGGAGGCTTCCTTCAGTTCTTCACCATAGAAAATATGGGAATGGGGCGCCTGGGTGGCTCAGTTGGTTGGGCGACTGCCTTCGGCTCGGGTCATGATCCTGGAGTCCTGGGATCGAGTCCGGCATTGGGCTCCCTGCTCAGCAGGGAGTCTGCTTCTCCCTCTGACCCTCCTCCCTCTCATGCTCTCTGTCTCTCATTCTCTCTCTCTCAAATAAATAAATAAAATCTTTAAAAAAAAAAAAAAGAAAATATGGGAATGAGGTGCAAAATGGATCCAGGAGCCAGTGGAGGAGAGAAGGTGTGGGTTCAGATGGGGTTGGTGCCCTCTTGATGCTCTGTCCTAGTTATTGAGTAGATTTTATAAGAGAAGGCTGTGAAGAGATCCCTTTAAAACTTCAAAGAATTTAAACTACTCTTCAATGTGGCAATACCCCTCATTCCTGTGGATTCAGCTTGATGCGAGAGGCATAGGATAAACTGAAAGTCTGACACAAGAGACTTGGGGTGACTTTTAGCAGCTGTGCTATTGGAAGTTCCTTTGTAATCGATGCATTAACAGTGCTTTCCTGTCTTGTCCTTAGACTTGGAGGGAGATGGATATTCGAGTTACTGATGCAGCGAATGAAGCGAAGGACAATGTCAAATATCTGTACACACTTGAAAAATGCTGTGACTCCTTGTACAGTAGTGACCCTGTGAGTTAAAGATCTCTACTTGCTTAATCTACTGATGACCCTTTTGCACTGGCTGGATTGAGTGTGCAGTTTGGTTCATTAATATTATAATCTGTTGGAAAAGTCTTTGAAACCTCTTTCTACTCTCAAGAAAATGATATATGTATACAGTTGACCCTCGAGCAACATGGTTTTCGACTGCATAGGTCCACGTACATGTGGATTTTTTCATAAACACAGTACAGTGCTGTAAATGTAGTTTATCTTTCTTAACCATTTTCTTTTATCTGGCTTCCTTTATTGTAAGAATATAGTATATAATACACAAAACATACAAAATATGTGTTAATCAACTTTTTATGTTATCGGTAAGGCTTCTGGTCGACAGTAGGCTATTAGTAGTTTAGTTTTTGGGGAGTCAGAAGTTACGCATGAATTTTCAACTACATGGGGATTGTGCTCTTAACCCCTGCATTGTTTAAGGGTCAACTGCACTCATGCCTATCTAGATCTGTCTATCTCTGTTTATGATGAATATGCAATATTATATTTTAAAAACCCTTATTGTATATTCCAGTTTCCATTAAGTATTATAATTGATACTCTGGATGATACTCAAAGAAGTGTGGGAAGGGTTATCAGCTGGTGTGTTATCTTTTAACTTTAGGGAGTGCCTGCTTTTATTTATTATAAAATTAACTGTTAACCTTGTCATTAACAGAAAGCTAATGTTTCTTGCATAGAAATAAAATTTGATTAACTGCATATGACTAAATAATACAAATAAAATTACCCTTAAATACATTTATGTGAAGTGATAGTTAATATTTTCGTGGTAGTGTTAGTAGTGTTAGTTAAGTTAGTAGTTCGTTAGTAAGTAGTTCATTAGTGTTTGTTAGTAGTTCGTTAGTAAGTAGTTAGTGGTGTTAGTTAATATTTAAAAAATTAAAAAAAAGTCTCATAGCTAATTTTATTCTAATGAAGATTGAATGGTTCGACTGTTAGAATTTTGCTGAACTTGATATTTGTTTCTTTGAAAACTCTCGTGGTGTCTTCCAGATATCCATGATTGATGCTATTCCTACACTTATAAATGCAATTAAAATGATCTATAGTATCTCTCAGTACTATAACACCTCTGAGAAGATCACATCTCTGTTTGTAAAGGTGAGTGCATAGAGTCCATGGTGACTTATATTTTTTTTGCCATTTTTAATTTTTTAATAGTTAGAAATGACCACATTCGCGTAATTCAGTGTCTGTGTATCCTACAATGAGAGAAAAAGTTTTAATCTCTCAACAGAGAGAATTAAGTGTATTTGTGAGGCTGATTCTCACAAATCATAAAGCATTATTTCCTAAGTAGTTATTATAATAAATATGGTGTTATTTATATAATAAAAATAAAAAAATAAGATTCTCTTTGAATTTCCCTATGTTATTTAGCACATTATTTATTCCTATTGGGTAAATTTTTATTAAGAAAAACTATATTTAACTGGCTTTCTCCTACTTTATATTTCATGTGCCACTTTTCCAAATTTATCTGATGCCACAGTTGTTTACTTGGTTTATTAGAACAGTAATCATGGTAATGAAATCCACTTGCAACGTTTCAGTAATCCATAAAGCAATTGTAATGATTCTGCCAAAAAACATAACGATCTTTAAACCTTATGTCCTAACTCGTAACTGTTAGTGGTGAGCACTGTTGCTTTTCCCATTTTGAACAGTCCCTAAGAAGTAAATGACTTTCATTACCAAGGTGAAAGTTTTAAGCGTTGTATTAAGATAGAGGCATTTTCGTCTCATCTGGGCTTGTATTGCGGATGCTAACATACTAGGAAGCGTGGCTCTTGCTGGGAAGGGGGACGTCCACCCCGAGAGCCGGACAGGAGACTCCCTTTCTTCTGCTCTCAGTCAGGCACTTCAGGCAGAAAAAGGAAGGAAATCCACGAGATTCTTGCTGCACTTCTTCCCGCGTTCAAAGGACGCGTTAGGGTCGTGAGGGATATTCCTTTGAGCCAGAGACTCAAAAGTCAATTTGTGTCATCACACCAGGCTTCGTGCATATTATCGGCAAGGCCTGTTTTTGAACAAAATTGTGAAACCATCATTTATCTAATTTTGAAAACCCTTTCACTATGGAAATTTTGAGGCAGGTACAAAAGGAAAGAGAGTGGTACACCAGCCCCCCATGTACCTGTTACCAAGGTTCCGCCTGCACGCCATCCATCTTATTTCATGCGCATCCCGACCTTTGCCCTACACATCCCAGACATCAGGTCATTCCGTGCACACTGGATAGTCATCTGGTTTTCCTTTTAATTTATAAAAAAAAAAAAAAAATCACAAGAAAATTCTGAAAGTTTTTTACAGTTTGGAAGGATGGATAAAACATGAGTGCATATGGAAGTCAGCTTGACTCTCTGTTGCTTCTCCCTTTGACATTTCTGCTCCGGCTCCTGGTGTCTTAAAATGACCAGGGTGGACGGTCCTTCCCAAGGCACTTGGAGACTGTGAGTTACATGTTAGAGCAGGCTACCTAAGGAGACTGGGGGACTCTCAACAGCTTTTAGATAGGGAAGTGAATCCCTTCCTGGCTGGTTAAGGTGTTCATCCTGCATACACAGGGGTGCCTGAATTGTTGATTTGCCATAGTGCTTCCAACTCTGGTTTTATAAATGACTTTGACAGTCCATACTGGAATCTAAAAAAGTCAAACAAATAGAAGCAGAGAGTAGAAGGGTGGTTGCCAGGGGCTGGAGAGAGTGGGAAATGGGGAGATGCTGGTCAAAAGCTACAATTTTCAGTTATAAGATGAATAAATTCTGGGAATCTAAAGCACAGCATAGTGATTATAGTTAATAATACTGTATTGTGTACTCAAAAGTTGTTAAGAGAGCAGATCTTAAGTCTTTTCAACACACATACAATGGTGACCGTGAGGGGGTAGATGTGTTAGCTTGATTGTGGTAATCATTTCACTCTGTATATGAATATCAAGCATCATGTTGTACGTCTTAAATATATACCATTTTTGTTTGTCATTTATACCTCAGTAAGGCTGGGGCAAAAAAAATGTTGGTGCTGGATCATAGTTGTGATGGAAAAAAGTAAACCTAATGTCAAGTTCATAGATTGTACACTCTGAGAGGTAGAGGAGTCAAGGACCCTCTAGTCCAGCTGTTGACTGATGGCTGTTTTATGTACTTCACACCATTTTATTGGGACATTCCAGGTGACTAATCAGATGATATCTGCGTGTAAAGCCTATATTACCAACAATGGAACTGATTCCATCTGGAGCCAGCCGCAGGATGTTGTGGTGGAAAAAATACTGTCTGCAATTAAGCTTAAGCAGGTAAAGGTCAGCTTAATAACATATTTAGATAACGTTTTATTATTTGTATGTTGTTTTTGCTGATGCATCTTAAATCACCTGGCCGTGACTGTGTTATTGGTTGCTCAAAAGTCATTCTTTTCGTAAAACAGTAATTCTTTATTGTTAAGAAAATGGAATGTTAGTAAATCTGCTCTCACGATTTATTCACTTACTCTATCGTTTTGGGGGCTGGTTATGTCCCAACACCACACTCAGTGCCAGAGGTGCAAAGATGCAGTAGTCTGTTTAGTTTCTTGGGGACAAATGGGGAGCTAGACGCAGAGGGAGGCTACTGTTGGCCAGGGGGACCATGTGGAAAGGCTGTGACATTGAGTTAGATGATGAATAATCAGGAATTTGCTAGATTGGGAGTTGGGAAACATGGCATTCCCAGCTGAAGAAAGGGTACATACAAAGGCATGAAACTTGGAGGGTTTGCAATTCTACCTTAAATTTGTGGTTGCTTCCAACTTAAGAGAATAAGGTTGGTACCTGTGTTATGTTCCCTTTCTAATATTTTGGTTTTTAACTTTAAGGAATACCAGCACTGCTTTCACAAGGTGAAACAAAAGCTTAAACAAGACCCAAGTGAAAAGCAATTTGAATTTAGTGAGATGTATATTTTTGGAAAATTTGAAACTTTCCACCGACGTCTTGCCAAGATAATAGACATCTTTACAACCTTCCAGACATACTCAGTCCTGCAAGACTCTAAAATTGAAGGGCTCGAAGACATGGTCACTAAATACCAGGTTCTGTTCTTCCTTTCTTTCTTTTTAAAAAAGGTTTTTTTATTTTTATTTTTAAAAATTTATTTATTTATTTATTTGAGAGAGAGAGAGAGAGTGAGAGTGAGTGGAAGAGGAGCAGAGGGAGAGGGGGAAGAGCAGAGGGAGAGGGAGAAGCAGACTCCCTGCTGAGCAGGGAGCCCGATGCAGGGCTCCATCCCAAGACCCTGGGATCATGACCTGAGCCCAAGGCAGACACTTAACCGACTGAGCCTCCCAGGTGCCCTTAAAGATTTTATTTTTTTTAAAAGTGATCTCTACACCCAGCGTGAGACTGAACTTAACAACATGGAGATCAAGGGTCATGTACTCCACTGACTGAGCTGGTCAAGCGTCCCCAGGTTCTGTACCTAAAACTAAATTTGCTACCCTTATCCATAACTAAAACTTTAATATTTTGTGCAAATATCTATATTTAGAATGATTCAAATAATCCATCTGTAATGTTAGATGGAAGCTCACGGCCCTTGAACAATAAAGAAATTAAATCTATATGAGAATTGTGTAATGGTGCTAATATGTTCTTTTCAGTTATGTGATTATGAGAATGACTTCTCAATACTCTAATCATCATTAGTAAGAGCATTTTCATTAGTAGCACAAGAAAAATGTTTGAATATAACTTATTATTTCATTTATTCATGCAAGAAATGTTTAATGAAGCACATACTATGTGTCAGGAACTAGCTGACACCGAGTTCTGGGTGCATCCAGTTGTGGCTACACTTAACATTTCATTTGGACCTATGTTAACAAAATAAGGGGACCAGATTTTAATTTAGCCTGACCATTCCCAATTACTTTGATTTTTAACTGCTTTATCTTATAAGGGTATATGTGTAACTCATCTTAGTTTTTAAGCGGGCACAGTGATCTAGTAATGTTTTGAAGATCTTTAAAAAAACAATTAACAAACAAAATGGGTTTTATTTAATTAATTAATTAATTTACTTACTTATTTTAAGATTTTATTTATTCATTTGAGACACAGAGATACAGAGAGAGAAAGAGAGAAAGCATGAGCAGGGAGGGAGGCAGAGGGAGAGGGAGAAGCAGGCTCCTTGCTGAGCCAGGAGCCCCATGCGGGGCTCGATCCTAGGACCCTGGGATCATGACCTGAGCCGAAGGCAGACGCTTAACCATCTGAGCCACCCAGGCGCCCCCAAAATGGGTTTTAGATTCTTAGTCTAGGTATAGTCAAGTTTCTCATGTTTGGGGACAGTAATATTAAAAGCTAATTTTTTTTTTCTTTTTTTTGTACTTGAATTTGAAAAGGATCATATAATTTACTGCCACACGTTGGTTTTTGTACTCTTAACAGTTTAGGCTAATATCAGGAATTTTTTCATTTCCTGAGTAGACCAGATTTTAGGAAAAGAAGAAAAAAGACCTTTGTTATATAGCAGGAAACATTTTAGGTGGGCTGGGTTATCTTAGGTTATCTTATTTTAGGTTATCTTCAGGGTGGATAATCTGTATCTGAAACCGACCTTTTTGTAAGACAAAGACAGAATGTGTTCATTTACTTTTCAGTTTGGAATTTATTTATTTTCTATTCTTAATGAAAAAATAACTTTGGAGCATATTTCAAAGTTTATTTTTGAAGGAGAAGTTGAACTATACATCTAAATGCAGATAAAGACTTTTCTAACCTGATAAAAATACCGGGAAGAGAAATTGCTTTAAAAATCTAAAGTGAAATGAGGATTAAAATGGATGTACCAGAGGGTAGTGACATAAAATGTAGCTGGTGCATGAAAGCAACAAGTGAGATTTTTGTGTTAGTACCGATGTTAGAAGTTCAAAATGGTGACTGTGGAAGGGAAGCTCAGGCTCCTTGCATAGCTATCAAGGTCCTGTCCACCCCTCCCACCTCCTTGCCTGCCTTTCTTCTTTGATGTTCTCCAGATACAAGTCAGTTCAGACCGCCTTAGGGCTTATAGAGCTTTTTTTCTGGAAAGTTCTGCCTCTGGATCATCACATGGTTATTCCTTCTTGGCTTCCAGATCTTCATTTAAATGACCCTCTCAATTAGGTTTTCCTTGATCTCTGTTCCTCTCCATCACTCTATGTCACATTGCTCATTTTATCATGGTGTGAAATTATCCTGTTCATTTATTTGTGCTTTACATAGATTCTGACCCCTCTCCCACACTGAGGATGGACGTCCTCTGAGGGCAGGGACCTTTGTTTTTTCCGTTCCTTCCTGTGTCTTCAGAGTTCACTAGCGTATAATAGGTGTGCAATAAGTATCTGTCAAGTAAATGGTTTAGTAGATCAAGTTTGATTAGTTGGTTTAAGGTCATGATTAATCAGTTTATTAACTTAATACTCTTAAGTGACCATTTGTATACATTGCACATAACATGATGGGCAGCATTATATGGATACAGTGTCTTCGTAGAACTAATTTTGTACTTAAACAGCAAGAAAGGGTAGGTTTTAATTAGTAAACTTGATTCAAGAAGTTGCGCAGCTTATATACACTTTTGTCTATTGAGAGATTCGAATTGATGTTTAAATGGAAATGACTTTGAAGAAGAGATGATGGAAGGGGGCTCAACTTCCTTCATAAAAATTATATGCCTCTGTCAACAGTGTGGGCACCTGAGTTTGGGAATAGCTTAGTACCTGGTTAAGAATGATCGTAGAGCATGATAGCTCATTATTCTGAGCAAACAAAACGTATATCGTTTTACGTATTATCATAGTATTCTCAAGGAGACGAGTTGCCTGGTTTGTACTTCTGTAGTCACAGACTGTGGCTTTGCAGGATAGGAGGAAGCAGTTAATTCTGGAGAGTCTTTAAACGGCAGATTGTGGTTTGATGTTTTATTTAAGACATGTGAGGCCTGGAAGATGCTTTTTCATCTTCAGATATTATAGGCTGTTTGGGTTCTGTTAGTGTTATTTATTTTCTGAGAAGACTTAAACTTTTCAATGAAAAATGTTTTAGTAAATTCTACTCTGGGCTTTTTTTTTTTTTTTTTTAATTTCAGTTGTCGTTAGTAAGAAATTTTTAGAGAAAACATCTCTCCTACTTTTCAGATGTGGTTTATTTTCTATTTTTCTTTAGGAATACGTAAAACCTCGTGAAAATGCTTTCTAAATGATTTCTTTGAATGCACTAGGCAACATTATATTGCCTCTGATAAGCATTAAGCAATGTGAATAATTAAAGAAATAAGGCTCCTTTTAAGTTGATTTTTGGGGAATGATTATACAGTTCTACATTTAAAGGTCATATTTAATTAAGTAATGCAAGAATATTGAAATATTGTCTTACTTCTTTCATAACATTTCAGAGTATGGTTGCTACCATAAAGAAAAAGGAATATAATTTCTTAGACCAGCGGAAAATGGATTTTGACCAAGATTATGAAGAGTTTTGCAAGCAGACTAATGACCTTCATGTAAGTCATATAATAAAATTCCTGTTGACAGTTGTGTGTTTATTTTTTCCAATCTGTATAATGCTGCTAATCATTAACCATTCAGAAGGGAGAGGCATCTTCATCACAGAGGTGACCAATCACAACCTCAGCCTGCGTTTTGTGATTTCACATTAATAATTGAAGGCTCTTTTTCATGGTTTACAGGGTCGTAAATATAGCTTTGGATAATGATCTGTAATCACAGACTTCTGCACGTCTTCCATCTTCTTAGAAAATTAATTTTCTTCTTCTGTTGAAATGTGGGGTTATTAGAATTTAGAAATTCATTTCCATTTGCTATAAAATAACGATTCTGACCAACTGTCTGGTAGTTTCAAAGGCAGGGTTGCAGTTGGCCTGAGAAGCAGTGGTACCAGAACCCACTCAGCACTTGGGTCCTTCTTGGTCTGCAGCCTCTTCCTCTTTTTCCTTCTGCCCCCAGGCCCCCACCCCTTCTCACAGGAGACCAGCCTTCTTGACTTCCAGTCCATGTGGGCAATGAATGGCCATTAGCAACTTCTGAGAACATATATGTTCTGAGACCAGCCCCAGCTTCAAATCCCTCAGGAAAGGGTTGGGTTGGCCAATTCTAGTGGAGTGTCTAGGCCTGGACCTGTCACCTGTGGGTTATGTGGTAAGAGTAGGGGGGTTGGGACCTCTTGGAGTCAGGGGGAGATCGGGAATGTTTGTCATTAGAGGAGGAGGATCAAGGAGGGTAAAGGGGAGATGACTCCATAGCTGTCTACCATAGCTCGTATTCAAACTTCTTTTCATCCTAGTGAAGTGCTAAGTATACACCTTTCTGCTTATAAAAGGAAAATGGCCATTCTGTTACTTCTTTTCCAAAATTTTTGGTTTGAAGTCAATTTCTACACTTGAAGGAAAAAGAGCTCTGAGGGGGCGGGTTCAGAGGTAAAAGGAATCATAATAGAATGAGCTAATTCTATATGTTAGGTACTGTCCTAAGCACTTTATGGGTGTTAACTGCTTAATAATCACAATAATCCTATAAGGTGGGTGCTGTTATTACCCTCACTTGCAGAGGAAGAACAAGGCACAGTTTTTTTTTTGTTGTTGTTGTTGTTGTTTTTTTAAGATTTTTATTATTTATTTGAGTGAGAGAGACAGAGATAGAGAGAGCACAAGCAGGGAGGAGAGGGTGAAGCAGGCTTCCCACTGGGCAGGGAGCCTGACGTGACTCGATCCCAGGACCTTGGGGTCATGACCTGAGCCGAAGGCAGATACTTAACCAACTGAGCCACCCAAGTGCCCCAGGGGCAGCGGATCTTGATCTCTTTTTGGAAATCGATGGGCAGTGGCAGTCCTGATTCTCTGTGCTTCCCAACAGTTTTGGATCACATGGTATTTCAGTAGCTTGTAGGTAGATGGTGAACACCTTTAGGGCAGGAATTGTCTTCATTCCTATTTCCGTCTCCAGGGCACCTTACATAATTGGAGAGCAAAGAATGCCAAATTAATGTGTGAGTCATGAATTAATAACAACTAGATTTACTGCAATTAAATAATCATTTACTGTACATCAGTTAAACATTGTGCTTTTATGCTGTGGGTTATAAATACAGAAGTAAATCCTGTAGATTTGCCCTCAGAGCTCACAGTCAGACAGAGGCAGACATGTGATACGATTAAAATATACATATATGTTAGAATAAGGGGTACATCATTTAAATAAGGGCAAATAGTGGCTAAATAGGGCGAATAGTGGCTAAAATGACCAACTGTAACAGTATAATATTCTGATCTTGTACCTGGAAGTGAGGATTCAAAGATAAAAGGACATATTCCAAAGAAGTCCTAAGGAAGCTTATAGGGAGGACAAGCTGTAACACAGGATATTGTAATTGCAGCAGCTAGTGAGGGTAGGATGTGACCCTAGGAGAACACCCCTGCCCTCTGCTTGGCTGAAATTAGTAAAGGCTTCAGAGCGGAGGCTGCACCTCATGCTAGAACAATATGTTGTCCAAGTACATGGATGGGGGACGTGAGAGGAGTGGGGTGACCTTTTCAAGACTGTGCCCACTTTGTATAATACCAAGAATATAATTTTATAAATGCCCTACAGCCTGGTTTTAAGGCATTAGTTGTAGATGCTAGTTCCTATTCTCACTAATCTTTTTTTTTTTTTTTAATTCAACACTACTGTTTATCTCCTCTTACACCTCAAACATGGTCTACTTGTCTCTTTGGTTGGATGACCAATTTTCCTTTGACTTCTTTGTTGCTTTCTCCATTCTCTCATTCTTTTTTTTTTTTTTTTTAAGATTTATTCATTTATTTGAGAGAGAGAGACACAAGCTGGGGGGAGGGGCAGAGAGAGAGGGAGAGAGAGAGAGAGAAGCAGACTCCCCACTGAGTGTGGGGCCCAACGCAGGGCTTGATCTCATGACCCCAAGATCACGACCTGAGCCAAACTCAAGAGTACAATGCTTAACCAACTGAGCCACACAGGTGCCCCTCTTTTTTTTTTTTTTTAAAGATTTTTATTTTTAGGTAATCTCTACACCCAATGTGGGGCTCGAACTCACAACCCCGAGATCAAGAGTCACACGCTCCACTGACTGAGCCAGCCGGGTGCCCTTCCATTCTCTTTTTCTTTTTCTTTTTTTTTTTAATTCTTTTTTTTTTTTTAATTTTTTTTTTTTTAAGATTTTATTTATTTGCGAGAGAGAGAATGAGAGACAGAGAGCATGAGAGGGAGGAGGGTCAGAGGGAGAAGCAGACTCCCTGCCGAGCAAGGAGCCCGATGCGGGACTCGATCCCGGGACTCCAGGATCATGACCTGAGCCGAAGGCAGTTGCTTAACCAACTGAGCCACCCAGGCGCCCCTCCATTCTCTTTTTCTTAACCAGCCCCTTTCTCCTTTAAATTACTCATCCACTCTCATGAATTTGGCCCTTGTCTCTATAAGATCAGGGTGAAAATACTGACCTTTCCACAGCTCTGGTTGGAGTTGAGGGCAGAGGGGATGAACCTTGGAGATAAGGGATGGAGGGAACTGTGGTGTCTCCAGGATAAAGACTGGAGGGCATGGGGGGTGGTGGTGGTAGGGGTACATGAGTGGTTTGCATCAGGGCTGTGTCCAGCGCTCCACAGCCCGGGGGATCAAAGCCTGGAATCCTATCCAGGTTGAGGGTTCCTGCTGGTGCTAACTGGTCAAAGAGAGGGAGTGCCTTGGAACCAGGTGAGTGTTGGAAGTCTAGAAGCATACTGACTCCAGCAGGCAGATAAGGCAGTATTTAGTAAAGCATGAGCTGTTGAGATGTCAAGCTGAGAGAAGAAAAAACTGAGTAGGGTCCGAGAGCCCAGAACTAATAAGAGGACTAGTATGAAGATTCCATGGCTAGACTCCACAAGACTGTAAGAATGGACCTAAGGATGAGGGAACAGAAGATGAATCCAAGGTCTTAGATGTTCATACAGAGCTTAGCACAGGGTTTGTGAAGCCACAGTGTAGAAGAGGAAGGAAAACCAGGTACAAGTGTTAGAGTTCAATAAGTTGCTGCTGTCTGAAGTTTGAGGGAGGGACTGGAAGCATTGCAAATGTTCTAGTTGTGCACACTTTATACACAATTTTTTTTTTTCCTGTGAATGTAGTGACAACATTTGAGTGTTTATTTAGGTAGGCTAACTGTACTGTTCTTTTTTTTTTTTTTTTAAAGATTTTTATTTATTTATTTGAGAGAGAGAGAATGAGAGACAGAGAGCACGAGAGGGAAGGGTATTAGAGGGAGAAGCAGACCCCCCACCGAGCAGGGAGCCCGATGTGGGACTCGATCCAGGGACTCCAGGATCATGACCTGAGCCGAAGGCAGTCGCTTAACCAACTGAGCCACCCAGGCGCCCTAACTGTACTGTTCTTTGGTGCATTTCTCAATCTTAGGATGTGGTCTTTGCAGAAGAAATAGCATCAATCAATATATCTATATTTTTTATATATAAAGGGTATTCATAATATAGTTTCAGTGGGAGTAGTGAGAAGTATATTCTTGAGAGCAAGAATATATTGTCATAGGTATAGTGATCCTTCAACTTTGGGGTTCTGCTGAATGGGGCAGGGAGCATTCCTACTTCCCCCCGGTTGCAATGTCTCTTCAAATGTTGAGTGTTTCCGTTGGTGTCCTGGATATTTCCAACTGGTTGTCTTGCCAAATTACTTGTGTACCATCAAGGTCATCTTGGTACTAATTCTCACTGCATATGCAACCAGCTTCCTGGTTTTATCCCTACATAAGTTAATGACTCCTTCAGAATTGTAGAGGCTCAAAACTTCCGTCTGGTAAAATTGACAAAAAAAAAAAAAGGATTGATTGGAACTTTATCTTGAAGCAAGAGACAGAAAACAATGAAATAATTTTTCTGTCTTTAACTCAATTTAGATTTTAACGACAACTGTACTAAATCTTAACAGTGAACAAAGAAGAAATCACGTGCTTCATTTTTTCGTGCAATTTTTATTTTTTTTGGACAAAATTGTACAATGGTATAAGATGTGTGATGTTCTCAGGACAACCTTAATGAGAATCATTTTGGAAAATAGATTTGAGGGCTTTATGAAAGAGGTACTTCTTAAAACTTTGATATTTAAGTCATTCCTTTTGAAATTCTCAGGAGTTATTTACTAATTTATTTTTCTGTAGTGGTCTTATGGCCCTGGGCTATGGACGTGTTTATATAGAGTGGCTTTGCCTTCCTTCTGATGGGGCCCCAGTGGTTTTGCCATTCCAGACTAGCTGTTATATTAATTTCTTAGGTTAGACCATTCTAGCTCATGCATAGTCTAAACTCAGAACCCCCCTCTAAGTATGGCACAGACATAAGATGAGTACTTGTGAAGGGTACCTGTTCCACAGAGCTGAAAATAGTTGCTGCATGGCCCTTTATAGAGATAGTGTGGGATCATGATGGCCTGTTTCATCCATTCATGGCTCTGGGCAGTTGGCAAGCCCCCTTGCTGCTTTCCCCACCTTGTGGACAGAATCACTGCTTGGGCTGGCTTTCTGCAGGGATCTGTTGAGAGGGTTAGGACCCCTCAGCTTCTCTACCCACACTGTGATAAAACCCCAGTGCTAACCCCCAGGCCCTGTATCTGACCCAAATCCATGGAGCCTGCCATGGTGCCAATTCCCTTGACTGCTCTGGCTTTCAAGTCTCTCTTTGTTCTGGCTTCTGGGCATTTATCTTTCAAGCTCAGGTGAATATTAAATTTTCTGTTATATTTTGTCCTGTGCTGTATGTGTTCATAGAGAGTGGGGAGCTCTTTTGTCTTGCTGCTCAAGAGGACTTTTTTCTCAATAATATTGTAATAATTTATGGTGACCGATGGTGACTACACTTATGTGAGCACTGAGTGCTGAGAAATGTGCAGAATTGTCAAATCAACGTGTTGTACGTGAAACTAACATGATGTTGTGTGTCAATTGCATTTTGATAAAAAATGCATACTCTAAAATTTTTTTAAAAAGTAGGACATTTCTCAGTGCAAATTCACTGTTTACAATCAGACTTTATTCTATTTTAGAATGAGTTGCAGAAGTTCATGGATGTTACATTTGAAAAGATTCAAAACACAAATCAAGCTCTAAGTATGTTAAAGAAATTTGAAAGGTAAAAAACAATAGAATTTGAAGCAAATTCTATTCTATTTTCTAAAACTGGGGTCATATGAGCATAGTTTAGCTTATTTTATTATTATTAATTATTTTTTCATATTCTAATGGAAAGAAAATCCTTTCTTGTCATTCAGCATAACAAAGTCTCAGTTTTTAAGTTCTTCAGATGATTAAGAATTTGTTTTATTTCCTGTTAGCTTTGAAGTAACTTGTGACTGCCTTTCATATTAATGTTTAAGTAACTTGAAAAAATTCTTACCAGATTAATGGTTTTGCCTAGATTTTAAGGATTGATACTATTTTTTTTTTAAGTAAACTCTGTGCCCAACATGGGGCTTGAACTCATGACTCTGAAATCAAGAGTCACATGCTCTACTGACTGAGCCAGCCAGGCACCCCAATCCTATTTTTTAAAACCACTTTATAGTGATATAATGGATAGATTGATACTATTTTGATTTTTTAAAAATGCCAAATACCTCATTCTTTTCCATTACCATATGTTTTTTAAAGGTTTTATTTATTTATTATTTGAGAGAGAAAGAGAGAGTGAACGGGGGAGGAACAGAGGGAGAGGAACAAGCAGACTCCATACTCAGTGTGGAGCCTGATGCAGGGCTTGATCTGAGATCATTACCTGAGCCAAAACCAAGAGTCAGACACTTCACCGACTGAGCTACCCAGGTGCCCCTCGATTACCATATGCTTTAAAATAAACCTTAATAAAGGAGATTGCTAGATATCTTCTCATTAATTCAAACCATTTGCTTTTTTAAAAAATCAGATTGAACATACCTAATCTTGGTATTGATGACAAATATCGGCGTGTTCTTGAGAACTATGGGGCTGACATTGATATGATCTCTAAGCTGTATACAAAGCAGAAATGCGATCCTCCTCTGGCTCGAGATCAGCCTCCCATCGCCGGGAAGATTCTGTGGGCCCGTCAGCTCTTCCACAGGATTCAGCAACCAATGCAGCTTTTCCGGCAGCACCCAGCTGTGCTCCAGACGGCTGAAGCCAAGCCCGTGATTCGCAGTTACAACAGAGTAGCCAAGGTACTCCTGGAGTTTGAGGTTCTCTACCACAGGGCATCGCTTCAACAGGTGAGTCTCTACATGGTGCTCCTCAAAGACGTCTACATTGTCCAATCAGTGGGAAACCCTCTGCTAGCCCAGGGCAGTTTTATTCCTGTAGAAAGTTGGATTTGTGGGTATTTCCTGAGGCAGGTTTGGTTGAATGTAGATAATCAAAGAGTACAATATGTCCATGAAGAAAAATAATGATTAATTTTGAAAAAAAAATGATAAGCCAGGTAACAGAAACTCATTTTTATTTCATTTACAGACTCCTAAGGGAGAAAGAAGATCCTGTTTATTGGTTGTTTTACCTAGTTGATTAGGATTTCTGACTTATTTTCTATCCGTTAAGTTCTGTAATGGGTCAGTAAATACTAGTATGTCTCTGTTAAGCAAAGTCTTAAATTTTCTTTGGTTATACTAGGTTCGTCAAATTGTATTTCATACCCTACCAACGCTTGTATCTCTCTGTAGATTGGCAGGAAGTGTCTCAGGGGATAAAATTCAGGCTGACAAAGCTACTTTGGTGTCTCATTCTCCTGGTTCAGCTTTTGGTGACTGAGCCAATAACAGAGATGTCCCCATAGGGGTATTCATTGTTTTCCTAGATAACTGAAAACTGAGTTTAGTAGATTTTATGAAACTTTTGTTAGGAAAAATAACGGAATAGGCATGAAGGTACCTCGGAGCTAAACGGCTTTTGAGAAGCCCCCACTCTTGCACTCTTGTCTACTTATCTGTCGGGTGTGAGAGAGTCACAACCCAGACGTTTTGTCAGATTGACGGCATAGCTTCACTTGAAGCTTGAAGGCCCTTTTCTGAAAGTGACCTTAGAAGAAGAGTGCTGTCTTTAATTTGAGAAGCTCGAATCCATGTGACAATACTTCCTGGTCAGCGTTCCCAGAAATGCTGAGCTAGATACCCTGTGTAGGCATTGAACTTTCCAATAGTAAAAATGTTGATCTCTTCACACAGGTTGAAGAAATTCACATAGGACTTGGGGCATCTTTATTGGTGAAGGCTCCACGCACAGGGGAATTGTTTGTAAACTTTGATCCTCAGATATTAACCTTATTTAGAGAAACAGAGTGCATGATGCAGATGGGTCTAGAAGTTTCACCATTTGCAGCTGCTCTGTTCCAGAAACGGGATGTATACAAAAAGAACTTCAGTAACATGAAGGTATGATACTTTAATTTTTTTCCTCCTTTCTGGCTAGCCCCAGTTTGTATTAAAAAAAATCTGGTGGTGACACACTGTTGAGGGGTAGTAAGTGCCCAGGATGACTGAAATGGAGACTGAGAGGGAATGAGACTCTAGGGTCAGCAAGGGCCTGCTCATCACCGATCTCATAGACCCAGGGTATAAGTTTGAATGCACCAGGAAGCCATTGTAGGAATTGAAGCAGGAGAAAAAGGCATGATGCTTTTTATAATAAAAATTGTTCTTATTGCTAGGTAGAGAATAGATTTTAGGGGGACAAGAGTGTCAGTGTGAAGGCAGCGTGCAGGCTGTTGTATTGGTTCAGGTTGCAGATGAGGGTGGCTTAAGATAGGGTGGCAGCTGAGTGGTAGATCAGTGGATTAGAGAATAATGTCAATAGCAGGTTATGAGGGAACTCGAGGATGATTCCTTTGTTTTTGGTGTGAGCGATGCAATGGATTTACTAAAGTAGGGCGATTATGTATTACTGTGTAGGTCATTTTTCTGTATAACTTTTGCTCAGTAACATGCAGTGGCCCAGAATGAAAGTTCCATTTACAGAGATGGCAAAGACTGGATCTACTATATTTTGGAAGACAGGAGGGAATCAGTAATTTCCATCTGAAGCATAAGATGATTTTTAGAGTTCGAAATGGAGGTGTTATTCATGCAGATAGATATGTTAAGTCTGGAGTTGAGTGGAGAAGTCAAAGTGGAAGGCATAGTTTTGAGAGTTTTAAAAATATAGTTGGTATTTAGGGGCACCTGGCTGGCTCAGTCAGAAGAGCATGCAACTTTTTTTTTTTTTTTAAGATTATTTATTTGAGAGAGAGAGAGCATGAAAGGGGGAAGGGGCTGAGGAAGAGAATATCTAAGCAGCCTCCCTCTGAGCACAGAGCCCAACGTGGGGCCCGATCCCATGACCCATGAGATCAGGACCTGAGCTGAAACCAAGAGTTGGATGCTCAACTGACTGAGCCACCCAGGCACCCCATGAGCATGCAACTCTTGATCTTGGGGTCATGAGTTTGAGCCCCACTTTGGGCATAGAGATTACTAAAAAAAAAATAAACTTGAAATATAGTTGGTTTTTAAAGTCATTGTCCTGGGTGAGATGTCCAAGGAAGAGAATAAAGATAAAGAAGAGTAGAGGGCCTAGGCTAAACTCTGGTTGTCCCAATATTAACAGGTCTGATAGAGGAGGATGAGTATGCAAATAAAATTAAGGATTGGTCATTGAGGTGGGAAGAAAGGGTTAGAAAATCCTCATGCGGGAGGGAATGATCATCAGTGACGAATGCATCTTGTGCAAGGTGAGTGCAGAGATGCAGCCATGGTATTTGACAAGTGGAAAACCTCATTACAGTTTTATACTGCCTAACCTCATAGGATGAGGCCAGTGAGGCCATGCCTTTGCATAATGCTTTACATTTTAACCATTCATTATTCCATGTGATCTTATCCATAGCCATGTTAGGTAATTGGGATAGAATATTATTATATTATCTTGTGACAAAACCATGGTTCAGAGAAGTTAAATGACTTAGCCAAGTTTTCATATCTAGTAAATGGCAGAAGTAGCACCTGAACCCAGACTTGTAGTCTACTGTTTTCCACTCCTTCATGTTATATTAAAAAGCTAATATTGTCAATGGACCGACATTCCTCAAATGTGGGCCCATCAAATACTGGTCAGCATGTTGAGATTCCCTTTAGACTTTTCTTGCCTGTTAGGAAAACCACTTAGTCAATTTACATATTTGCAAAGAAACTAGTATTTTTTACTAAGAAATAATATTTATCAGAATATAAAGTTGCTAATAATAATTTTGTCCACAGAATTATTATTTCAGTTATCTATTGCAGGTTAACAACCAACCTCAAAATGTAGTGGCTTAAAACAATCATTTCATTATATTTCATGATTTCATGGATAAAGAGTTTAAGCAAGCCTTGGCTAGGTGATTCTTCTGTTCCATGTGGCATTGACTTAGATTATTTAGTTCAGCTGGCAGGTGTTGGATCTGGAAGGTCCAAAGTGACCTCATTCTCATGTCTGGTTCTTTGATGAGTATAGCACAAGGTTTCACTCAGTTGGGATTAAGGACTGGAGCATCTATGTGTGGTCTTTCAGGATGGAGGCCTCAGAGTAGTAGAATTTCTTATGTGGTTAATTCAGGGTCCTAAGAGAGGACATTGCAGTAAACACAGAGGAAGCTGCATGGCTATTTATTTATTTATTTATTTAATTTTATTCTTATGTTAATCCCCATACATTACATCATTAGTTTTAGATGAAGTGTTCCATGATTTATTGTTTGTGCATAACACCCAGGGCTCCATGCAGAATGTGCCCTCCTCAATACCCACCACCAGGCTAACCCATCCTCCCACCCCCCTCCCCTCTAGAACCCTCAGTTTGTTTTTCAGAGTCCATCGTCTCTCATGGTTCGTCTACCCCTCCGATTTCCCCCGCTTCATTCTTCCCCTCCCGCTACCTTCTTCTTCTTTTTTTTGCAACCACGTGGATGGAACTGGAGGGTATTATGTTGAGCGAAATAAGTCAAACAGAGAAAGACATATATCATATGACCTCACTGATACGAGGAATTCTTAATCGCAGGAAACAAACTGAGGGTTGCTGGAGTGGGGGGTGGGGTGGGAGGGATGGGGTGACTGGGTGATAGACACTGGGGAGGGTATGTGCTCTGGTAAGTGCTGTGAATTGTGCAAGACTGTTGAATCTCAGATCTGTACCTCTGAAACAAATAATGCATGGCTTTTAGGACAGCCTCATAGGTCTTAGCATCACTTCTGTTGTAATCAGTTGGGCTCCATAAGTCCACCCAGATGCAAGGAGAGAGGACATGTATCCTACACCGTGAGGGAAGGAGGATCAACAAATGTTTTAAAATGTTAAAATGTCATATAAATGACAATTCAAGGAAGTAAATTGTCATCTGGTTGACATTTATTGTATCTTTGAGGTTGAAAGAGTGAAAGATCCCCACCCAACACGAGTGGCTGGTAGGAACAGATCTTTCGGAGGGTTTGGGGGACTACCTCCGATGTTGCAGAGTTATTGTGCTGAATATTTAACAGAGCTCTCTGGCTCCCACAGATTCACCAAGGTAGCTGAGGGATTGTTTTCTTCAACTTTTCCTTGGAATGGAGTTCAAAAAGAAATGAGTCTGCCTAGACTAACAATTACGAGTATAGATTCTAAAGCCGATTTGATCTGGATACAAACCATTATCTTTGCGCAAATTATTTTACCCTTCTAAGCCTCAGTTTATCATCTATAAAATGAATAATATCTCATGGGGTGAAAAAGGATAAAAGGGGAGAAGTAAAATGATTTGCTTCCCAGATAGAGTAAGTGATGGACATTGAGAAAAGATAAGCCATGGATAAACGTTTCAGCAAATGTGTAAGTAGCTGCTCGTAGAACCACACAATGCAGACTTTTCCAAAGTGGCTTTCATGGAAATTGAAAGAATATAGAGAAATTGTGGAAAAGTATTATATGAAGAAAGGATTATATGGCCCATTTGGGAAATGTTGGGTTTAACAAAATTCAGAAAATTTCATTGGGCTTCTTACTTTGTTCTTATAGTTTTCTCAGAATCGTTAATATTAATTGTGATTGTCCAAGAGGGGAGATAGTGTTTTTCAAACTTACCCATCCATGGACCGTTTTTCTTTTTTTTTTTTTTAATAGAATCTCTTAGGGCTAGTAATCCAAGGAAAACACTTGGGTAAACATTGATCTAATGACAAAGTAATATCAACATGCATATTACAAATATGAACTTAAAAACAGTTGTATTTGAGAAGTGTGTTCAAGTTACCTTCTTACAATTAATTATTATTAATACTAACATTACCAAAAAAGAGGCTGGAAGTGCTTTTAGTCTTATTTAAAATGGTAACATATGAACAAAGGACCGACACAGTTCAGTATTATACAACAGGTAAATTTCAGTGTAGGAACAGAATCCATGAGTTTCTAATCACAAATGCTCCTGATAACAACTAATTAATAAATTAGGGAAATATTGATTGACCATCTCCTATGTGCCCGGTACTGTTTCAGGTGCGTTGAACAAAGCGGACAAAATTCTTGTTCTTATAGAAACTCTTGTCCTTATATTCTAGTTGGGTAATACAGCAAATAACCCATGAACCTTAAAAATAGGTAAGTTACATAGTCTATTAGACAGTGATAGGCATATGGAAAAAATAGAGCAGGGCAAAGAGGATAGTAACTACCTGTGTAGGTAGTTTTTGATGATGGTTTACAAACTTAAATAGGTATTTGGGATAGGCCTAATTGAGAGGATGGCATTTGAGTAATTATTTGAAGGGGATGCAAAGTCCCTGAGGCTAGCGACCAGCAAGGAAGACAGTAGGGCAGGACTGGGTAAGGGATGAGAAGAATGATTACAGAAGAGATCAGAGAGGTAATGGGGACCAGCCTGGGTAGAACTTTGCAGACTCACATAAGAACTTGTAGGGGGAGACGAACCATGAGAGACTATGGACTCTGGGAAACAAACTGAGGGTTTTAGAGAGGAGGCAGTGGAGGGATGGGTTAGCCTGGTGATGGGTATTAAGGAGGGCACATATTGCACGGAGCACTGGGTGTTATATGCAAACAATGAATCATGGAACACTACATCAAAAACTAATGATGTACTGTATGGTGACTAACATAATAAAAAAAATAAAAATAAAAATATTTTCCTGCAAAAAAAAAAAAGAACTTGTAGCTCTAAATGAGATGGGAAGGCATGCAGCCATGTAAGCAATGGGGTTAATAGTCTGATTTACATTTTGAAAGGATGCCTCTTGCTGAGAAATTGAGCATAGACTGTAGGGGGCATTAGTGGAAGCAGGGAGACAATGGTAGACCATTACAATAATTTGGAGGAGAGTCAGCGATGGTGGGAATGGTGCATATGGTAAGCAGGTCAGATACAGATCTCTTGAATATGGAGCAAACAAGATATCCTGATGGATTGTCTGTGGATGTGAAAGACAGGAGCCACCGTAGGATGGGATGGAGAATGCTGGGGGCAGAGAAGGTTTTGGGGAAGAACAAACTTTCAGTTTTGGACATGCTAAGTTTGAAACGTCTTTTATGTATTCAGTTGGAGATACTAAACAGGCTTTCACCATCTATGAGTCTAGACTTTAGGAGTGAGATCTGGGCTGAGATGTGAACTTGGTTTTCTTTGGCATATGCATGATACCTAAAGCTGTGACACATTGATGCTGGTTCCTGACTCCTTATATGCTTTGGGCCTTACATCAAAACTTGGCCTATGATTTCAGCAATGGGCTGAGGCAGACTTCGGGTGACCCCGGCACTTTGGGTGATGAGTATGGTCCATCGGAAGTGCCCAGAGAATCAGGCAGTGCATGGTGCCAGCATACAAAGTTGAATGAATGAGCCTTGTGATGCATAGGCTAAGGCACTGGTAACGTGGTTTAGAAAACTCACTTGACCTTAGAACTTTTCTCCCCTTTTGGACTGGGGAAGGGGTGAGAAACTCCTACTCTTAAGTTCTTTTTTTCTCTTCTTCAGCTGTATTTTATTGGATTAGGAATTTACGTTTATGGAGAGATTGCTCATCTTCTATTCTTGTTTTGTTTTGGCCACTTTACCTGCCAGGCTGCTATTGGAGGCCTATATAGCTGGACCCTAAATAAAAGCCATCCTTTGGATTAAAAAAACAAGATATTAAAAGTGTGATATTAATCGATCATTTGACCTCCATTTCATTGCAGATGATGCTGGCTGAATATCAGAGAGTGAAGTCAAAAATGCCTCCCACCATAGAGCCACTGATGGCCCCTCATTTGGCTAAAGTGGACGAAGCTCTTCAACCGGGCCTGGCTGCACTGAGCTGGACCTCACTGAACATTGAGATATACTTAAAAAACACTTTTGCAAAGATCAGTAAGACTGTCTGAATGGTTATTATTTCTCATTTTGTAAGGCTGAGTTCTTAACGTCTAACTGTATAATTTCTTCCAGATACTGTGATATAAATAATGCAATGGGAGTGTTATTCTTAAGCTGTTCTCTAGGGAATTTTACCAAAAGACACGAATTCATTAATTTCCTGGAAACTAGATATATTCACTATTTAATTTTATCCCCAGAGATAAACTACATTTAAAATTATACTTATTGTTGGATACTAGACTTTAAATAAGATGGTCAATTTAAAGTTGGAAAACTGTGATCCAGAGATGCTGAGTGACTTCTAATGTGATAGAGATGTAAGCAGAAAGGATGAGTTTAGAACCCAGTTCCCTTGCCTCTAAACCAATAGTCTTTCCAAAATACATCTCCCTGGGAACTAAAACAGGAGGAAATAGGCTAACATTCTAGAAGGAGGTATTTATGAATGGCATAAAAACTTCATGGTGAGAGTTTTCACTACCAAATTGGAACAGGCTACCAAGGTAGACTTTAGTACTACTCTTCCTAGAGAATATTAGCACTAGGATGTTTACACTTGGATGTTTTATTATTACATTAGTTGGAGACAGGAGCTAGTTTCTAAAGAAGTTCTCCTTAGTTCTCTAATTCTGTTTTCTTTTTGTGATTTAAGTGAAAGATCTAAGATGGATGTCAGAAGTCCAAAATGACTCTTAGGGAATTAAAAATCAAGGTATCAGCAGAGGTAGTTCCTTCTGGTAGCTCTGGGGGAGAATCCTTTCCAGAGGCCATTCTACATCCTTTGGGCTCATGGTCCCTCCATCTTCAAAGCTAGCAACATAGTATTCTCAAATCTCTTTCTCTCTGTTTCTTTGCTTTCATGGGCACGTTGTCTTCTGTCTGACTCTGACTCTCCTACCTCCCTCTTACAAGGACCCTTATGGCTATACTGGCCCCACCTAGTGTAGATAATTCCCACCTAGATAATTTAGCACAGTCTCTACATCTCAAGTTCCTTAACTTGATCACATTTGCAAAGTCCCCTTTCCCATATCTGGTAGCGTTCAAAGGGGATTAGGATGTGGACATCTTGGAGGTGGGGGGCCTGGGTCATAGATGTCCTTGGAGAAGCTCTCAAGAATCAGAAACAGTGAAGAATTATATTGAGCATGCATGCTCACAGAAAAGTGTTGGCTCTCTTTTAGTAGGAAATAAACTTACCAGGCAGAACTTTTTGGTATCTTGGTATTAGCTTAGAAATGATTGAAAACTTTTAGGGTCTTATTCTTTAGGAAGCAAAGGTATTTATTTAAGGTAGTGTTTTATGTCTTTGATACATCATGAGTATATAACATGGACTTCTCTGTATTCAATTTTAACTTCATACCCCAGACAAAAGTGATATCAGAAAAAAAGGGAATTCACTCTATGGTATCTGTTGAAACTGTATTATCCCTTAGATGGAGCTTTATTAACCATCATTCCTACTTTTGATGTAAAAGTGTTAATTTCCTCTAGAACTGACCTTTCTGTCCATGGAAACTTAGTGCTCAATATTACTTCAGCATAATTCTAAAAAATGTACCTTATGATAGTAACTGTAAAAGAAAAATCGAGGGAATTTCACTTCAATAATATCTGTAGGGGAGCCTGGCTGGCTCAGTCGGTAGAGCAGGCGACTCTTGGTCTCGGGGTTGTTAAGTTCGAGCCCCATGTTGGGTTGGAGATTACTTAAAAATAAAATCTTAAAAAAGAATATCTGCAGGATACCTCCTGTGGAATAGGCTGTTCTCTAGGGAATTTTACCAAAATACATGAATTCGTTAATTTCCTGGAAACTAGATATATTCACTATTTAATTTTATCCCCAGAGATAAACTACATTTAAAAATTATACTTATTGTTGGACACTAGACTTTAAATAAGTAGGAAGCAAGGATGACAAAGAGGATGACAAAGGGGAATTCCAGAAGAAGGAAAGACATGACGAGTAGATGAGTAGGCAGTATGGTACACATGGCCATGGAAGGAAGCTCAGGGGGTCAGTGCCTGCGCAGGACGAGGGGGCCGCTGGAAATATGTGCAGGTTCCCAGGAAGCCTCCTGGGGGCGCTGCATTCGAGCCAGCTCTTCAAGTCTGAGTCACAGTGAGGCCGGTGGAGAGAGCGAGAGTGGGAAGCTGGTTAGAGGAAGGACAGTGTGCAGAAACCAAGTGAGAAATAGCCATCTGGATCGACTTTAATCCTGATTTCAGCACTGCAGTTTAGTCATGTGCATTTTTAAAAAAGATTTACTTATTTAGTTTAGAGAGGGAGAGTGCATGAGAGCAGGGGGGAGGGGCAGAGGGAGAGGGAGAGAGAGAATCTCAAGCAGAGCCTGGTGTGGGGCTTGATCTCATGACGGTGAGATCACCACCTGAGCTGAAACCAAGAGTCGGAGGCTTAAGCAACTGCCACTCAGTCCCCCTAGTCGTGTGCTTTTTTTTTTTTTTTTTTGAAACAAAATGCTTAATCTCTTTTATTCACTTTTCTTTTTTCCAAAGAGGACCTTGAGTTGCTGCTTGACAGAGTCAACGATCTGATGGAGTTCCGCATCGATGCCGTTCTGGAAGAAATGAGCAGCACGCCGCTTTGCCAGCTCCCTGAGGAGGAGCCGCTTACCTGCGCAGACTTCCTCCAAGTGACAAAGGTTATTAGGAAATCGATGTGTTTATTAATTTTTTTTTTTTTGAGAGAGCGAGAGGTGGGGGAGGGGCAGAGGGAGAGGGAGAGAGAATCTTGAGCAGGCTGCACGCCCAGTGCGGAGCCGTGACCCCAGCCAAAATCAAGAGTCGGAAGCTTAACCAACTGAGCCACCTCTCCCTCTCCCTCTGCCCCTCCCCCCTGCTCTCATGCACTTTAAAAGGCGAAAGATTTATACGATCTGAAGAGAAACCAGAGTATTCTCATGCACTTTATTAAAATAATTAATAAAGGGTGTTTTTAAGCATAAATTACTTTCTTTTTTTCCTGTCTGTGATTGGTCTGTGATTGATGTGATCAAATGCAGAGACTTCGGACAGTAATTTGAAACTGAAGAGGAACGTATCCAAGGAATCACCTAGACATGAAGAACAGGTCATTTCTTTTCAGATCAGTAGGACGGAAATTGCCATGGGACACATTTCTCATTTTTTCCATATTTTTTGAAGAATTCAGCTATTTTGTTGAAAAGTTTCCAGTAAGCTAGTGCTAATTAACAAAACATTTGTTTTCAATAGCTGTGGGACAGAATTTCTTCTTTAAACATTTCCGGAGAGCACCTCTTCCCAAACTGGTGTTCTGTGGTACATGGTCCCGGAGCCACTGGAGGAAACCAGGAAAGCTGGGTCTGTGTTCAAACTGCTCAGGGTAAAGGCTGGTTCCTCCTTTCCCCTTGCAGAGTCTTTACACATTTACATGTTAAAATAAAGGCCGTCAGAAAGTCTCTTGGAAAAGAGCCCATTTGGCTTTCTTTGACCCATTTTTCTCAAACTTCTTTTGCAAAAGGAATACTTTCTTCCCTATGCTGGGATTAAGATCCTAGAAACAGTGCTCCCTCCATGAAGCAGCCTTTTGGGAATGTCATTTTAGCATCATCATTTGCAGTGTTCCTGGTTGGCATCCTGAATATAAGAATTCATCAGGGTTGATTTTAATATGGTATGTCAGCAGTCCCCAAGACCATCTCCACTTGAAGGATGATTTATGAGAATGGTAGATTAAGATTTAAGATAACATTAAATCTTAGATTTAATCTTTAAGATAATCTTTAAGATAACATTTAATCTTAAGATATAAGATTTGTAAGAAGGACTCCTGGAACTCAGCATCTGGTTGCACTGAGGACTGAGATTTACTACAGGGACGTAGTAAAGATACTCAGACCCTAAGGGAGAAGAGGCAGGAGTTTGGAGGAATGCATGTGTAGGCTTCCTTATGCTCTCTCGCTCTCATGAAGGGTCACACAGAGCTCACTCTCTTCCCAGCAGCAAAAATGCAGCAACGTGTTTGCAACATTTTTGTCCAGGGAAGCCCATGGGAAACTCAGTGCTTGAGGTTTTTAATGGGTCTGGCCACACACATAGGCACCCTCTGCCTAGCATGGACCCAAATTCCAGATACCCAGAAGGAAGACAGGTTTGCAGCATTAGCCACACTGTTTACACAGGCTGTGTAGGCAGAGTGAACCAGTCTTATCAGCTGGGGAGCTGTGGGAACCTTCCTGACATTCAGGCCCCCAGACACCAGCCAGAGACCAACCTGGCATGCACAATTGCAGTCTCAGGCCTGTCCTGTTAACCCTTTCCTGCATATGCGGTTATCTTTGGTATACATTAAATTACTGTTAGATAATCAAAATTAAATGTCTACATTTTAGAAATTCCTGTTTCCTCCTTTATTCAGACTCACGAACTGTGTCTAGACCCCAAATTCCCCAGGCCCCCTGCTCATTTGTCATGATCTTGCCCTCTGGGCAAATCACTTGGCTCCATGGTTTTAATATTACCCCTCTTCTTAGGATTATTTTATAAAAATGTTTCTTTTAAATGTAAGCTCAAGTTTTAGAATATTTTTAAAAATGAAAAAAATAGTATTTTTACCAGTTAGACTGCCATTGTTATAATTTTTGTGTATTGCCTACTTATATGCCTTTTAATAAGGTTGTGAATGGTGTTTTTCTCTCTCATTTAACATTTTCTCAAGAAATATTTTTCATGTTGTTATGTGGCTTTCATGGTCACCTTTTTAATTATGCCTTCAGAATATTTTATTGAGTTTATGTACCTTAATTTACTTACTCGTTCCTTGTTGCTGGACATTTGGATGGTTCCCAAATTTGCCAAGAGCTGCAATGAATATATTTATATGTATCATGTTTTTCCCCCCTAGGAGTATTTCCTTCTTCAAAGTAAAATCATTGCATCAAAGGATGTGGCTTCATTTAATAGCTCTTAATATTTGTAGCCAAATTGCTTTTCAAAAGGATGGCACCAACTTACAATGCCATCAGCAATGTGACAGTACCAATTTCACTATCTTCCAACAGGTGCTGTTTTATCGTAATTGTAATAAATTATAATAAAGATTTTATAATGAGGTATATAATAAAACAAATTTATTATAAATAAAATATAATAAATTTATGGTAATTTATAATCAGAAATTCTAATTTATTAATTTTCACTTAAGTAGCAAAATCATAGAACCTAATTTTAATTTGCCTTTTGATTACCAAACTCAGTGATTACCGATTAAGTGAATGCTTTCCCTTGAATTTGTTTACATTTTATAATTCATTTATTCTTCAACAATTTTTCTGGTGCTTCTACGCAAACCACTGCTTGGGGATACAGCTGTGAGCAAAACAGATGAAATCCCTGCCTTCATGGAGCCCTTTTCAAGTGCAGGATACAGAAGAGCAAACAAACAAAAAAGCCAATAAATCAACAACAAGTTAGGTGGTGATAAGCTCACTGGAGAAAAATTAAAAGGGTAATGAAGAAAAGGAGTATCTGACAGAGAGTTGTGATTTATGTTGATGGACAGGGATGACTTCTGTGATTACATGTGAGCAGAGGAAGTGAAGGAGCAAGCCATGTGAATAACTTTGGGGAAGAGAATTCCAGGCAAAAGGAACAGTAAGTGCAAAGGCCCTGAGGCAGAAATTTGTTATGGTAGTTTGATGAGAAGGAAGATGTTGCACTGAAGTTTATCTAGTATCTTCTTATGCTGAGGGGGAAGGAGAAAGGGAATTGCTAGTAAGCATAGTATCTGGGGAAGCAGGGGAATCTGTGATTTAGAACTCAGGTTACATGATTAGTCTTAAACAGAAGGGAGAATACTGCATTCACTGAAAAAGGAGGAAAAGGGGTTGATGATGGAGGCCACTTTGTCTTCTGGGTGAGGGCATGCGGTCAGGGAGTTGAGTGAGTCCCTGTGTCATTTGCTTTGTGCTATAGAAATCAAGGTCATTAGCTGAATATGTGGAAGAGGATGGTGTAAAGATTTGAGGACACAAGGATCTGAGGATACAGCTGTTATGAGCACATTAGAAGAGTCTCAAGATGAGTAATGGTGGGGCTTGGAAAGGGACTGGAGACTGTGCCCAACCAACAGAGTCTATTATTGCATGGGCTTATTGTCCAACCAGGTGGTAAATCACTGACTGCCTATATCATCTGTTTCTCCATCCATCCATCCATCCATCCATCCATCCATCCATCCATCCATCCATCCATCTATTATCTGTCTGTCTCTACAGAATCAAACCCAGTGCCCCAATCATATTAGTTTATATTTGTTAAATCTCATTCTTGAGAAACGTGGAATCTCACGAGAGGGGAGAGGAATCTCTGAAATGAATTAGGGGCTGACTCTGGCTTGTTTCCAAAGGTGAGGAGGAGAGAAGGAAGGCTGGCTAGAGCAGATTGATGTGAGATAAAGGGTACTTCATGGAAAGAGAGTCTCCTGGGAAACTTTCAGAGGTATTCTCCCCCCACTGTTGGAGAAGTAAGTGTAATTTCGGTCTGCCTGTGCTGCTCCAGTTGGTTCCCTATCTTTAATGAGTTCTTTTACGGATGCCTGGCCCTGGTTCGTGTGAGGGTGTGGCCAAGCATTGTTGGAGGCCAAAATCCCCATCTAGACGCTGAATCTATGGCATTACTACTATTACTGATGAGGTCTCAAGAGCTAGACAAACAAATATGAACTGTGTTAATTGTTTTTTTTTTTTTTTTGATAGGACCTTTGTATAAAGGGTGCTCAGATACTAAATTTTAAAAGCTCATTAGTGGAGGAAGCAGTGAATGAGCTAATAAATATGCTGCTGGATGTGGAAGTTCTATCCAAAGAAGAAAGTGACAAAGTGTCTAATATGAATAGTGCTGATTCAAAAAACAAAAGTTCGGGTAAGAGATGGAGTCATGGAAGGGTCTTATTTTTCTAGGACATTACTGAAAACTAAAATTTCATTTCTACATAGTGATTGGTTTCACACTTCTGTAAACACTCTCCCAATTTTATAAGGACATTTATAAATCTGAAATTATGATTCTGAGCATATTGTCATTTATCCCATTATTTTTTGTTAAACTGTATATGCATGTACCTTATCAGTAGAGTAGAATGGATGATGGGTTGGAATTCCCACTGGAATTCCCTGCCTATACTAAAGCAAACCTTTTGTAGGACAGATGAGGACACTGAGAGGCAAGGAAGGAAAGTGATTCTCCCAAGGCTTTATGGCTATTGATGGAAGAGAGAGCATTAGAACCCAGGTCCCTGAGGTCTGGTCTTGCCTTTACAGCCGTAGTTCCTGTCTCTCCACCTATTTCCTCATACCAAGGAGGAGAGGACTCCATCGGCCCACCCGGTGCCCCAATTTCTTCTTCCTATTCTCTGATGGACTCGCTTTCTAGGAAATCTGACGTTTAAGTATTATTCAACTTGCATGTAATTATCTTAATTTTCTTCTCTTTAATTGCAGTAGATGGTTCTCTCTTTCTCCATCTCTCTCAATCTTCTCATCTTGTAACAGCAAAGAGACAAGAAGGAAAGTCTGACACCTTGACATCATCCCTTAAGGCCCCGGCAGGCCTCCTGCCTTTGGCAACTATCCTGAGAAAGAAGAAGGAGACTGAAGTGTTAGAGGAGGAAGCCTGTGGGTTGTTGTCCTATTTCAACCACCAAAACATGGATGCACTTCTGAAAGTTACAAGGAACACACTAGAGGCCATCCGCAGGCGTATTCATTCCTCCAACACGACGAACTTCCGGGGTAATAATTCCACACAGTTTACCTACTGGCAGCCCAGCCATGTTTGCTGCTTGTGTGTGTATTCCTGTTATTTTTAAATAATTTTAAAAATCCACTATTTATTGAGAGCCTCCTTGTAAGTTTATACTTTATGAACTTTGATTATCCCAACAGTTCTATGAAGTAGATCTTATTAGTCCATACTCTCCAAAGCAGAACATTTCTTTACTATTTTTATGTCAATTTAGTACTTTCCAGCCAGTTTGTTCATTCTTAATACAATCATCTTCTCTTCAGCACAATTCAGAAATGGGTGTTGCATTTCCCAGATGAGCCACAAAAATCCATCAAATCTAGAGACATTTTGAAACTAAATTTTATATTAAAAATGAAAATACATTATTAATTAAAATTGCAAAATGATAGGGTAATAAACCCGATTGATTTTGAATATTGGCATTTAAGGGGAAGCATCTCTAATAAATTAAAAGCAGATGAATAAAAGTGGATACATTGAAGGAAGTTTTGATTGGCAGCATGGAACAGAGTGATAGGGCTTTTATTTAACACAGGGATATTATTAGAATTTATCAAGCATTGGTTGATATGCTGAATATTAAATCACATGTCTTTCCCAACTGTATATATTATAGGTATTTCCAACTATATAAAGTTACACACACACACACACATCCACATTTATGTATTTATGCCTTAAGGCGATACTTACACCTATATGCAACTTTAAAAGCCCCTTAGATATAAATGATGAGTTACGCTTTATCTCTTCTCCATTCTTTAACTGCTCCCAGTTTGAATTATACGCACTGTGGTAGAAGAGGCATATGTTTTATGTGAAATTCCAAACTGGTTCTTTCTTTTTTTTTTTTTTTTAAAGATTTTATTCATTTATTTGAGAGAGAATGAGCTAGAGAGAGCATGAGAGGGGGGAGGGTCAGAGGGAGAAGCAGACTCCCTGCTGAGCAGGGAGCCCGATGCAGGACTCGATCCCGGGACTCCAGGATCGTGACCTGAGCCGAAGGCAGTCGCTTAACCAACTGAGCCACCCAAGCGCCCCTGGTTATTTGTTTCTGACTTCGGCTAATTCTGACAGCTCTTCTTGTTCTTCATGCCTCGCTTCCTTATTCTACATTTAACTAATTTATTAGCTTGCTGGTGTGTGGACAGCATCATTTTCAGTATTTTAGATCACAGTTCACATTATTAAGCCAGATTCCACATAGTGGGTGGCCTTTTATGGAGTAGATTATATCAGCAGAAAATGTGTCAGGTTCCACTGAACTGCTGTTACATTGAGCAAAACGAGTTACTCCGTAGTTTTCATTCATCCCCCAAATATTTGTCTGATAATGTAGTTCCTATGTATTGTTCTGGGTGCTTTAATTTTCCTGGCTTAAAAGGAAATAAACTCCATTTTAAATAAAAAAAAAAAATAGTAAGGCTTCCCTCTTTTGTGTTAACTCAGACAGTAAGAGTACATCTAGGCTGAAGCAGAACAGCCTGCCCATTTTCCGGGCCGACATCACTCTGGCCATTCCCAACATCACCATGGTCCCTGCCCTGGAGGACATACAACAGACGCTGAACAAAGCCGTGGAGTGCATCGTCAGTGTCACCAAGGGGGTTCGACTGTGGAGCAGTAAGCTGCTGTCCAAGGTGGGTGTGGGATGAGGGCATCATTTTATATGGAAGCTGCTTTTATGGATGGGACTGAGCTAAAAAATATCCTTTTACTTTGTAGAAAAAGATGCAGGAGAGAAAAATGGCTGCTTCGCAGAATAACGAAGACAGTGATTCTGATGATGAAATGGGAGAAAACGAATCTCAAGGTGAATGTTCCTTTGGTTCTTTTGAACCATTCATTGAAAACCAGCATTGAGGGAGCTCAAATGGATTTTTTTTCCCTCCATGCAAGTCTTAAATCAGTGTTGATTGGAATATTAATCTACTAGCCAATTTTAAGTTGATATACTATAAAAATCCATGTATTTTAATGACTCCATTATAAATCATGTATCTTTAGTGTATATGTCACAGATGGGGCTGCCTCAGTGATTTCTCAAATCAATAACTTAGTCTTCTATCTTAAGAAAATTACCTTCAAGTTTACTGATTTTTTTCCCTAGAGACTGAAATCTGTTGAGCTCCTCTCGTGAATTCCATTTATGTTCTCCACCTCAGAATTTGCAGTCAGCTCTTGTATTTCTGTCTCATTACTAGTATTCTCTATTTTGTGAGGCATGATCCTTACACTTTCCTTTAATTCTTTCAATTGGGTTTTCAGTCATTCTCTGAACATTTTATAACAGCTGATATGAATTTTGTTTAGTAATTCCAGTAGTTGGGTTTTCTCATGTATAGTTTCTATGGACTGCTATTGTTGCTATGTGTGGACACTGCTTTTCTGTATCTTTGCGTGGCTTACCATTTTTATTTTTGTTGAAAACTTGATCTTTATTTATTTATAAAGATTTTATTTATGAGAGAGAGAGAGAGTGTATGCGCACGAGCAGGGAGAGAGGCAGAGGGAGAGGGAGAAGCAGACTCCCTGCTGAGCATGGAGTCCAATGGGGCTCGATCCCAGGACCCTGAGATCACGACCTGCGTGGAAGTCAGATGCTTAACCTACCAAGCCACCTAGGTTCCCCCAAAACTTGATATTTTAATGTGGCAGCTCTGAAAATCTGCTTGTCTTCACCCCTGAGCACCCCTCCCCGCCCCCGCCAAGAGTCTGTTGTTACTGTTTGTTTCATTATTGACTCTACTGACCTTCCTGGACTCATTCTGTAAAATTAGTCTTTCCTGTGGTGTGTACTACTGTAGTCTCTGGTTGGTTAGTTTGAAGGTCAGCTAATGATTACACAGAGATTTCCTTAATCCTTTCAACCGCTAAGTCTTACACCTTTTGCCTAGGAATGGTATGGATGCTGGAGCACCCTGAAAACTCAGAAATTTTCGGTACCGCCTTAGCTTTTATTTACTTGATTTTGCAAGGCCCAACTAAAAGATTGGGGCATTTTAGGTCTTTCCTGGGCATGTGGATAGCTCTGTGCAGATGCATGACTTTCTAGAGCCCCAGGGGATAGGTCAGGGCTTTACAATGCCCTCTGTGGATCTTCATTCCCCAGATGTTTAATTTTTTTGGTCAACCTCTTCTTTGCCTCAACTAATATCATTGTCTCAGTGATCCGTGAGGTTAATTGTTGCTGATTGTTTTTTTAACAAGTGCCTTAGTGATAGGGATTTTTTTTTTTTTTTTTCCCTTAGTGAGTTCTGAATCAGGTCAAGTAACAATAAACTCTGAATGGGGCTTTTCCAGAGAACCTCTTGATGGGTCAAAGAGTGACAATTCTCTGGGGCTTCTTGCAGAACTTCCAGTGCAGTTTGGGCCCTCTGGTGACTGCTAGGCTGCGGCTGTGTTTCTCAAGGCTACCACATCCCCAGTGAGGGGGCAGCAGGCTATGGAAGTTAAAACATCTCAGAACTCACTACTGTTACCACGATTTTAGCATTTTTTTCTTGACTAAAGGAACACCACTTGGCTTGTTGCCCGCTTTGGTTAATGTCCAGAGTCCTGAAAAAATTGACAAATGTTCCCCATTTTCAGTTGCTTTTGCAAAGAAGCCGTCTGTCAGAGGTCCTTCCTTACAGAAATGTCTTCCTTTCAGAAATCCCCTCATCGTTTTAAAGCATGTTCCCTATGCTTTTGATATAAACCCTTCTCTCTCTCGCTCTCTCTTTTTTTTTTTTTTGCTTTTAGATACCTTTGAGATAGCATCTGTAAACTTACCCATTCCTGTACAAACCAGGAACTATTATAAGAATGTGTCCGACAACAAAGAGATTGTGAAATTAGTCTCTGTGCTTAGCACGATCATCCACTCCACCAAAAAGGTATGCCAAGAGGACTTGTGGTCAGAGCCCTGTGCTTTACCATGTGTACCTGTGTGAGGTTGAAGGTCTCAAGCTTGTCCTACATGTAGCCTGGGCCTTAACCACTGTGCCTTTTGGGTTGTGGTGGGGGTGGGGGGAGCTATGCAACCTGACACGTGCTCAGCAAATGTTTGTTTAACTAAAGATTTTTCTTCCTAGATTGCAAGGTGAAAAAGAACGATGATTCCTGTGTTTCATATTGTGTTCTGTCTAATGCTGTAAACCTATGTATTTACTTAGTTAGTACTAATAGACCTAATCATTAAAAAATTTGATATGTTTCAAAGCAAACTGGTGTTGCAATTCACTTTCAGAGAATCAATGATACCAGTACTGACTAGTATCATTTGAAACATAATAAGATTTATAGTCAGTTTTTCATATTTGTGTAGTCAGGTAAACCTCATAAACTATCAGCTGGAAATGTATGTGTTTTGCCACGTGGAAATAAGATAAGAAGGAGAACAGAGCAAATTGTAGTGTTATCGGTACAAACTTATACTCGACAGGGGTATAAATTCAGTTTAACTTTTCTTCCAACCTGCTCTTCTCTCAGCTTCCCCCCCCCCTTTTTTTTTTGTTCAGGGGAATCAGTTCTTGTCAGAAAGATTCAAATCCCTGAAGACAATTTCTACTTAAAAACAATCTATATTTACATTGCCCCTAAGACCTGTTGACTCTTTAAAAATGTCTCTGAGTGTTGAGGGAATGGTTGTCACTCAGCAAATACATCTTTTCTGTTAGTCAGTTCTGATAGAATGAGCTTCATTTGTTTGAAAATATTTTGAAAAGCTGCCATTGCCATAACCATGTGAAGAAATATTATTAAGTTTAATTTTAATGTGTTCCTGAGGGAACTGGAGGCTTTTGCATTTATGCATTTTCAATCTTCCCTTCTTAATATATTGAAGGTCCCATATTTAATTTTGCCCTAGGGACAGTGTTCACATAATTCAATTTAACAAATATTTATCTAGTGCTTAGTTTAGCAAGCTCCATAGAAATGATAAAGGTAAATAGTCTATGATGATAATAAACATTCAGATATATTTTCAAGTGTTGTAATCATGGAAAATATAATAAAATAAATCAATAATGAAGCTCATTACTTTCTGTGAATATAAGCAGCCATGATTATGAAAATCGAAGGGTAAGTTATAGTAGTTGAAATTAGCATACTGTTGGCAATAAAATGCTTATCTTTGTGTTATTTCTGTTGCGTTTGCTTGTGTATTATATGAAGGAAGTGTGCAAATCTCAGGCACTTAGAATAACTTAGAATAACTCAAAGGACTTTTTCCAGATTGACGAGATGGACAAATTGTTTCTGGAAGAATAAATACACACTTAGTCATCATACTAGACATGGCCAGTGCTCTGCAGCCAAGGACCCTTCTGGGTGATTCTGCCTCAGTCAGGGAAAATCCTATGATCATCAATCATTGATTGATCATCAATCAATCAATCAATCAATCATTTTCTTCTTGCCACAGCTGATTGGATCAGAATGGAAATCTGACCTACATTGAGCAGATTCATAGGCTAGCTATCAGCTTACAACACTGCCTGTCTTGAAAAGATGAGCTGGACCAAACCATCGAAATAACCTTGGCAGGAAAAATAACTTAAGCAGAACAGCTGTACCCATGCAATTCAGGCAATTCTTCCTTAAAGCTCTAGGTTACCTCCACCTTATTTTATTTTTTTAGAACTTTTGAAATTACGTTTTTAACTCCAGTATAGTTAACATACAGTGGGTTACCTCCATTTTAGAAACCTCCAATCTAATAAAGAGTGACACTGTCAGAAAAGATAAATGAGAGTCTAAAACTTAGTTAGGGTATATTCTTAATATTATAAAGTCTAGGATGTTGGAAGAGCTCAGGATTCTGGAATTTCTACCCATACTCAGGCATCTTTGATAATTTGTAATTCATTCGCCAAGACATCATATGTTTGTGAATGTCTTCATGCTGTTGCAATTCATCCTGGGTATGCACGTCAGCATCTCAGCCCATGCCAGGGAATCAGTTTGGTGGGGATAAGTAGTGGCAGGCTTAGCTTTGTGCATTTTCATGAGTGGGAAGTCTCAATAGCTATTAAACCTGAAGTTGTGAGGGACATTTTAGCTGCGTGTGGGGAGTGGTAGAGTAAAGCTGCTTGGTTTTTGAACAGGTTGGTGAAATTTACTGAAATGATTGGGCCATTTAGAATGCTGTTGGTAATGTCATATTTTTTTCCCCAAATAATGGCATTTTTCATTCCATCTCAGTTTAAAAATTTTTTTCTCATGTAGATGTAACTCTGAAATTATAAGCCAGTAGGAAAATTTGATTCCCAACAGGTATGAACATGAGAAATGAGGAGCCAAATCTTTAATTATTTGTAGGTGATAATGATTATGTCATGTAAATCCATGAGGCTAATCTGAAAAAAAAATATAGCCCAAAGAGAGTTAAGTTAGTTGTTAGTTGAAAGGTAATTATAGGCATTTCTGCTGTAATGAAATAAACATATTCCTGAAAATCCTCTTTTGTAAGGTTGCATGTTTAATATAACATGGATTATGAGAAAAATAGGCTTGAGGCAGGCAGCCGAAACCTAGGAAATTTTGTTAACCAGTGTGGTTACAAAAACTACGACAATCATAGTAAAATATCCACCCATTTAATGAGGGTAGAGTAAGTAAAGAACTTTATTATCAAAAGGTGAGAGAAACTTGGTGGAAAGGTGGTTGTGAGAAACAGTTGAACCTGCCGAGCCATGGAAACAAGGATAAAATATAGAAAGATCGGGTTGGACTGTGCAAAGAACATTGTCAAAAAGAAGTGGTGACCAAATTGGCCCCAAAGGAAAAAGTTGTGGAAGGGTTGTGGTACCCAGGATTGTGCCCCTCCATGGCTTGCTGCTTTAGCTGGTACAGAACAAAGTGCTGGGAGAAACAGCATTTGATGTGACCTCCTCATTATGTTGGCATCCTTCTCTAGTTACCAAATGTGAGTGAGCCGGTATCACTCACAGAGGCACCCTTTATAGCAAACAGGACTCTTTATTAAAAAAATCAATTTTTAAAACTTATATGCCATCCATAGCCAGTTATAAAAATAGCGGAGAAAGATCCTGTTTACAATAACCATTTCATTGAAAAATACCCAGGAACATACATGATAAAGAGTGTGTGAGGTCTCTATCAATCTTCCCCTAAAAGTTAACAAGTAATGAAAAAAAAATGAGAAGATTTGGAAATGCATACTGTGTTCCTGGATGGGAAGATTTAACATTCTACAGATGTCAATCCTAATCCAATGGGTTTATACATTTTATGTGATTCCATGCAATCTTCCAATGGAGTTTGATGCTGGATATATTATGTTTGCCCCTCCAGATCTTATCTCCACCCTCTGATCTTAGGGAAAAAATTAATAAATTTCCATTGAGGCTTCCAATAGATTTGACCAGTGAGAGAGTCATGGGGGAGGTCTGATGATGGGGAGTGGCGTGGAGGGAGGGGGAGGGGACAAAAGTGACCTCAGAGTGATTTTTCCCATAGCACCCTAGGTGTGGTGTGATTTTGAGCTGTGGTTTCTGAACGAAAGGCCGGCCCCAATCAAGAGGCTCTTGTCCAAAAGAGACTTCATGGACTCTCTTTTTCTAATTTCTGGAGACTGTTCCCCTCTCCTTTTGGCTGGGAGGGCTAACAGTTTTGTCATTACTACTCTTGACTTACCGTGTCCCTAATGCATCTAATTCCAGTTCTGTGGCATTTCTAACTATTCACACACCTCACTACTTACGCGTTTTAATAAATCTGTGGGAACCACCAGCAGTTGAGCAATAGTCACTGTACCATGATGCCCTTTCCACATCCTCCTCTCAATGCACATGTGTTATTTGTGTTCTAGGAAGTTGCTGCATCTGTGGTTGGCTTCAAACGCTACAATCACATTTGGCAAAACGAGAAAGAAGAAATGGTTTTGGCGTTTATTACGGAAAACCCCCTGCTCTCTGAATTTGAGTCTCAGATTCTCTATTTTCAAAAGCTTGAGCAGGAAATTAATGCCGAGCCGGAGTGCATCCATGTGGGTGCCGTTGCTGTGTACACAGGTTGGTTCATTTTCCTCATTTTTGGGCAGTCATAAAAATTCAACAGTATTGGGCGCCTGGGTGGCTCAGTCGGTTAAGCGACTGCCTTCGGCTCAGGTCATGATCTCAGGGTCCTGGGATTGAGTTGGGTTCCATGCTTAGTGGGGAGTCAGCTTGTCCCTCTGCCCCTCCCCACCACTCGTGCACACGCACTCTCTCTTTCAAATAAATACATAAAATCTTTTAAAACAATAAATTTTTTAAAAAGATGGAGAGGGGCACCTGGGTGGCTCAGTTGGTTAAGCGACTGCCTTCGGCTCAGGTCATGATCCTGGAGTCCCTGGATCGAGTCCCGCATCGGGCTCCCTGCTCGGCAGGGAGCCTGCTTCTCCCTCTGACCCTCCTCCCTCTCATGCTCTCTGTCTCTCATTCTCTCTCTCTCAAATAAATAAATAAAATCTTGGGGCGCCTGGGTGGCTCAGTTGGTTAAGCGACTGCCTTCGGCTCAGGTCATGATCCTGGAGTCCCGGGATCGAGTCCCGCATCGGGCTCCCTGCTCGGCAGGGGGTCTGCTTCTCCCTCTGACCCTCCCCCATCTCATGTGCTCTCTCTCTCTCATTCTCTCTGTCTCAAAAAAAAAAAAAAAAAAATCTTAAAAAAAAAAAATTCAACAGTATTGTTCTGTCTCTTTACCTAGATTAGTATTCCAGAGAGTTCTAGCTATCTTTAAGATTGACTGTCCTTTTAGGGGTTCAAGTTTTAAGACCAATTTGTAGATTTTTTTTTTTAAGATTTTATTTATTTATTTGAGAGAGCGAGAATGAGAGAGAGTACATGAGAGGGGGGAGGGTCAGAGGGAGAAGCATGCTCCCCGCCGAGCAGGGAGCCTGACGTGGGACTCGATCCCGGGACTCCAGGATCATGACCTGAGCCGAAGGCAGTCGCTTAACCGACTGAGCCACCCAGGCGCCCCTGTAGATTTGTTTTTAATTCCCTTCTGCATAATTATATATTCTGGACTATTTTGAACACTTTGCTGCTAAACCTTGAAAATAAATGCTAATTCAGAGAAAGAAGATGAGCATGTTGTATCTGGAATTAAAATTTACCCTTCCTTTAATAAGTAATTATAAACATTTGAGGCTTATTTCCAGTAGTTTTGATAATGTACTTTTTTTTAGCATTTCGAAATATGTTCTGAATTGTTGAAAGACAAGCTTTATAAATATGAATGAATGTATAATGAGTAGGAAAATCTAATTTTTTTTCAGTTTGATTTTCTTATGTACTGCAGGGCTATAAATTGTAAAATATTTATTACTGGTGAACAAGAGCACTCTGTCTTTTCATACTGGTTCAAATTTTTCAAACTGATCTGTGGACATTTGGGTTTGACAGCTGACTTGAAGTTCATTCTGACTACTGAGACAAAGGCCTGGATGGTTGTCATTGGCCGTCACTGTAACAAAAAATACAGGAGTGAGATGGAAAACATCTTTACACTTGTTGAAGAATTCAATAAGAAACTGAATCGTCAGATTAAAGACCTAGATGATATTCGGATTGCTATGGCAGCACTGAAAGAAATCAGGGAGCAGCAAATCTCCATTGACTTTCAAGTAGGACCTATTGAGGTAACTGATAACCATTTGCTCATTTTGGAAATATCTCCACATGTTGAGTGTTATTAGAACCAGCAGCATCGCTGGGGGTTTGAAGAGGATGCCCAGTAACTGACACCCCTGTTTGCCCCTGTCTGCGAATTCAGACAAAACTGTAGTCAGGTAGTCAAGATCAAACAAACACCTAACTGTCGTCAAGATCAAAATACAACCTTTATTCATGATAGAACTTATTTGAAAGACGTGGCTTACTGTACAACTCCTGTATTCCCATTACTGTCCAAATCCATACACAGACACTATGGGCTTGTGAACACTATATCCCAGAATTGTTGAACCAACTCCCACATCAGAGGCAACATTGGAAAGCTGCAGGCCCCTCTGTTACCCTGCTTTACTTTATTGGTACTGGGGTACAGACCAGAGGGATGCATTCAAGGAGGAAGAAGAAAGAGGGAGAAAGGCACTGGGCTACGTTTGCCCAAATCAACAGTCTCTTCCCCAAATTAATGATTAAGTATTCATTCCACCTGTATGGGGAGAACTAATGGTTGGAGAGGGGGTAGGGATATTTAGGGAAAATCCTTTCTCCTGAAAAGCAATTTTAATCTTTTAGCTAAGAGAGTAGTCTAGGATTTTGCATCTTGAGGGCAATGACTCGGCTCAGGTTTTGATGTGCAAGTTCCCTCTTGTGTTTTACTATTGGAACCTCTTACCAACACAACGAAATGGGATAGAGTTAAAACCCTGATTTATTATCCTAATAGTAGCAGTTAGATTATTTTATATTTTTCATTTATTTGATGTAATTTTGAAGTCTTGAAATACAATTTAGGGGCCTACATAAAACTACCTTTTATTTGTATAATGATTTAGTTTTTATAGTGTTTGAAATTCATTTAAAATGCTGTTTTTTGATATTTGCAAAAATCCTATGAAGCAGTCAGAGAATTCTCCCATTTTACAGATGAGGAAACTGAAACTTAGGGGCTCAGTTGCTCATTTAAGCTTTTAGAGTTTGCAAGAAGAATGTAGAACTCTCTGGGCAGTTTCCCTAACATTTTGGTCTTTTCCATTTTAACGCTTTAAATGAGTGTAGATTTATGCATCTGAGAGGCAGAAATTAAATTTTCCTTCTTTTGTGTAGGAATCCTATGCCCTGCTTAACAAATACGGGCTTCTGATAGCAAAGGAAGAGATGGACAAAGTCGATACTCTGCATTATTCTTGGGAGAAGCTCCTGGCACGTGCCAACGAAGTTCAGAATGAATTAGTCTCACTGCAGCCTGGTTTTAGGAAGGAACTTATTAGTACCGTGGAGGTCTTCCTTCAGGACTGTCACCAGTTCTACTTGGACTATGATTTGGTACAACTCCAGCTTTTTCTGTTTGTATTTTTGGGGAAGAGTGAACAGAGCATGCAAAGTGTTTAAAGATTATGTGTCAAGTTTAATGAAATTCCCTAGGAGTGGGAATTTTATTTTCATGACAGCAATCTAAGAAATGAAGAATTTAAAAAGTGCTGTTCATGTTATATCATTGGTCTGTTCTTGAGGCTGTTTGATAGCTTTCTAAACTTGTGTAGACAAATACTATTCACATATGGTTAAAACAGTCCTCCTTCTACAGCTTTCCTTGCTTTCACAAACACCACAGAGTACCCAGCATGTGCCAGGCACTGTCCTTGGTGCTGAACCCACAAACTGGACAAGACGGAGTTCATGTTTTAGTCATTCATTTATGAGTTTTAGTGCCAACTCTTCTATGGGAATATGTTGTATAATAAGACCAACTTCTAGCCAATTATAATATACTACAGAACGGAAATATGTAGAGTAAAGGGTACAGTCTGTGCCTATTATATAGGAAAAACACACCAAACCACAAAGTTAATATATGAGATTGGATCCCTGCACTAACTTCATGGATGAAGAAGCACAGAAATCCACATATTGAAGGTGTTATAATGTAGGAAAACCTGTTGGGAATGTTAAGATTATAGGTCACTTTGCAAATAGATATGAGAATGGTAAAATCTGTGAGTTTTGTGGCATTAGTGTTTTAGTTCAAAACCAGACATTATATGGGCTTCCTATAGAGTGCTTATTGACCCTTCTTTGCCTGTGTCACCTAAGAAATGAATAGTACTTGTTTTTAATTTTCAAAATTTCTTAAAATTTAGAAGTTGTGGTATTTTTAGACTTGAAAATATTTCCAAATGAGACAATTTCTTGAGTCCTTTTCTACAATTTAAAAGTGAAGTTTCCTGTCATTGATGTGACATGCATGCAAGCTAACTTTGATGTGCAAATACTTTGAGCTCATAAAATCCATAGGCAACATTTCATTTTATTTTATGTTTAACTTTTTGTTTCAGAATGGTCCAATGGCCAGTGGCTTGAAACCCCAGGAAGCCAGTGATAGGCTTATCATGTTTCAGGTAATCTTTTTAGTTTCTGTGACCATCTAAACAACCAAAACCTTAATGTGTTTTAGACACATATATTTTTTCCCTTAATATAGAAAGGCCTATTGTGGAATATTTTAAAAAACGTCAATGGGATGATTATAATTGGAGTTAGTTTCTATGTAATTAGTTACAGTTATTTACTAGTCTTACTTGCCTGTGCTCAGAGATCATACATGTTTGCTTATTTGCCATTTTTTTGAAATTTACATGTTTATTCATGTGTAAATCATCTTGTTGAGTTTTCACTTGTGTTTTCTTTAGAATCAATTTGATAATATCTATCGGAAATACATCACCTACACTGGAGGAGAGGAGCTTTTTGGGCTGCCAGTTACTCAGTATCCTCAGCTTCTTGAAATAAAGAAGCAACTAAGTCTTCTACAGAAAATATACACTCTGTACAACAGCGTCATAGAAACTGTAAATAGCTATCATGATATCCTTTGGTCAGAAGTGAATATTGAAAAAATCAACAGAGAACTTTCAGAGTTCCAGAACAGGTGAGAAATTAAATGTTAGCATGCCCAGAGCTATTGAAGCTCAAATGCTCTCTTTTTTGATAGGCTGTCAAGTTCTCTTCTCACCCCCAGATCTTTCGCAAGCACATTGTGCTGCATTGCTGTTGTCTGTTGACATTGCCCTTGCCAGACCCTATTTATTAATTACTCCTGTGTGGGCGTGGTGAGACAAGCACATCCTTTAAACCTGGATGAATCTAGTCAGGGGCTTTTCTGCATCTTGGAGGGAGCAGAACTCTATATTATACTTACCAACATTTGAGGTTTATGTGAGATGACTTCCTGTAATAAAAGCAAGAGCCCTCTGATTTTTCTACATCCTTTTAAGTGTTGAACCCAAAGAAAATAGAGGGTCATTTGTTACATTTTTTTGGTTGACAGCCTGATAAACTCTGTTGTGCTTTGTACTTAGAAGGCTCTTAAGGTATTAAGACTATTAAGGTATTTGTAGAATTGGGTTGAATTGGGAGGCACCTCTATCCTTTAAAATAATGCCTTTTTTTATAGTTAATTTTTATGAGGGAGTTGAAAAAAAAAATCTTTCCTGATTGGGAGGAGTGCTTTTCTATAATGTAGAAGTATGTTATATTAACAGATACCCTCTCAGTCATGAGATTTAAAAATGCTGTAGGTATTCAAAATGACTGTTTTTGATAGAAATGCTAGCAGGCTGTCTTGGATTGGATACATCCAGGCTTATCTTTGAATAACCACTCATGGTGGCTTCACTTTTCAGGTGTCGGAAGCTGCCCCGGGCCTTGAAGGACTGGCAGGCTTTCTTGGATCTGAAGAAGACCATTGATGATTTCAGTGAATGCTGCCCCCTCCTAGAGCACATGGCCGGTAAGGCCATGATGGAGAGGCACTGGAAAAGGATAGCTGCTCTCACTGGGCATAGTCTGGATGTGGGGAATGAAACCTTTAAGTTAAGAAATATCATGGAGGCACCTCTTCTGAAATACAAAGAGGAAATAGAGGTACAGTTGATAGAAAGCATGATATGGTGGTGGTGGTGGGGGGGATTGGAAGGTCCCATGGGATTTATTTTGATAGTATCCTACATTATGGAATGTTGGATTAGTAAACCATACTAAGAGAATTAAAACTCTTTTCTGGGTATTCAGCTCTTCTTCCTTCAACAAATGTTTATGTGACAGGTTTTGTGTTAAGCGCTGGGGACGTAAAGATGCCTTCCTGCATTCATAGATCATTAAATAGTTTGTGTACTGAAATAATTATCCAAATAATGGTATAGTTACAATATGTGGCAAATACCATTGAAGTAAAAGAGTCTCTGCTCTATGACAGCCTATAGTAATAGGCTTATCCTGTTTGGGGGTGGGGTGTGATAAAGGTAGCGAATGCTGGGGTGCATGTCCATGACTGCTGGGGGTGCGTGTCCATATGCTTGCGTGGTGAGGCAGGGAGGGGCTTGGAAATTTCAAAGAAGACAGTGTCAGGCAGGTGAGGCAGCACGTGTGAAGGGTCTGAGGTGTGTTTGGGAAACCAGAGGAACGCCAGCATGACGAGGGTGTGTTATTGATTTTGGTCTTTGGGCCAATGGGGAGCCATCTGGGAGACATATTTTGAGCAGAGATGACATGGTTGGAGTTGCATTTTGTAAAGATCACTGCGGTAACTGCATGGAGAAAGGATTGGGGGAGGGCCAGTGGGAATGATGAGAAAGTCAACTAGGGGGTTATAAGAATATCTCAGACAAGAGATAATGGGAAATGATGGGAAAGTCAACTAGGGGGTTATAAGAATATCTCAGACAAGAGATAATGGTATATTGGACAAGGGGGCAGGTAGCGAAGCTGGAGAGGGGAGAAAAGATTGAGGAGATCTTTAGAAGGCAAAGCTGGGTAGAATTTGGTGAGGGAGGGACCATGCTAGGAGAAACAAGGGGAGGGGCTAAGGAGGAACCCTAGATTTCCTGCTGAGAGATCTCAGTGGATGAATGTGCTTATCATTGAGATAGGGAATTATTGGAAGGGAATCAGTTGAATGACAAGGTGCAAAGAACTTGATTTGGGGCATGCATTTGATATTTTACAGAATGTGTTTGGGGTTCCCTTGGTAGATCCAAGCACAGAGCCCTAGTAGGCAAATGGATGTGGGTCTTACCTGGAGATGCAAAAGGTTACAGGCATAGATGAGCTCATCCAGAGAGGGAGTGCAGCGTGAGAAGAGAAAAGGGCAAGGATGGGGCTTGACTAATGGTCTAGGAATAAATGTGGCTGCAGAGGAGACTGGGAAAGTCAGGTTTCTGTTAATTTCCTTCTCTCGTACTGCATTGATTTGGCTCTAGAGTTAAATCAGAGACACATTAAATTTTGAGTCTTTGATTAGAGTTTCAAAATTGAAAAGGTTATTACATTATCTGTCTTTTATCCAAATGGAGATGTAATTGACATGTAACATGGTGTAATGTATTGACTTGATACCCTTATATGCTGTATGATGACATGTAACATGGTGTAATGTATTGACTTGATACCCTTATATGCTGTATGGTGGTCTGGTCATTGTGGTGTTAGCTAGCACCGCTGTGGCACCACACAATTATCATTTCTTCTATTGGTGGCAGCAATTAAGCTCTAGTCTATTAGGAAGTTTAATATCTACAATGTAGTTTTGTTATCTATAATCCCTGTCCTGTGTATTGGATCTCCAGGCCTTATTCATCTGCTGGTTGCAAGTATGTACCCTTAAACATCTCTCCTTTTCCCCCTCCCCCAGTCTCTGGTAACTACCATTCCACTCTGTTTTTTGAGTTTGGTTTTTCAGATTCCACATATAAGGGATATCATATAGTATTTGTCTCTGTCTGACTTATCTCACTTAGCCTAATGCCCTCAAGGTCCATCCACGTTGTTGCCAATGGCAGGATGTCCTTCTTGCTCATGGCTGAATAGCATTCCATTGTTGCATATCTTTTCTGTCATCTTTCTTTCTGGAAGACTTTGATGGGAAGTTTTACAAATTAAGGTTCTGTTATTTAGTAATAGCTCTATCTTCATCTCTTTCACTAATTGTATATCTATATACACATGCACCATTTCTTATTTGCATTTTACAGATGGAAAAAAAAGTATAGGTACGTAGGGAGAAAATAGTGAGGCTAGGACCTTTGCTGAATCTAGACTGTTCAAGAAGGATGTGTGACTTTCATGTGATAAAACAAGAGCTTGCAATTTTAATAGGACATCTGTATCAGTGCAGTGAAAGAGAGGGACATTGAGCAGAAGCTGAAGCAGGTGATGAACGAGTGGGACAGCAAAGCATTCACCTTTGGCACCTTTAAAACCCGTGGAGAGCTCCTCTTGCGGGGAGACAGCACCTCAGAAATCATCGCCAGCATGGAGGACAGCTTGATGTTGCTGGGCTCCCTACTGAGCAACAGGTAGGAAGTCCGTCCGTCTTTCCCCTGAGATTCGGGGACCATTGTAACGAACATTTTAAGGGAAATTCATTTTTAAAATGCAGCAGTAGCCCCCATACAATTCATTTAATGTTAAAAATCCTTGTTGTAATTTTAGCCTTTGGCACAGCATGTATAATCCTGTTTTTATTTCATTATCCCCTATTTGTGGGATGTGTCTGAGACCGTTAACTGGACAAAATAATGCAACATGTAATTAGCCACGTGGATCTTGCGGAACATTTCAGCTTTGCTCTTGACAAGCCTTGCCACACAGCTGACAGCTCAACAGGCTCCAGAGTCCAGGGGAAATGAGGCTGGTTTCAGAATAATCGTTCTACTTGGGAAGTCATTGTGCCAACATCTGTGGACTAGAAACTCTAAGTTAGGTACATACTTTAATGAGATGACAGATTAAGATGGAGAATGAATTTAATTCATAAAGAGAAGTAAAGCAGCACAGACCAGTACTAGTCTAATGCTTCTATGCGACCCTTACCAGCAAAGCCATCATGCTTTGGACACATGAGCCTTAGACTCATGAACTTAACATTTCCTAGGTTCATTGCTTCTCTTTGCTCTTTCTGAAATCGTTTTTTGTTCTCCAGCATCTTCTCAAATATATGGTAATAGTGTAGCATGTGGGTATCATCGAGATATGAGTTTATTGCGTTTGTCTTTCAAATGTCACTCTATTCTGTGTCTATGTGTATCAATAATTTTAATATAAGGATTAATAACCCCTTAATACTCTTTGGATAAAAATTTCTCTTCTTCACATTTACTTCGTATACTGGAATGTTTGAAGTGAGTAATATGGAATATAAAATTAGATCTTAGAGATTTAGACCATTGGTAACCTTGACTCTGATCTACTTAGGATTTGACAGTTTTAATGAATTTGGTTGTGATTCATACCCAAGTAGAATGAAGGATAGGTGGAAAATAACACACCCTAGGGAGGTAGAAAATGTACATGTATAAATTAAGTAAAAATTATCTATGTGGGGCACCTGGGTGGCTCCGTGGGCTAAGCATCTGCCTTCCGCTCAGGTCATGATCCCAGGGTCCTGGGATGGAGCCCCACATTGGGCTCCCTGCTTAGCAAGGAGTCTGCTTCTCCCTCTCCCTCTGCCTGCCACTCCCCCCTGCTTATGCTCTCTCTCTCTGTCAAACAAATAAATAAAATCTTTAAAAAATTATCTATGTTAGGGATTGGCCAACTATCCTTACCAATGACATTGAATCCACAGACAAGAGTTGTGCGAGGAATACATATTAGATGCAAATTTATTGAACACCTACTATGTGCCCTGTGTTCTTCTAGGTGCTATGGATAGAAGGGTGAATAAAACAAAGACTTCCATTGCTATGGAACTGCATTCTAGTGAAAAGAATAAATTAAAAAAAACCCCAGAAATATGTGGAATATTAAAACAGTCTGTTTAACAACTAAGACTATGGGAATGAAAATTTTATTCACGAATATGACTAATATTTGAGAAGATTTCAAGTCCATAGTCTGTTGGAATAGGGGGGTCAATAAGGGAGGAGAAAAAGAGGGAGAACAGTGATAGTCAGTGTAATCATTTAGGATTTTGTCTGCAGATAATGGAAGCACCACATACGACATTGCTTGCATCAGACTGAGGTTTGTGTGTCTCTTACATAAAAGGAGCTCCAAGGTTGATGAGAAGCTCCACCTCATCATCAGGGACCCACGCTTTTGTCTGGCTCACTTTTCTGTCTTTTCCAAGTGTGGTCCTTCTCTCCCATAATTCCCCTACCATCCAGTGCTGCTACTTCTCATCCAGGAAAGTGGTTCTCAGACTTGGCTATATGCTGGACACACCTAGGGAACTTACAGCCTGGTTGGATCAGACTCTCTTGGAGGTGGGACCCAGGCAGGCATGAATAGTTTTTAAGATCTGCTGGATGACCCCAGAGTGCGGCCAAGGTTGAGACCTACTGAGGTTGAACAGTCCTGGTACTGCACTTTGCTGCAGAGGAGGCTGGGAGATTTAGCATGGTAACCGGGCAGCTCTGTGTCGGGGAGAAATGGGGTTCTCCATCCAAAGAGAAGGAGAAAAGACATTGCAAGATTACTATCGGTTTCTGTCTCAAGAAAGAAAAAGGGAAGCTGGGTTAACTGTGTGAGAGACTGAAAAGTGGCTTTCAGAGTGTCCGTGTACAGACGTGTAAGCCCTAACACACACACACACACACACACGCACACCACACAAACACCAGCAGGTCGACATGAGTGAGTGGGAAGTTGGGAAGAGACCCAGGAAAGGGGAGGCTAGAGAGAGAGCAGGGGTCGTCATATTTGAAAATTGAATTAGTTGTATGGTCTCCACCAATGTCCCTGTAATTGCTCCATTTTATATGAAAAACCAGAGAGAGTCCCTGGAATAGGCACAGAAGGTCAGCAGAAAGAATATTATGCTCTTGGCTGTAGCAACAATGACTCGAATTTTATTACTTTAGAAGTTGGGTGCAGTCAAGTCTAACACCTGATCTGCTCCTCAGATGACACGTCTTTTCCCACCTCTCTATGCTCTGGATCAAAAAAGAGCAAGTTGAACAATGTCCAATAAACAACGATGAATTAGTCACTTGGTAGTGACTTTAATTTTAAAAGCCAGCAATGGGGGTGCCTGGCTGGCTCCATCAGAAAAGCATGTGACGCTTGGTCTCAGGGTTGTGAGTTCAAGCCCCACATTGGGTGTAGAGATTACTTAAATAAATAAAACTTAAAAAAAAAAAAAAAGCCAGCAATGTAATCAAAGTGCTAAAGAAATAGGTAAAAATTAGGATAAAAAAATCTTTTAGTTGGAAAACAACAACAATAAAAAGAAAACACACAAAAAACCCCCAAATGCTGAACGTATTTTTCATTTTAGGTACAATATGCCATTCAAGGCCCAGATTCAAAAGTGGGTGCAGTGCCTTTCTAACTCAACAGACGTCATTGAGAACTGGATGATGGTGCAGAACTTGTGGATTTACCTAGAAGCTGTCTTTGTGGGAGGAGATATTGCTAAGCAGCTGCCCAAGGTTTGAGAATTTTCCTTAGGATTTCATCAGGGTTTTAACTTAGAGAACTATCTGCTAACTAATAATTCCTTTAAAAATGCAATAATATCTCAACTTCTGTTGAGCCACACCCGCCCCAATCTTTTTGTTGTTGCCATTGAACTGTCTTTCAAAGAGAGAGCAATTGTGGAGAAGAAAGGATGTGAATGCTAGAGAACTGTGCCATTTTGTAGGAAGCAGAGGGTTAAGAAAACAAAGGATGAATGCCTGCATAATTGATATGCTTCTTCAGGTAATTTGAAGGTAGAATTTGGAATAGTGTAGAATTATGGAGTCGTTATCTTGACAATGGTGGGATAATTTGTTCTGCTCCTTCTGACAGTTTAGAACAACCCATGCTGTACAATATACCCAATTATATCTGCACTGGAGAACTGGGGGGTGGAAACAATCTCCAGAACAATAAAAGGCCTTCTTCTCGAGATTGTGGAGCATGTTTCTCTCATCAGATTTAAATATCTCATGGGGAATATGGAGTGTAGTATTTCAAAATTTTTATAAAAACATTTTTATCAAATCTCAAGGATTCTTATTCAATTACCTTAAATTGTTTGCAAAATTATAATGTTTTAACGATACACTTGAGTTTTAGAAGCACGATTATGTTGCGTGTTCTCTTTCCTCAGGCTTCCTACCTTTCCCCGTGATGAGTTTTCAATTTCATTATAGAGGACAGATCTTTTAGCTGATGTATTTTTCACCTACTGGTGAAATGTATCCACACATTGAAATTTTAAGTATTTATTTTTGCTTTTATATTTGGGAATGTGTTTCTTCCTGTTGGGTGGAGGAGAATCTCAAATTGGACTTAATAGTGGAAACTTTTCACATACAATATTGAAGGAGCTGGGTGGGGTGTCTTGCTCTCATATTTGATAGTATATGCTTCTTGGTAAACTATAGAAAGTTTTAGGGAAGAAAAAAATTATTTCTACTCTCTCAGAGTAATCTCTGCATTTTCCATTTTTTTCTGAAAAAAATCCATATTCAAAAATTTCACAATATTAGGGTTATACTGTAATTAATTTTGTACCTTATATTTATTTATTTTCAAAGATTTATTTATTTGAGAGGGAGTGTATGCAGGTGGGGGGGCAGAGGGAGTCTTTTTTTTTTTAAGACTTTATTTATTTATTTGAGACAGAGAGAGCAAGAGCAGGGTTAGGGGCAGAGGAAGAGGAAGAGGGAGAAGCAGACTCCCTGCTAAGCAGGGAGCCCAATGTGGGGCTCAATATAGGGCTTGATGTGGGGCTTGATCCCAGGACCCTGAGATCATGACCTGAGCTGAAACCAAGAGTTGGAAGCTTAACGACTGAGCCACCCAGGCGCCCCGAAGAGTTGGAAGCTTAACTGACTGAGCCACCCAGGCATCCCCTAATTTTGTGTCTTATTTTTAAATGTTTGCTTTGTTTTCTAGATATACAAACAATTCAGTGCTCAGAGTAGAAAACTTGAAAAACAGAAAATTCACTTTATTTAGAGATAACTGTCAAAAATGCTTAGGAGTGCTCTTTCCTCCCAGGCTGTCTCATATTGTATTTTCATTTCTGTATCTGTCTTCTTTTAGTTAACATAATGGGGGTACCTTCTGTAAGGAAGGGGGTGGGATGGTGCAGAAGAATTGAAATAGAACACGTGTGACATTTCAGGCATGTATAGTTGGGGTATCCGGACTGGTCAGAAATCTGGCCTCAATGGAAGGGTGTGTGAGATGCTCTGTCCTTGAGATCACAGATGTGTCCATGTGTGTGTTGTTACCTCGTTCTTGTAGGAAGCCAAGCGCTTTTCCAATATTGATAAATCTTGGGTGAAGATTATGACTCGGGCTCATGAAATGCCAAATGTAGTTCAGTGTTGTGTTGGAGATGAGACCATGGGACAGCTCTTACCACACTTGCTGGACCAGTTGGAAATGTGCCAGAAATCCCTCACTGGGTAAGTTAACTGGTCCTGTAAACCTCCCTTAGCATCCTAGAGATGAATGGGACCAGAGGGTCTAGACAGCATTAGGCACATCGATTTTCTTTTGCTAAAACTTAGTTCATGTCTGATGTTGCACAGATAAAACTGGTAGCTTGGCACCTCATGCTCTCTGCAAGCCCTTGCTGGATTTGTCCTGATGTTGGAATAATAGGACTTAGGGCTTCTTCCATCATTGGGACAAGATCTTGCAAACATTCTCAAGCAGCTCTTGCTTTTTAAAATTAATACACCTACTTTTCTGATTTTCTTCTTGGAAAAACATCTGAAGAGGCAAAATATTTCATTATATGCAACCAAGAACAATATGAACAGTGTGATGTACACAAGTAGTCAAGATTATACAGAAACGAGGCTTCATACACCTATCAGTACACACACACACACACACACACACGTGTGTATATGGAGGCTGGGTGAATTCCAAGAGTAACATATTTTTCTTTTCCTTTGGCAAGTCAAGATCAAATCATGGGAGCAGAAATATGTTAAATAGTAATATTGTAAAAACGGTTAACTACACATGCTTTCGTTTATAATTTATTTTTATTGAGGTATAATTGACATATAACATTATATTAGTTTCAAGTATACAGCAAAGCCACTTGCAAGCAAATCCTCCAAAATAAATTTTTAGAAAAATAGACTCTCAGGTATGAATGATTCGATATGCTTTATAAAATTGTTGAATGAAGTCAAGGGACTGTTGCAGGTCATTTGACAAAAGAAGGATTTTGTTTTCAAATGGTTGATGATGTGCCATTCTTTTTAACCGTAATGATTAGCATGAGCAGCTGTGTGGCAGTACCCCTAAACGTTCTTGGATGGGGAGCTGGCTTGATGGCCATGCAGTCTACCACCAGACTCAGGCTAGAGGGAAAGAGGAAAAGGACTAGAATGTTGGAAAGACTGAGGGCACGAATCCCTAGGACATCATGCAGGACTCAGTTACCTCTGAGAAACTTGCTGAGGAGTCACATCTCTGGTCTACCTGCAGCTGAGTTTGTTACTTTTCTTTGCTTACTCCTCTCCCGCCTGCCGTTTTAGGCACACACTCATGCACACTCCTTTTCTCCTCTTTCCTTTTTCATTCTTTTTTATCATGCTCTACTCTGTCACTTGGCGTTTCAGCATTATTTTATAACTCTTCAGAGGAAAAAGTCGACTCTGAAATTATTCACAGTTTTTTCTGAGCTCCTCATGGCTTTTGATTCTGTTCCCGAGAGGTTATGGGCCAAAGTGTGTAGTCCCGGTCTAAACACTGGAGTATTAATGTTTACACAAAAGAACACTCTTCCCAGCTGATGAGGATTTGCATCAATAGGAAAGGACTTCCTGTGGTCAGGAATAAATCGTCTTGTTTACTCTATCACAGAGTTTTGGTCATCACGTTCCACATGCCTCCTTTCAGCCTTGACTCACTGGATAGACAACATTACCTGGTTCCTCATCAAAATCAGACTAGGTTACTGCGAAGGGGACAAGTAAGGGGGAGGAATTGGTAAGAATTTATGCTTACCAATAAGAATAAGGAATTCCCTATTCTCACTAAAGAGTAAAGATCAAGCTTCTACGAATAAGACGGATTGGGATATTTAAAATAAAATTGGCCTTTTTAGAGTAAGGAAAGTAAAAAGCTAAAACAACATGAAACACTCTGAGCATAAAAGTAAGACTTTAGGAAAATAAGGGGGATGGAAACAGATTCTTGGAGAGCCTTCTCCTGCCCGCTCTCTGAGGCCAGACTTTGTGCTTTTTTTACATGCCCAAAGGGAATAAATCCAAATTGCCAAAATGATCGTTTGTAGAGTGTATTTTACCGAGTATTTCATGAGCATTGAGGAGGAAGATTATATCACACACAGAAAACTCGTCCATTTCAGTTACTTTAGAGGCACCTTACTTCCACAGTCTGCCTTTCTGTCTCCTTCCTTTCTTTGCCTCTTTCAGCCTCTGAAAAATGTCCTCTCTTTTGTCTTAAGGAATTTAACTCTTGCCCTCATGCTGGGCCTCCCACTCAACAACACACAGGTCCAGCATTTGACTAAGTATGGGCGGCCAAGCGTTCCCCACGCGTGGCCTCGAGGGCACCAGCTTACTCGGCCTCTGGTCTACACTGTCCTTAGTAAATACCTTCTATGAAGAGAATCTGCCTCTTTGCCATAAGAATATTTCCCCCATGATTTTACACAGGAATGAAACAATAATACACATGACAAGGAAGGAATAGAAATTAAAAGACAAAAGTTTAAGAAGGATTTCTGGTAAGATTTCAAAAAGAAATTACAATGAGAACTGCAATAATTATATTGAAGTATGCAAGGAAATGAAGTTACAGAGGTATTGATATGAAAATAACAGAAAAAAATATATCCATAACATTAAGGAGTCACCATAAAATAAAGCAAATAGAGAAACGAAAGCACAGTTGAAAACAGGGCAATGACAGGAACATTCCCTGGGTTTCAGTAAATCCTGGAGCAGAGAGCAGGTCCAGAGCCCCTTCGCACAGTTTATTCAGAGCTGGATTTTGCTTCTGCTTCGGTGACGGATTCATTGCATTCTTTAAGATACAATTCCTAGAATGAGATGCAGCCTTTCACTGACACAGCCCCATGCTTGCAAACAAACCTAACCTCCCCCCAAACTCCTTGTGTGTAATTGCTCCTGTCCTCTACCAAGAAAGTACAGGATTTTCCAGACAAAGTCAAATGTATACCTCACACTTGTGAAAAATGAAGAAATTCTCCTCTCAGTCCTGGAAAAAAAAATTTGTTTCTCGTCCAAATATGGAATGCTACTTGGCAAGATGAGGAATAAAACAAAACCAAGACATTGAACAGTATGTGGGAAAATTAGCTTGTCTCAAGATCTTTCCCGCCTTTCCCCATCCAGATTAATTTATTTCTAGAAAGGTCCGCTCTCTGTGTTTATGCAGTTTCTCTTTGCCTCTCCCCACGTAGATACTTGGAGAAAAAACGACTGTGCTTTCCTCGGTTCTTCTTCGTCTCAGACCCTGCGCTTTTGGAGATACTGGGGCAGGCATCAGACACACACACGATACAGGCCCATTTGCTGAATGTGTTTGACAACGTCAAAACCGTCAAGTTCCATGAAAAGGTTTGCCTGATTCTGATTGCTGGCCTGCACTTGCCATCTCTTAAACCTCCACTGTCTTTATGAAATAGCTCTCTGGTGTGTACAAAGCGTGACTTTCCTGTCCGTTCGTGCTCTCAGCTAGTGATTAAAGACGAACTTGGGGGCCCCATTTGCCTTCAGAATTGTGTGATTTCTTAATCTCCAAAGTGTAAATTTGGGTAACAACTAGTTTAAATATGATTAGGAATGCATTGTGCGTGGCGTTCAGGGTTTTGCATGCCAAGCTAGCTGTTGAGAAATTCGACAAAACAAAGAAACCAATTGTTCAGAGAATAATGCCTTCACTAAACAGAATTACCACAGTGATTGGGTTGTTTTCATCAGCTTTCAGAAGTTTTTGGCATGATCGCCGTCCCTGTTTCTCATCATGCTTGATTGAATCCTTTTTATTTTTTAACACTTCCAAGAAGTTTCTAGAATCATGGAGTTGTGGGGAACCCAAGAGAAGCCATTCAATGTGAAGATAACTCTATTGGCACACCTGCCAGGAGATCCTGCCTGATCCATCCCTTCACCCGCAGTTCCCTGAGAGAGTGACCCTTCTGGTTTGACAGTGTGTTCCGTTGTCCCCTGGGGCTTCCTGTAAACCCCTGGTGCCATTCATTTATTCATCCTAGCATGCAGTTTGCACTTGCTGAGCAACCTCCGTGTGCCAGATGGTGTGCGTAACACGGGAATACACAGGCCTTGGGGAACCGTGCTCAGGTGGGGTCCATCTAGAGCGCGGTTGCTGCAGGGGTGGGCCTATTGCATTGCAAGCAATCAAAATCGGTCATGTAAGTTCCCGCCCCTGGGTATGTGCCAGGCATGGTGCTCGTCCTGGGGTTCCAAGGAAGAATTTATCATAATCAATACTGAAGTCATTTTTATGCAGTGCAGCATTCGTCAGAAATTTGGCAATTAAACAGTTGATAATTATTGAATGGCTGTGCTTGTGTTAGGCACAGAGAGCGTGGGAATGCTGTCAGGGAGCCTTCAGCTGGTGTCAGGGGTGTAAGGGAAGGCTTCCTGCAGAGAGCATGGTGCTTGAACTGGTGTTTTGAAGTGAAACATAACCAGGCAGGTGGGGAACTGGAACATGGCCCATTCAGAAGGAAGGGCAGGCACAGGGGTCTGAAGGTGCGGGCAACCCGGGCTGTCAGAGTGTGGGTGTGTGAGGGATTGTATTGGTTTGCTAGGGTTGCTCTGGATTGACAACAGAAATGTATTCTCTCACAGTTCTGGAGGCTGGAAGTCTGATCTAAGATGTCGGCAGGGTTGGTTCCTACTGGAGGCTTTGAAGGAGAATTTATTCCATGCTTCTCTCCTAGGTTCTGGTGGCAATTGGCAACCCTGGATGGTCCTTGGCTTAGACACATGTCACGTTGACATCTGCCTATGGCTTCACATGATATTTTCCTTGTGTCTCTGTGTCTTAATTTCCTTCTACTTGTAAAAACAGCAGTAGGTGTTTTTAGGGACCACCTTCATCTTAACTTGATGATATCTACAAAGACCCTATTTCCAAATAAGGTCCCACTCACAGGTACTGGGGCTTAGGACTTCAACATATATTTTGGGGGCACACATTTTAACCCATGAGAGGCGGTGATGAGCAAAGTGAAAAGGGGGAGAAGGAGACATGGACCAGATTCCACAAGGCCAAGTGCATCACACTACGGAATTCCACTTCGTCCTGAACATGACAGAAGGCGCAGGAGGTTTTTACACAGAGAAGTGACCTGATTTGTGTTTCGGAAGGATGCTCTGGCTCAGTGTCAGAGGGACAATAGAAGGCGGTGGGGGCATGGAAACCTGTGTCAGAAATGATTGTGCAGTTAAGATGGAAAAGGCTGAGCTGCTACAAGAAAGCCTTGATGAAGGAGGGCGGGCAGAGAGGAAGGGAGGACAGTGTGGACTTAGTGGTTTAAAATCATCGTTTCTTGTAGATCTGCTGGATGTGTGTGTTGAAAGAGGTACTGAATTACACAGGAATTTCTCCCTGATGCTTTGCTCAAATCCTCCTGCACTGGGATTTCATGCTACAAGAAAGCCTTGACGAAGGAGGGCGGGCAGAGAGGAAGGGAGGACAGTATGGACTTAGTGGTTTAAAATCATCGTTTCTTGTAGATCTACTGGATGTGTGTGTTGAAAGAGGTACTGAATTACACAGGAATTTCTCCCTGATGCTTTGCTCAAATCCTCCTGCACTGGGATTTCATGGTTCTAGAGGAAAGCTTCTCACCATCTCCTTGTACAGTGAGGACAAATTAAACTTCCTCATTTTTAGCCACCGTTCATAGCAATTACGTCTTAAAATAAATAGCATTATTTTTTTGTTGTTGTTTGTTCTTGCCATAACGTTTTCTACAACCAGGGGCAGATCCTGTTTTTGTGGGTCTTAACTCTTATAAAAGGATAAATACAAATCTATGTTCAGGACTTGGAAAGGGACTGTGTAAGTGACAGGCCATGGAACGTCAGTCTTATGGCTTCTTGGTAGACCAGGTCTGTCTACAACTAAGGAGGGTTCATTAATACAGTCCTAAACTGGGGCCCAAGGGAACGATATTCCACTTACCAAAGAACAATAATGACGACAAACATTTGTATTTACTGGATAGTTTGCTTTATTTGATTTACTTGTCATGAACAGCCTGTGAAGTGGGTAGGGAAGCAGGACAGGCATGGTTTTTAATGGACTAGTTATAAGCAGGAAATTTAGTCTCAGAGATGTGTCCTCTACCATTGTGTGGTCAATGAGTGTCAGAGTAACATTTGAGCCTGTATTTTAGTATATAGGATGCTATTCTTGCGAGGCCATACTGCATGGAACCTGGGGTGAGAGGACCAGATGAGGAGCTGGGTTTGAATCAGAAAATGTTATGTGCCTCCAGGAGCTCCCTGGCACAGCATTTTCTACAGAATTGGACTTACCTGGTAAGGTGTTTGCATTGATCATATTGACCTGGACATTGTCAATGTCGATTGGTAAGCTTGCCATGTGGATGACAGCTGTTACGGTGTCCCATTTCATTTGGGGAAACTAGATGTTTTTTGATCATCACCTTTGTAGTGAGTATTTCTCTTAGAAAACAAGCGTTCCCCTCTCAGGTATAGACTATTGGGAGTCGATTCAGTATTCCCTTTTAGATTTCATGGGTAACTACTTTTTGTTGGCTTGAAATTGATTTTATATCACCTTTTGCCTTTTATTTTATAATCTATAGCTTAACTTCCTTCGGGAAGGATAACATTGACAAGAGGGCAGCAGAGGATTCATTCTTTATATGAATATGGCTGGTTTTTTTTTTTTTTTGGCTTCTACCACAGATCTATGATCGCATTCTGTCAATCTCCTCTCGAGAGGGTGAGACTGTTGAATTGGATAAACCTGTGATGGCAGAGGGTAATGTGGAAGTTTGGCTTAATTCTCTCCTAGAGGAGTCTCAGTCCTCCTTGCATCTTGTGATTCGCCAGGCAGCTGCAAATATTCAAGAAACAGATTTCCAGCTGATTGAATTTCTTTCTTCCTTCCCTGCTCAGGTCAGTGTATTGAAATTGGAAAGTATTTTCTACAGAATAGTCATTTTAGATTTCATACATTGTCTGTTGTAGGTTACACAACTGGCTATAATTTAAGACTGGACCAGAATTAAGATTTTCATGAGGATTTCTTAATATAGATAAGCTTAAATGTTTCAGCTACAGATTATTTGGTTATATATATATATATATGTCTTACGTAGGTTTTATATACATATGTTTTCTTTATATTTTTTAACTTAAAAGGTTTTTTCCTACTGAATCTCTTTAATAAATAAATCATAAAAAAGTACTGAGTGTATGCTTTGCCAGAAAGACAAGAAATCTATTTTAGCATTAGAAGGCAGAAAATGATGTTTTCTTAGCCATTATGATCAATAAAGATTTTGTGAGTATCTACCATGTGTAAACCTTGTGTTAGTTCAAGGAAAACAGGTTTAAGACATATTCTTTCCCTTCCAGTAACTTTAAGTCTATCTATCAAGGAAATATGACTTTAACAGTAAATGATTTAAAATTACAAGGAAAAAATTGTGGACACACGATGAGGCTGTATGTATGTAATTGCCAGGTGAACAGTATGAAAAGAATTTCCATAGGTTTCCAAACAATGAATCAAGTTGATGTAATCAAGAATGGCCTTACATTTGCATAATACTCGCCATTATTTACTGTATTGTAATTTCTATTTAAATATATTAATATGCCATACACACTCATAAAGCCTTTTTTGTTTCCATAAGGTTGGATTATTGGGAATTCAAATGATATGGACACGGGATTCAGAAGAAGCCCTCAGAAATGCCAAGTTTGATAAAAAAATCATGCAGAAAACCAATCAGTCTTTTCTGGAGCTCTTGAACATATTGATAGGCATCACAACAAAGGATCTGAGTTCCATAGAACGAGTTAAATATGAGACTTTGATTACTATTCATGTGCACCAAAGGGATATATTTGATGACTTGGTAAATGCTTTATAAATGCTATGGCATATACAGAAAAACAAATACTAGGTACTATCTGTGTTTACCCACTGGAATTTGTTTGAATGAATTCAAAGAAAAGGTTAGATTCAGGCAAAAGGTCATCTTCATGATGAGACATTGTTGGTCAGATTTTCTTTTTTGGTCTTTAACTGAAATTTCAGTCCCATTTCGATGATCTCTGCTAAGATGTTATTGAGCAACTTGACTTCATTTTAAAAATTCTTTATGCAATCATCATTAACACTAAACTGCCAGGTAGCATCCTGAAAAAGCTTGCATTTGTCTTGTGCTCCTATAAGTTAGTAGTTAAAGATTACCAATTTATTATTATAGAAAAATAAGTAACACTGCTGGTAGAGTGGCTTTGTGCTTCCTCTAAGGCTTTTGATAAATCCTATCTTTAACAAGTTTTGCTATCTTTTATGTCAATGATTGCCAGTGGCCTTTCCTAATATGGTTGGCGACATTCAGGTGTCATGCAGATTTTTGCCTTTAAAAAGAGGACAGAGTGGCAAACAGAGTTTAGTAGCTATAGAAGACAGGAAGTGTGAAAAGAAATGAAATTTGTCCTCTACTCTAAAATAGAGCATTAGATAAGAGGCAAGAAGGTCTTATTTTCATAATAATTTGCTGGATCGTGTCTCACCCCATTATGTAAAAAAGATCATAAAAGATTGGTTCTGATGTGTTGGGAAGAAGCTCTTTCAAGCTGCTGTGTTCTAATCTCCTCTCTTAACAGTTAAGCACACCATTTGCTTCTCTGAGAAATAAAGGGCTCTGGATAATTTTAGATTTATTATTTGTCAAATAAAACTGATTAAAAGGGCTTAAAATTTTGGTTAAAAAATTCAGGCAAAAGTATTGCTGGACAATAACCTGCCATTTAGATGTTAGACATTTTGGCCTGCTGCAAATCCTAGGAAAAATAATGAATGGATTAGGAAAAAACAACCCAACAGTGTACTTTGTCATAATCATAATAGATGCCTTTTTCCAAGTGAGATTGTTTGATTCTGTCTTTGTATGCCAAAACATGTTTTTTGTGGATGATAACTTTTTATGGTTAGGACTGTAGTATGGGCATTGAAGGGTGCAACCTGAGAAATGGAATATCTTACTATTAAAATATGTCCTACTATTTAAATTGGTGGGCACAATTAAGGATTTCTCTTGAATTTTTCTATTCCTGTATCTTCTAAAGTATCCTTTCTGCTGATCAGTAAATGAATGGTTGGATGGTGATGTAGTTGACATCTCTGAACCAGTTGGTTTGTCTCTGAGTTCCATTTGCATCCCATTATGATCTACATGAATGCTAATGTGCATATTTAATACGTGGTTCTCATCTCGACTTTAACATATATCTTTTGCATTTCAGTGTCATATGCATATCAAGAGCCCTACAGATTTTGAGTGGCTGAAACAGTGCAGATTTTATTTTAACGAAGATTCTGACAAGATGATGATCCACATCACAGATGTGGCTTTCATATACCAGAATGAATTTTTAGGCTGCACTGACAGGCTTGTCATAACTCCACTCACAGACAGGTGATGGAAGAATTCTGTGATTCCACAACCTCTCTCCCTCCGCCCCCTCCCTGACATTTTAGTTCTCTTGAGTTACTCAGGGGATTTCTGCCTAATGTCTCTTTAGGGTTTAGAGGCTCTTTTATACCAAAGTCTTTGAAATTCAGTATTTTTAGCTTTACACATGGGTCTTTGCTTGGAATTTAGGTTTGTGACTGAAATGCTTTGCTTCCTTTGCTTTCATTCTTAGACAGGCTAAGTTTAAATGACCTCAGTGGACATCAGATGGGCAAGAAAAGGAATTAATTGCCGTGTATCAATAAGTGCAAATCACATTTAGCCTCGAGGCCTGCTTTGCAGACAGTGGCACCTGCTGTTATTAGAGACCGTTCAGATGTTTTTTTAGCAGGAAAGAAATTGAGTATCAATACAGGTGAAAAGTGATGGGGAGGACGGTGGCCTGGGCATCTGGCGCTCTTAGTTGTCCTCTGCTTCTTATGCAGCAACTGTGCTGGCCAGAGGCTCCTTGCACCTTCCCAAGACTCAGTTTCCTCATCTGTAAGATGAACGAGGCCCCAAGCATCCTTCCACAGCTCCTAGTCTGTAATTCCCTTAGTCCCTTTTGAACTTCAGGACATGCACTAATGGTGCAGATGCTCTGTTCGGGGATGCACTGAATACCTGTTTTGGACAAAACGACCTGAGTGCTAAAATCAGTATTTGGCCTGAGTAGAAGCTGAAGTTGAATCTCATTCATTTTCATGAAGTGAAGCTCGGGGCTATTCGATTAAAAATATTCTCAGACAAAACAGAAAAGTTTGACATAATAATCCTGTTACTCCTGTGCTGCTCGGCTGTTCCTTCTGCTCATTCATGATGCTAAATGCAGTGCTGACTTTCAACGGAGAGATTGTATTGTCACGTTCCCCCTCTCCATCCTCTTTCCTAGTCCTTCTAATGCCTGGATTGAAGATGATTTACACTGGATGTGCTTGGACGTCCCTTTGAAGTGTTTGTCTTTGTTCTGAAGTGCAGAGGTGGCTAATCACAAAATGTGACAAATTCCTTGAAACGTCTGTGGGTCAGGCAGTGATCTCCCACCTTCTGTCTTCTCAGAACGCCCCCCCCAGCGCTCCCCTCCCTCCCTCTCTGGGGAAGACCACCTTTCCTGTTTGCGGGGGAAGGTGCTGTCCCAGGAGAGACCACGCCCCCCCCAAGTCTGCTGACCGGGGTGCCTGCCCTCGTGCACTCAGCTCTCCGGATGGACCTTCTATGGGGCCCTCAAAAGCCAACATCTCCACCAACAGTGCTTTTCTCTCTGGGAACATCATCAGTTTCCACCTCCGGCTGGATCATCCTCATCAACTTACAAATCTGCTGTAATCGCTACCAGAAAGAAAATCCTACAGCAAACCCTCTGGGTTTCTTCCCATTTCTGGGCTCCCATCAAAACTCCTCAGAAGCACCTGTTCCTTTTCTCCTATTTTATTTTGAATTCACTCCAGTTCGGCTCTGTATTCAGTTTCTGTTGGTCCCATAACAGGGCACCACAAATTTGGAAGGTTGAACAACACAAATGGATGATTCAACAGTCTGCGTGTTAGAAGTCTGACACGCGTCTTCTTGGGCTGACAGCAGGGGTCAGCAGGGTTGTGCTCCCTCCTGGAGTCTGTAAGGCAGAACCCACTTCCTGTGCTTTGAGGTCGTTGGCAGAATTCTTTTCTTGGCTGTGGAGGGCCCACGGCCTGTTTCTTGCTGATTGTCAGCTGAGGGCTGTCCCCAGCTTTGGGAGGCTACAGTGTTCCTTGGTTCATTACCTCGTCCTCCAACTTCACAGTCAGCAGCGGTGGGCTGAGACCCGTTTGTGCATCGACTCTCTCCTCTGTCTTCAGTCCTGTGTCTGACCCAGGCTTCTGCCTCCCTCCTCCCTTCTGAAGGACTCATGAGATTAGATTGGGCCCACCAGGTAATCCAGGATAATCTCCCCTCATGAGGCCTTTGACATTATAGCTGCAAAGTCCCGTGAGTCATTTGAGGGAACCTGTTACAGGTTTCAGGGGTTAGAACGTGGATGTCTCTGGGGGGCCGTTATGCTGCCTCTCACACTCTCTGCCCTCTCTGGGAGGGTGCCATGCAGATTTTCATGTTGCTCAGTGCACTGGTCATTATTCATTCTCATCTTTCCCCACCCATCAGACAGCACAGGTTTGCACAGGTGAGCACTCTCTTCTTTTTGATCCACTTTCTCCACACAGCTTCCAGGACACCACGCTCTCCTGGCTCTTCGTACTCTTCCGGTTGTCCTTTCATACCCCTTCTTCTGGCTCCTCTTTATCGTCCTGGTCTAAACGTAGAACACGCCAGGACTCTTGTCCATCTATGTTCACTGCTTAGGTGATCTCCATAATCTCTAGCCTGGATTATTGCAATAGTCTTTTAACTGGTCTCTCTGCTTCTGCCATTGAGCCCCCTGGAGTCTATCCTCAATTCAGACGCTGGGATGTAAGTCATATTCTGTCACCTCTTTGCCACAGTCCCTCCATTGTCTTTCTATCTCACCCAAAATAAACGCCGATGTCCTCATGTTGGCCTGTAGGGCTGGGCAGGATCTGGTTCCAGCTATTTTTCTGTTTCTTTTTCCTCATTCAGCTCCAGCCGCTTGCTCCTTGGCTGTTCCTTGAACAGCACACTCTTGCTTCAGAGCCCTTGCACTTGCTGTCCCCTTGACCTGGAACTCTTTTTCCCTTTAGTTCTAGCATAGCTTGCTTCCTCACCTCCTTCTGGGCTCTGCTCACATGTCACCTCAGAGGGGTCTTCATACCCCCCACATGAAGTAGTGATCCCCACATCTCTTGCCCTCCCAACCAGCTTTATTATTTCTGTTTCCTACTTTTTTTTTTTTTAAAGATTTTATTTATTTATTTGAGAGAGAATGAGAGAGAGCACGTGAGAGGTGGGAGGGTCAGAGGGAGAAGCAGACTCCCCGCCGAGCAGGGAGCCCGATGCGGGACTCGATCCAGGGACTCCAGGATCATGACCTGAGCCGAAGGCAGTCGCTTAACCAACTGAGCCACCCAGGCGCCCTCTGTTTCCTACTTTTAAATAACTTGTTTCCTTCCTTTAGGATGTCAGCTCAAGAGCTGACATGGACTTCCCATGATCTATTTACTATTCCTAGAATACTGCTGTCACATTATAGGTGCTAAATAAGCATTTCCCAAGTGAACGCAAGAAGTGTTTGTTTTCAGAGTCACATCTTTGTGGTGAAAAATTTAAATAGTACAGAAGGACATATAGTTGAAAGTATGAGAGTAATTTTTTTTCTGTTTTTTAAAAACAACAGTTTATTTCCTTTCCTTCTAGAAATGTCTAGTGTTTGTGTGTCCAAATTCCTTTTAATTTTTACATGTGGGTATCAGATTATACAAAATTCTCTGCAGCTTAATTCTTTCACTATGTTCATTGTCTTGTACATCTTTCTGTATCAAAAAAAACTTGAGAACTTTAAGAGCAAAGTAGGTATCTGTAAGTATATAAATAGAAGTGATTCCAAAGTTTGTCTTAGCCTGTCTTCCCCTAAATGTTCATTTGCTTATTTTTTTTATCTTGATTATGGGAGAAGTGAGTCACCCCCCCCCCCCTTTTTTTGGTCAGTCACTGGGATTTCAAAGCGAGCTTTGCTGCCCTTTTACAGAAGAACTCCTCACTAAAATTAATACTTAAAAAATCAAAGACCAGAGGCATTGATCTTCTTGTCAGTCTTTTGCTCATTGCCCTGTGGAAATTCAACAATGTTGGCAGCTTTAGTCTCTGGGAAGTTCACCATCAGGTGGATGGAGCTGCTGATATTCCGGATGATAAAATAGTTGTTCTAATTTGCTAAGAACATACAGCACCTTTCTCTGAAAGCTCATGGTGTTTTTCGTGACCAGTCCTTCCTTCCACTCTGGGCACAAGTCATCCCTACTACACTGTCACTCAGGCAGAGGGCCGCAGAAATCAAAGTAGAAACTTCTCATCTGCTTGATAAGAAATGTAGATAGGTCTAAACAACATGCGCCTTTCTCCCAAGTATTCTTACAGCTTCCGTGAGTCACACTTGCATGTCGAGCCCTGGACTCTGCCCTCAACAGCTATGTGGTCTTGGCTAAGACACCTCACCTCTCTGATTCCCTCCTTTTGGAATCACTGTGTGGACTAGAGGTGATGGATGTAGGTACCCAGGCTGGGCACCCAGTAAATGTTAGTCATTATTATCGTTGCTATGACTCTGGTTTCTCTTAATCATCAATAACATGTTCTTTATCAGTGTTTCCTTTTGTTTCTCCTTAAGCATGTTCTATAATCAGAGTCCATAACTAAACCAAAGAAAAGAAAAAAGAAAAATAAGTTCCTGATATCTGTACCATCATTGCCTTAGGAGATTTTTTTTTTTTTTTTTTTTTAACATTTTAGAATCAGTACTGTTTAAGAATAGGAACTGGAAGCACTGTGAATGTTGGTGATGGATTTGCTTAAATTGAGTGCCATCATAAGACCTGGGTCATGGGGTTGGTTGTTGTTGGTTTAGCATGATGGTCACATTCTACATCTCTCTCTTTTTTCTTAAATCTCTTGGTGTGATGGACAGGAAGGAATACAATTTAATTTAATTTAATTTAATTCATTTTTTAAGTAGGCTATATGCCTAACTTGGGGCTTGAACTCACAACCCTGAAGTCAAGAGTCACATGCTCCATCAACTGATCAAGCTGGGTGCCCCCACATTGTGATCTCTAATTCCAGTAGCTGTTGGGAGAGGAGGAACCGATAAGACTTTGCAGCTGGGCTGGCACAAGACATTTATTTAATAAGCGTTCATAGAGTACTAGGTGCCAGGGTTTAGGTAAGTAGTTGGAGCTACAAGTGTGAACTAGACCCTGTTCCTGAGAGCAGAGACCTCAGGGCAGTCTGCTGGCGAGACAGAAAGCTGCAGAACTCATCAGTAAAGCACATAAAAGTCCAAACCCTGTTCCTGAATGATGACATTTTTGAAATCAGCCAAGAGACTGGAAAGGAAGGTAGGAAAGGGAGGAGGAGAGGTACACATACATCTAGAATACTCGGGAGCGTCATGTGAACATGGACATGAAGATCCATGCTTGTCTCTGAAAGGCAAGTCCTAGAGGAGTCTGGGTGCCAGCCTAGCAGCTGGGCTGAACCTCATCAAGCGGAGGAAGGAAGGGATCAAGCTCCGGGCTTGCCCACTTATTTTTCATGTAAGTAGGATGCCTTTAAGGCACCTTAACAACTTGCCGCTGCTTCGGTTCAAATATAGACCCAAATGATCCCAGTTGTAAAGAAGGGTTTGCAAGACAGAGTAGCTGGGTGGCCAGAGTTCCCAGAGATTTACTGGCGGGGTGGACATGTTCTAGAACTGGGCAGCTTGAGGGTGTGCCGTAGACAGGTAAGCTCGAGTCTTGGCTCTGCCGCCACGATCCCGAGAAAAGGAATCCCATCTCTGTGAGCCTTTCCCCTTATCTGTAAAATGAGGAAAACAACAGCACTTCCCTGCAGGGTTCTCCGGGCTTCCGTGAGATCATGTAGGTGGGGCACATCCTGTTAACTATTATTACTGAGACTGTTCTGCCAGGGATGATGGAAGTGCAAGACGAGAAATAAAACCTTGAATTAAAAGGCAAAATCAAAGTGAGCTTGGGTGTCCTCCTGAGTTTATACCTACTTTGTCTTCTCCATATCCAGGCTCTGTATACATTCAGGGCGAAGTCATTTACTAGCCTTTTTTAGGAACACACTTTCGATAAAATACAGACTCCAGAGGACCTCCAGTTGGTGTGCTCACTGTTTATTTCCACCCTTCATGCTGGATGATCACTTTATATCCTTTGAAATATTTTTCAAGTCCCGATGAATGCTTTATAGAGTTCAGCCACAGGAAAGCCCTAAACTGCATCACTCTATAGATTACCTCCTTTGACAACACAGGGTGATGCTGGGGGATCAAGTAATTCATCAGAGAGTTATCAGGTTAGTTTTTTCCTTCCCAGGCATTCTTGTATTTTCTTACCAGAATCTTTTATTTGTTAATATCATACAGTAAGAGACAGTAGAAAGTAGGTGCAGGTACAGTAGCTGCTCCCAGAAATAGATCGAAGGTGTGATTATTTAGCAATGTGTGATTCAAATCTTAAATCTCATGTCCCCAAGTACATCAAATTCTTCATTAGATTCAAAAGGGGATTAATCTTTTTTTTTTAAAAAAGATTATTTGAGGCAGGGAGAGGGAGAGGGCAAGAGAGAATCCCAAGCAGACTCTACGATGAATGTGGAGCCCTGCACAGGGCTTGATCTTACGACCTTAGGATCACAACCTGAGCCAAAACCAAGAGCTGAATGCTTAACTGACTGCACCACCAAAAAGGCAACTAATCTAATGGTTTCCAATCTGTTCCATAGAATACTATTCTTCAAAATGTTGGTAGGTTTTTGTGAAAAAGTTGCCAAGTAAGTTTTGGAAATGCTGTGTACTATTTTTCATACTTGGAGAATCTCACTATACGTTATCATGAGAAAGCCCATTGAAGCTTTTTAAGAATTTTCAAACTTATTTGGCTGTAGACCATCCCCTCCATTTTTACACATGTTAATATCCATAAGGAAAGCACATGTTAGGATGCAGTTTGGGAAATGTTATGTAGGGACGGTGGCTTGAGTTTTCCCTTTTTAAATCTCATGCAAGTTTCATTTTACTGTGATGTCTCAGAAGCATCTTCTAGGTGCTGGTGGTATGGTTCTAGTGATGTCTCTATTCCTCAAGGTGTTACATCACATTGGCTCAAGCTCTGGGAATGAGCATGGGAGGAGCTCCCGCCGGACCTGCAGGAACAGGGAAAACAGAAACCACTAAAGATATGGGACGTTGTCTTGGAAAATATGTTGTGGTTTTCAATTGTTCTGACCAGATGGATTTCCGAGGCCTTGGGCGGATTTTTAAAGGTGAGGGTTACAGTTTTTACTTGATGAAAAATTTAAGCTAAGGTGGAATATCTTGTTAAGATTTATTTTTCAACCATTGGCTACATTGTAGTGTCATTTTTCAGCTTTGTGCAACTTTTTGGAAACTATGAATCTCACTGGTGTTGTGTGGATCAAATGTCAACATCACTTGCCTTCCTAATGTTGCTTCATCCCTGCAGGTTGGCTGTTTCCAGATAAAGTACCACATGGTGAATTATTTTGGGGGCACTCTGTGCATAGTCTATTTGTTCAAGTTTATTTTTGAACAGACTCATCTCTGGCTTGTCTTGGCAGCTGCAAAATGCCCTTTTCCTCGGCTTTTCGAAATTATATATTAATTGGATTTTCTATTTAATTTCCCTTCGAAGGACTGGCACAGTCTGGATCCTGGGGTTGTTTTGATGAATTTAACCGTATCGATTTACCAGTTCTGTCAGTGGCAGCCCAGCAAATTTCCATTATTCTGACATGTAAAAAGGAGCGGAAAAAGTCTTTTATTTTTACCGATGGAGATAATGTGACTATGAACCCTGAATTTGGACTTTTCCTGACCATGGTAAGGAACCACAGGAAGAGCTACTGAATGTCAGCCTTCTTTTTTTTTTTTTTTTTTTTTAAAGATTTTATTTATTTGAGAGAGAGCACAAGAGGGGGTAGAGTCAGAGGGAGAAGCAGACTCCCCGCTGAGCAGGGAGCCCAATGTGGGGCTCGATCCCAGGACGCCGGGATCATGACCTGAGCTGAAGGCAGTCGCTTAACTGACTGAGCCACCCAGGCTCCCAAATGTCAGCCTTCTTATCACAGCTTTCATGCCTTGCCCAGGTCTTTGTTTTCATGAATGGAAATTGGGATGGTAATTTTAACTCCTGTGTGAAAGCCAGTGGTGTTAAACAAAACTCATCTTAATAACTTGTGATGTTGTCTCTCCGGTTAAAGGGAGAGTAGGATATGAAAATGAGTTCTCCGGTTGTCAGTCCAGATTTGTTGCGTGTGCATGATGAATCTGTTGCTGTCGTGCTGACGGGTGTGTGTTGCCCCATGACTGTGTCATTCATCTGTGTGTTTATTTCCCGTATAGAACCCTGGCTATGCTGGGCGGCAGGAGCTCCCTGAGAACTTGAAGATTAACTTCCGCTCTGTGGCCATGATGGTGCCCGACCGGCAGATTATCATAAGGGTGAAGCTGGCTAGTTGTGGCTTTGTTGACAACATTGTTTTGGCCAGGAAGTTTTTCACACTCTACAAGCTGTGCGAGGAGCAACTTTCTAAGCAGGTGTGAGGTTCTGGAAGGCTCTCGGAACTTGGGCCTTCTTAGTTCTTCTCTTCCGTGAAATTTGCTCATTTTGAAAAATTGTTGACTGGGCTGTTGGCAGGTTACCTTATTGATACAAAGTAGAAAGTCATACCATTACAAAATTAATTGTATATGCGTATTTTTCTTAAGTGCATTTAAATGAATTAATATTTGCAGCATAAGAAATGAAATAAGTACTTTCATAACTGATTTAAGAGCCAAAGAATTATAATATGAATATTTGCTCTTTATCCCACCTGTACATTAATCATAATATGTGTTGTATGTCCTCATGGTTTTCAGGAACCTCTCAATCATTGCTCTTCTCACTTCCAAGCTCCCTAATGTAGTGGGCCACACCTTGCTAATAATAGTCTGTTTTATCTATTGTAACTTCTTAAAAAATTAATTTTTTATTTTTATAATTTAAATTCAATTAATTAACAAATAGTATATTATTAGTTTCAGAGGTAGAGTTCAGTGATTCATCTACTGTAACTTTTTTTTTTTTTTTAAGATTTTGTTTATTTGAGAGAGAGAGTGCATGAGCAGGGGTGAGGGAGAAGCAGAGGGAGAAGCAGGCTCGACAGGGGGCTCCATCCCAGGACCCTGGGATCATGACCTGAGCTGAAGGCAGACGTTTAACCGACTGAGCCATGCAGGTGCCCCTCATCTACTGTAACTTTTATCATAACTTTTTTGCTTGTTTCCTGCACTGTTTAGAGTAGCAGGTTCTGACATCTTGCAGTTTTGCAGTTAAGAGGCATGAAATTAATCCTATATTACTTTTGTATGAGTTATCTGTTGCTGGGTGACCATGGTCCCACAAATATACCAGCTTAAAACAATACACAGTTTATTATTTCATGGTGTCTGTGGGTCAGGAGTGTTGGTACATCTTGGCTGGGTCCTCGGCTTAGAGTGTAACAGGCTTCAGTCAAGTCTTGACCCTGTACTTGGCTGGGGGAGGATTTACTTGTACGCTCACTCCGGTTGTTGGCAGAATCCTGTGCTTGAGGTTGGAAGACTGAGGGGTTCAGTTTCTTGCTGGCTGTCAGCTGGAGAAGGCTGCACCATCAGTTCCCGCGGGCTGAGTGCTGCTCTCTGCCTCATGGCCGCTTGCCTTCTCAGTGTCCGCGAGGGAAAGAGGTTCCAGCAGGATGACTGCGACAGTTTTGTATTAGGACTCTCCAGAGAAGCAGAACCAATAGGATATATACATATATACCTATAAAGAAATTTATTATAAGGTATTGGCTCACACACTTATGTAGGTAGAGGAGTCTGATGATCTGTTGTCTGTAAGCTGGAAACCAGGAAAGATGGGGGTGTAGTTTGAAGGAATGATGGTGTAGATTCTAGTCCAAGTCTGAAGGCCAGACAACCAGGAGCATTGAGGACAGGAGAAGGTCGATATCCCAGCCCAGCAGTAGGGCAGAGTGAGTGAATCCAACCTTCCTCTGCCTTTTTGTTCTATTCAGGTCTTCATTGGTTGAATGGTGCCCACCCATGCTGGGGAGGGCCATCTTCTTTACTCAGTCCACCAGTTCAAATGCTAACGTCTTCTAGAAACTCATTTACAGACACATTCACAAATAATGTTTGATTAGCTACCTGGGCATCCTGTGGCCCACTCAAATCTTAAGTAATGTGACCACAGAATCACATGCACACAATCACATATGACCTGTCACCTTTGCTGTATTGTATTGGTTAAAGCAAATCACAGGTCCTACGACACTCAAGGGGAGAAGATCATATAAGGGGAAAAGATCCTACCAGGAGGTGGGGATCATGCCACAGATTGTTAGGACATATAAATAATAATTACCACAGGCATATGCTAAATAATAATACACTAAAATAAGCATAAAACTATAACACGAATAAAAACTCCTAACATATATGACTTTGATCCCTCTCTTCACTCTCCTTTCCATTCCCAATTCTTTGACTCTAGATTATTTTTTATATCCCCAGCCTCAATTAAATTACATTCTCACTAAAAACATTCTTGGTTTCTTCTGCTTATTGCAGCCTTTACTCACCCATTCTTTTTCCTCTGTCAAAGAAGTATTTTCCCATGCTGTTTCTTGCATGTAGAAAACTTCCACATCACTGACTCCTGTCTTCTTCTCTACTATTTCATTTCTATTTCCTTCATGCCCACAGCCCTGCTCACAGGGTTATTGTCCGATGAAATCAGTCAATACGCCCAAAACAGTTGGCCCCATGCTGGTCTCTGGGTGAACATTCTGTGAATCTTACTTTATGCCCACAGATTTAACTGGGTCCAGTTCCAAGAAGTTTTCCTTAATTAATTCCACACACCAGCACTTTCAAGTCATTGTTACTTTTTGGTGAGTTTGCTCACATTTTTATCATGTTACCTCTATTAGGATTTAAATTCCTTTAAAGGCAGGAACTCGATCTGAATATTTTTCTGGGCTCCATCCTCCAAATGATGAGTATGAAGTGATGCATACTACTCCAGTTACCTTAGCAGATAATTGTTTTTTTTTTTTCATGTGGTAAAACATATATTACATTAAACCTACCACCTTAACCATCTTGAAGTGTACAATTAAGTAGTGTTAAGTATATTCACAGTGCTATGAAACAGATCTCCATAACTTTTTCCTCTTGCAAAACTAAAACTCTATACCCATTAAGCAGCAATTCCTCTCTTACTCTTCCCCTTGGCCCCGTAACCAACATTCACTTCTTGTTTCTATGCATTTTACTACTTTAGATACCTCATGTAAGGGGGGTCATACAGCATTTGTCTTTTTTGACTGGCTTATTTTGCTTAGCATGAGCCTCAAGGTTCATCCATGGTGTAGGAGGTGACAGGATTTGGTTTCTTTTTATGACTGAACATTCCACTGTATGGATATGCCACATTCTTTTCTTACATTCATCTGTCCACTGGCATTTGAGTTATTTCCACTCCTTGGCTACTGTGAATGCTGTTTCTGTGAACATGGGTGTGCAAATATCTTTGAGATCCTGCTTTCAGTTATTTAGATATATACCCAGAAGTGGGATTTCTGGATCATATGGTAGTTCCATTTTCAATTTTTTGAGCAACTGCCACACTGTTTTCTATAGTGGTTGGATAATTTGGGGCACCAGGGTGACTCGGTTGAGGGTCCGACTCTTGATTTCAGCTCAGGTTATGATCTCAGGGTCATGGGATCGAGCCCCACATCAGGCTCTGTGCTCAGTGAGGAGTCAGCTGGAGATTCTCTCTCTTCCTCTCCCTCTGCCCCTCTCCCTGCTCACACAAGCTCTTTCTCTAAATAAATAAATAAATAAATAAATAAATAAATAAATAAATAAATAAATAAATAAATAAAATCTTTAAAAAATTTATAGTGGTTGGATAATTAGTTTTTAATTATTCACTGTGATGAAATTTGGCATGCTCGAGCTTTTATAAATATATTTCAAGGGAATAACAAAGCTGGGGCTTGGCTTTCTGATTTGTCTTTATTCTTATGTAATCCTAGAATATAGCTACTTTTCTTCTTCCTTAATACCTTTGTCTTTTTCCTATCAGTATATAAATATATATATATACTCCTGGTTCAGAATTTTAGCTTTAGAGATATGAGGAAATTTTTCTATGGATGTCTGATTAAGAAGAGGCTCAGGGGGATGCGTATACTCCAAAAGGAAGTTTATTCCTTTCTCCCCGTCAAGATATATTTATTAGTTCTGATCTAAGAGCTTAAATTAATGATCATATATGAGAGAACTCTTTGGGATCTTTTCTATTTGCTCCAAAAGTATATTGGTAAAAATTTATTGCTTCGCTAGCTGTACAATTTTTTCTAAAGGAAAAATTAGTGTTTGTTCATTATTTTTGTCAAATGACTTTTGTCAAATTTGTAGTTTTCATGCATAAGTTAATATTGAAAATAAGCCCTGTGTACTTCACATGCTTCAGGTACATTATGATTTTGGTCTGCGGAACATTCTGTCAGTTCTGCGAACCTTGGGGGCGGCAAAAAGAGCCAACCCTTTGGATACGGAATCAACGATCGTCATGCGCGTTCTCCGAGACATGAATCTTTCTAAACTGGTAAGATTCACAGATGGAAATGTTCCACCCTCTTAAATAGCAGTGAACTAAGCACAAATGAGATTTAGAAATATTTATTTAAAATACTCATTTAAAAATGCCTAATTATCAGCTAAAAGCGCTGGAAAGCATAACTTTAAATTAAACTTTTTTGGGAATTATTTTTTGCGGTAACTCATATCTAGTCTAACATATGCCTATTTCCATAGAATTGAAATGGATTTTTAAAAATCCACGTTAAGTTTCCAAATACCTTGAAATACTTTTGGGTTTTAGAGCTAAAATCTCACCTTCTTTAAAGTCTGTAGAGCCCAGCAGGAAATTATATGTAAATTTAACAAGTGTGTAATAATTTCACACTCTTTCATTTCACAGTAGAGACTGAAAATCAATTGTTCATTATCAGCGAATCTATGTACAGGGTGACAGAATGATATATTTTTATTTTAAAATAAAAATGTGAGGCAAATTCCAATTCATGAATTTGTTACTATCTCTTATTTAAATTATTATTTTCTTAAATTTAAATTAGAAATTCTAGGTTATGTCATAACTCCCCAAACTGGTTATTTTATGGGGAGGTTGTTCTGTAGGCAGTATTTTTCCTTTCATCTGCTTCCTTCCATTTTCCTCTTCTTCTTCCCATTCCTCTCCCCCTTTTCTAAAAATAATTTTTAACTTATGGGTAACATGAGGAAAATATTCCTCAACTTCGGTGAAGGTGGTATTTTATTTATTAACAGTTATGATAAAATAATTTGGTATGTCAGCATTTTCAGTTTATCCGTACATTGCTATGATCATGCCAAAGTAGTCGGTCTGGTTTCCCTTTCTTTTCTCTTTTAGATTGATGAGGATGAACCCTTATTTTTGAGTTTGATTGAAGATCTCTTCCCAAATATTCTTCTGGACAAGGCAGGTTACCCTGAACTGGAAATGGCGATCAGTAGACAGGTAATATTTTTCTCAGGGCATCCAGTACTGTGTCTCTCTCATCGGAATTTCATGGGAGTCAAGTGGCGCTGATGTATTCCAAATCTGTGGTTCCAGGGACAGCACCCAGGGCTGTGGCCCGTGTTTTAGGAGAGGCTGTTGAACATCTCGAGCTCCTCGAGCCGGGGGAGTCTCCTACCATCCTGCAGCCACATGTCTAGTTGGCCATGTGCTCGGGGTCCCATTATTGATGGAAACCATTCCACACCAGATTCTGAAATGAAATATAATAAGTGAATGCGATGAGTGGGGCTCAGCTGGCTGCCTTGCCTTTCTTGGCTTGGCTTTGACTGTGATCCTGGTGTTTCCACGTTGCTTTGATCTCTGGATTCCTGCCCCCGAGTGTCATTCACAATGATCTCATGAGGCTCCTCACTTGTCATTATTTTCCCCCAGGCCCAGGATCACTTGTGATTTCTTCCTGGGCCTCTGGGGGATCTACCACATTATGTGTATTATTAGGTGTCTGGATTTCCCATGACACTTGGTAGAGCTTTACTTTTTTATAGTTTTCCTAGGAATGAAAATGAACCATGTAAATCTTGTGCCTCAGTTTCTTTTCCTACAAGGAAGAGTTTGGAAAAAAATTTTATAGAAGTGGCGATAAGCTCATATTTATAAAATACATTTTAATTCTTCGAAGATATTTGTTAACAAAAATCAAATGTGGTAGTATTTAATGGATCTTTTCCTTTTAAAAATCAGTATATAAAATTCTTAATCTCCAGAGCACATGGGTGGCTCAGTTGGTTAAGCGTCTGACTCTTGACTTTGGCTTAGGTCGTGATCTCAGGGTCCTGAAATGGAGCCCTGCTGGGCCTGTGCTCAGGAGGAGTCTGCTTGAGATTCTTTCTTTCCTTCTCCCTCTGCCACCCCCTAAAATAAAGAAATAAAATCTTAAAAAAAATCTTAATCTCCTGATCAGGTAAGAGTGATAATTCATTTTGCAAATGGTTTCTTCATCATATGGCTGAATTAATTGTAGCATTGTCTAAAAAACTTAGTATAAAGTCATTTATAGGGTGACTAACAGCATAATTTGTAGCATATGAAAAATCTGAAGAGCATAGATATATAGCATAAAATGATACATGATTATTATCCAACAATTATTTAAGTAAAAGTAAAAGCATCATTTATAGTGTGTTTAAGCATAGCATGATAGTTAAGAGCACAGACCATGGAGCTGAGTTTCCTGGGCTCACATCCCCACTCTGTAACTTTATAAGTAATAATCTTGGGGAGGGCGCCTGGGTGGCTCAGTCGTTAAGCCACCGTCTGCCTTCGGCTCAGGTCATGATCCCAGGGTCCTGGGATCGAGTCCCACATCGGGCTCCCTGTTCGGCGGGAAGCCTGCTTCTCCCTCTCCCACTCCCCCTGCTTGTGTTCCTGCTCTTGCTGTCTCTCTCTCTGTCAAATAAATAAATAAAATCTTAAAAAAAAAATAATCTTGGGGAAATTGCTTGGTTCTCTGTGCCTCAGTTTCCTTTTCTGTAAAAGAAAGATATCAATAGGGCTAATCTTATAGTGTTGTTATGAATATTGAACTTAGAATAGTGTTTGGCAGGATAACTTTCATGCATGTGTTCGACAGATTAAAACTACCCAGTAGATTTATAGACAGTTTGAGTTTTCTATGGAATTTCTGTCAACTTGGTGTGCTACAAAGTTTTCCAGTTACTAAATATCACATTTTAAATTAAAGATTTAAAATGCCTTTTGATATTTGAGTCTTTATTCTTAAGTTGTTCCTATGACATATATTCAAGGATGTATTAATATAAATGTATTCAATTCCCAAAGGCAGATGCAGATGTTTCTTATTGGCTTGGGATAACATTTTGAATAGTCAACCTGCTTTTTGTCTTTGTATGTATATATTTTTTTATGCAATATATATATTTAAAAATTTTCTATTTTAAGTAAACTCCATGCCACACGTGGGCCTTGAACTGACAAGCCTGAGATCAAGAGTTGCACTGACTGAGCTTGCCAGGCACCCCAGCAATATATTTTTTATTTTGGTAAAATCCGTAACATAAAATTTACCATTTAACCATTTTTAAGTGTACTGTTCCATGATATTAAGTACATTCACATTATTTTGCAAAACATCATCACCATCCATCTTCAGAACTTTTTTCGCCTTTCCAAACTGAAACTCCACGCCCATTAAACAATAACTCCCATTCCTCTACTCCCTGCTCAATGTCTGTGCTTATTTTGAGCACAACGGTAAGTTCTGATTGCTGTTGATGTGGCCCAATGTGGGGCTTTTATGCTTTCAGGTTGAAGAATCTGGTTTAATCAACCATCCTCCTTGGAAACTCAAAGTCATCCAGCTGTTTGAGACACAGAGAGTGCGGCATGGGATGATGACCCTGGGGCCCAGTGGAGCAGGGAAAACCACCTGCATCCACACCTTGATGAGAGCCATGGCAGGTAAGGGGGTGCCCAAGCTGTGTTGCTCTGGGCAACACATTTAAGTAGCTGTGACCCATTTGAATACTCCAAGAGGGACATGAAAGTTAGATACATTAATATATTTGTATAGGAAGGAATGCTGCTTTACTGATTATTGGGTTCATTTCAGCGATAATGTATTATAATAATGAACTAGAAGGGAAAAAATTTTTCAGCTTTATTGAGATATAATTGACATATGACATTGTGTTTAATGTGTACAGTGTATTGATGTGCAACATTTGTATGTTGCAAAATAATTAACACCATGAACTTTGACCCCCATCTTGTCACATAGGTACCATTTCTTTTTTTGTGGTGAGAACATTTAAGATCTACTCTTCTAGCAACATTCAAGTTTATGATACAGTATAATTAGCTATAATCACTCTACTATATATATATATATATATATATTTATATATAGTATGCTATAATGTACATTCGATCCCCAAACTCATTAATCCTTTAGCTAGAAGTTTGTACCCTTTGCCCAATATCTCCCCATTTCCCTACACCTCAACCCCTAGTAACCACCATTCTACAATCTGTTTCTCAGAGTTTGATTTTTTTAGATTCCATATATAAGTGATACCACACAGTATTTGTCTTTCCCTGTCAGACTTAATTCATTTAGCATGATGTTCTCAAGGTCCATCCATGTCATTGTAAATGGCAGGATGTCCTTCTTGCTCATGGCTGAATAATAAATATATATACATGTAAAATATATATATTTATATGTATACACACACACACCACATTTTCTTAATCCATTCATCTATTAATGAACATTTAAATTGTTTCCATATCTTGGCTTCTGGGAATAATGCTGAATGAAAAAAATTCCTGAACAGTGACTTTGTATATTGTGTTATATGTTTTACTTATGTCATTAAATTTTCACAATGATCTTGAGTTGTGGCTATTACCATCCCCATTTTGTACAAAAATTCAAGGCTCAAATTCAGAAATGCTACAGGTTGCAAAGATGGTAAGTGATAGGATTCAGAATTATAGGATTCTCAAATTATAGATAGGATTCAGAATGTCAGGGTCCACTAATGAAAAGCCCAGACTTTTTCCATTATAACATGCCACTACCCAATAATGACTTAATATAACCTCCCAGTACAGAAAAAAATATTTCAATTTCAGTTCCTAAAATCATCCTAATCACAAACTAATTTCCCACCTAGAATCAGATGTTTTTCTGGTGAAGTTAAATAACTGCATTTAATTTCCAGATCTCCCTAAGCCTTACAGCTAAGTCCCTACCTAGCCCGAGGTCATCTAAAGATAATAGGCATTGTCACATTTGTGATTATTCTTATATTTCCTGATTGGACATTGATGTCTGTCATACTGAAGGTACTGTGTAGGCAGCTCTTGGCCATGGCAGATTTGAGTCCCAAAATTTCACAGAACTCTACCTATTGGAATTCAAATACATGGTCCCATAGGGAGAAGGTGCCTAGTTGGTTTTCCAGTCAGCTCATGCAGACCCAGTGCACTGATCTTGAGTTGGTGGTTGTGGAGATTGCTCTGTATTGCTCTAGGGTCCTGCACATGTTGGATTTAGCTGGATACCTATATCCGCAGCGATGGGGCCCAGTAAATTCTGTACATTAAGTCCACCAGGGAGTCTCCACACTAAGAAAGAACTGTGCTCTCAGCTATCACTTACCTTGCCAAAACTGAGAGCTCACACCTGCAAAAGACTTATCATGTGCTTTTCACGTGCTGTTAAGTTTGTGTTTGGGGATTTTTATAGAGCTTTAAAATGATCTGTTCTCTCAAATCATGCTTAATAATACTTTTGTTATTATTATGTAGCTGCCTTCTGTGAACAATAAACTACAAATGCACCTGGTAAAATGACTTGAACAAAATGAGTACTAAATATTAAACGATAGTGATACATTATGTATAATATGTCTAAATTATATAACCCATATGGCATCACTGGTTTTGGAGAAGCTCTTTGCAAAGATGAATTAATCATTAGCTGTTGATTAACCTGTTCTTGGTTTTAATGTATAGGGCAAATATTTGTTATTTTAAGCAACACATTGTTTCTTGCTGAAAATATTCATTCTCCCAAAGATTGAGAAGGTAATTGGGTTGAACTTATACTAGACCCATATATATTTGTGTCCTTATTCATCATGTATTTGTTTATCAAATATCTCTAGTATTCTGTAGTTTGAGGCCCTGCTAGGTTCGGTAGCTTAAATGGGAAGGCAGGCATGAAAACAAAAGGCTGTGTCTTCAAGGAGCTTACGGTTTGGTGGAGTAACAGTTATTAGTCAACACGGAATTGCTATGAGGAGGTTTGGACAATTATGTTGTGAGCAGAGGCAAAGGAGATCAGAGACCTTTCTAAGGAATTATAGGAAGGCTTACAGAGCAGGTGCTGCTTCAGCTGAGGTTTGGGGGTTGAGTAGCTGTTGGAGAAAAGGCATTCTTAGCAGAATGAAGAGCCTGGGCAGGTAGGAGGGACTGGAGAGAGCATGGCATACCCAGAAATTGCTTTGGTATGGATAAATGTGCTCTGTGTGTGGGTGGGATTAGGGGAGAGGAGGAGGTGTAGCAGGTGCTACTGGCCCCCAGCGCTTCATCCCTTTGGCCCTCCCCCTTTGGACAGCTTCTCCCACAGATGCCAGTGCTGTCTCCTAGTTTTTCAGCATTATGACTTTCCTAGAATCTAGGGAACTCCTGGCTCAGCCTGAAAGAGGGTGGGAATTAATGCCCCTGAGGCAGCCATAGCCTCAACTAGTGGGGCGAAGCGTTGAAGGCAAGTATCCCATCTCCTCTTGTCCATTAGAGGGATACTACCTCTGGGGCCACTTCACAAATGAGCCCATTTTGGGGATTCTCTCCTTTTCTGTCTCACTGTCTCTTTGCCCTGACTCCAAACTCCCAGTACCCACATCTTTGTTTGAGGCTTTGCTTTTAGGGGGGAATTTAGGTATGGCATGAGGAGCTTTATAAGTTATGCTGAATACCTAGGTTTTATTCTGTAGGTGATGGGAAGCCCTTGAGCTGGGGAGGGGTATGGTCAACCTTCTGTGGGTGGAAGGCCACCTGGCGGCCATGTAGAGAATAGACCATGGACAGGAGGGGTGGTCTGGAGTCCATAAGGAGGCAACAGCAAGAAAGGATGCCTACTCTAGGGCAGAGTCCATGAAGGTGGAGTGATCAGGACAGTCAAGAAATGCCTAGGAGGAGAGGAGGAATTAGTTTAACCAACATTTTGAAAGTCAAGCATTTTTTTCTTGGAGTGCTCTTATAACAATGTTTTGGTATTTCTTTCTTTTTTTTTTTTGGCATAATTAAAAAATTTTATTATTGAAGTATAGTTGGCATACGATGTTATTTAAGTTTCAGGTGTATAACATAGTGATTCAATAATTCTATACAAAAATATTATGGTATTTTAAATTAAAATAATGCAGTTCTACCTACTACCATAATGAAATAATTTTTGACAGTTTTTCTTATATGGGCAACAGACAAAGTCCAGTTTTTAGCTATGATACTGTCATACTGTTTGAGAGTAGGCTGGCCTTTTGTAAAGTGTGTTAGGTAAAAAAATAGTTTTGCCCGTCAGCTCTGAAAAAGCTGAATTGTGACTCAGTTTAACTTCAGGATCATAAAGTATTGAAGATAATTACCCTGAGTTTTTTTGTGATTAAAAAAGGAGACCTAAAGGGGTGTCTGGGTGGCTCAGTCAGTTAAGCATCTTCCTTGGGCTCAGGTCATGATCCCAGGGTCCTGGGATGGAGCCCCACATTGGCTCCTTGCTCAGCGGGGAGCCTGCTTCTCCCTCTTCCTCTGCCTCACCCCCTGCTTGTGCATGTTCTCTCTCTCTCTCAGTCAAATTAATAAATAATAAATAAATAATAATCTTTTAAAAAATAGTAAATAATCTTTTAAAAAATAAAAAAAGGAGAACTATGGTCTAATTTTCTAAATAAGTTTTAATATTTTTTAAAGATTTATCTGTTTATTTAAGAGAGGGAGAGAGAGAGAGCGCGAGAAAGTGAGCACAGGCTTGCTGGGCAGGGGGCAGGGGGCAGGGGTCGAGGGAGGGGCAGAGGGCGAGGGAGAGAAGCATACTCCCCACTGAGCGGGGAAACCCCACTGAACTGATGTGGGACTTGATCTCATGACCCTGAGATCATGACCTGACCTGAAATCAAGAGTTGAACACTTCACTGACTGAGCCACGCAGCTGCCCTGGTTTTGATGGGTTTTAACATGTTTTTCGATGGGCGTAGTTATGTATGCTTGCCTGTGTTTGTCAATCTTTCACACAATATGTAATATTTTAGCATCTATTTTTATGATTTTATACTTTAAACCTTATTCTTCACCTTTCTGCTTATTAACTGCTTATGTACAGAATCTGGCCCCTTTAAGAGTAGTTTTAGGGTTTGAAGGATTCAAAGACCTTTTTTTTGAGGTTGGCTACAAAAGAAAAGTCCTTGATTCTTGCAGCATTAGTTTAGCTTACTTTTTCCAAATGAGCAAGAACACATCTCAGTGAATTGAAGCTGGTTATGGAGAGAATGAGGCATCTTCTGGGTGACATTTCAGAGACCAGACTTAATCTGGTATACCGTAAATCAAAAGATTTTTGAGCTGTGAAATTTAAAGAACTTCCAGGTTATGTTAATTTGTTCATCAATACCAACATGGTATCTTCCCCCCCTTTATGTTTCCTTTTACAGAAGGATAAAAACAAAAGTATGTTAGTCCATAAAATATAACAGTGTTAATTATGATAACTTGGAATGCAGTAAGACATATATTCTCAGTATAATTTTGTGTTTTTCATATTTTGAACACCTGCCGATGGTACATTGCAAATTAGTTCAATGTTACCTAATGATGGTTCACTCTACATCTGAGTCATTTAAAATTTGAATTTACTTGGTACAGATTGTGGAAAGCCACACCGGGAACTGAGGATGAATCCCAAAGCGATTACGGCCCCACAGATGTTTGGTCGGCTTGACGTGGCCACAAACGACTGGACTGATGGGATATTTTCAACCCTTTGGAGGAAAACACTGAGGGCCAAGAAAGGTAGAAGATGAAGTATTATTCTTGACATGTCCTTCTAAATAAAATCCTTGGTGCCTATTTAGAATTAGTAGAACATATTCTCCATATAATATCTTAGCCAAGATTAAGAAGTCCTAAATCAGTATATTTGTCATGTTGAAATACTGAAATTATTGATTAGGGTATTTAAAATCCCCCTGTCCCACCTTTCTTCTTTGTAGTTGTTACAAAGAAATTATTTTCCTTTTGAATAAATATTTCTGTATCCCTGTGATATCTTAGAATAAAAGAGAAAGAAAAAGCTGTTACAGAAAATTGATAGTGTTAAATAAAGTGATTTTACTATAACTATTTCACTGAATCTTTTAAAAATGTTACTTTTATTTAAGTATAGCCTATTTTTGGAAAACTGATTCTCCTATAAAATCACAGGAGGAAATAGGCTTCTTTGGGAAGAAAATTACATATGTCAAAAATGAAGTTTATATTGAACTAAGAAATTATTCTGTTTAGGTATACACTGGTGTTTGGTTGTCCTGTGAACAAACTTGTTAAGGGCTAGTGGTTCACTCTGAATATTCTCTTACTTACGGAGTCTGGAAATTGAACCCGGTATTCCTGGAATATAAGCTTGGATGGAAGAGGTGATATTAACTCTCCTCTCATCATGTTTCTCACTCCTGAATAAGGAGGAGAAAGGCACAGTGAATGCATTTGCAGAGAGAAAGAAGGATCCAGGAGAAGGACAAGATATTTGGGCTATTTCTTCAGGAGTCTCTGCTTTGGAATAGTTTCTACCAATAAATGTTTAAAAGCTGGTGCCATCCCAGTTCTCAGTTAGGGAATGGAGCTCATCAACCTAAAAATCAGTTGTCAAAAGAGACATGAAAACATGGGATTTCAAAAGTGTGTTCATATTTGGAATTATTGTTTTATTGGATATAAATCAAATTTTGTTTCTGACCTTGTTTCAATAATCCTGTGTAAACAGATCCGGTGCCCAGTGCTCCCAAGAATGGGAGCTCAGAGAGGTGTTTTTTTTCCTCCTTAAAGAAGGCAACATGCTTTTTCTAAGGGACTCTGGTGTTTAGATCATTTTACTTAAAATCAAGTCAAATGAGCATAATTAAGATTTTCAAAGCAGTTGACTGGACATAGAATATATTACAGGGGTTACACAGTAAATAAAAACTACAGTTACAAACTTGGTCATGGTGTCAGTAAAGAGAAACTAGAGATTAGGAGATTAAGAGGAACTATTAAACCGAATACCTAAGTTTATGATGGCATTGTGGTTGACCATTCCGTGGATGCTTGTCACTTTCTTTACTTCCAGATATCTCCGTAAGTGACTCCCAGCAGGTTTTGTCCCCAGTGGTCCTCCAAAACTACTCTTTTAAGGACACTCATGACCTCCAGCTCGCCAGATATAAATTGTCAGTTCTCAGGCTAGTCCGGCTGTCATGGGATCTTGGCACGGTCGATCACCCCCCTTCTCGGAACTCTTCCATCACTTGGCTTCAGGGAAACTTTACCTGTTGGCTCTCCTTCTACCTCTGCCTCATGGGGGGTCTGCCAGAGGGAGGAGCCAGCAAAGGAGACACTACTAGAAGTCTGACCATCAAAGTGACTCTGTCCTCAGACCTCCTGTTTCTACTTTTACTATCTAGAAGAAACAAATTTTAAAAACCCAGTCCATGGTTTTAAATGCCATCTCTAAGCTGGTGGCTTCTACATGTTAATCTTCAACCCTGACCTCTCCCTTGAACCTCCAGCTCAGCAACACTGTGGGATGTCTGTGGGACATCTCAGATGTAAGATGTGCAAGCCAGAGTTGATTCTGTGGTTCTTTCTGGCTGTCCTTCTGACTGTACTCACATTCTTCTCCTCCTTCTCTTCTTATTTACTAGGTTCAACTTCTTGCTCTTCCTGGGACACCCTATGCTTGTACTCACTTTGAGACCTTTGCACTTGCTATTCCTACTGCCTGGAAGACTTTACCTCTAGATCTTTACATCTCTTCATTCTCCTGAACTATATTACTGACTACCTTATCCAAAGCAATGCCCCATCATCTTATTCTTCTTAATTTTTCTTATCTTGGATATTTCTTTGCTTATGGTTTGATTGATTATCATCTCTACCCTTTAGAGTGTAAGGTCTGTGAAAGCAGGAATTGTCTTATTTACCACAAAATCCCCAGACTCTAGAACAGTGCTGATACATAGAAAGTGCTCAATGAATATTTGTTCAATGAAAAATGACTTTTTACTTTATGTGCTTTAAACAACTGGTATATAAAGAACTGGAAAAGTCCTATGTGATAAAAATAATCATTTCTATCAAAGTTTAATGAAAATCACATCAAGTTACAGTACTTCTGCTAGTATAGTAGTTATGTGTCTATGTATATATGTGTACGTATGCTTTTCCCCCCACCTTTGGTGGAATATTTTAGGTGAACATATCTGGATAGTTCTTGATGGTCCAGTAGATGCCATTTGGATTGAAAATCTGAATTCTGTTTTGGATGATAACAAAACTCTAACTCTTGCCAATGGCGATCGGATTCCCATGGCTCCAGACTGCAAGATCATTTTTGAACCCCATAACATTGAAAACGCTTCACCTGCTACTGTCTCAAGAAATGGAATGGTTTTCATGAGTTCTTCTATCCTTGATTGGAGTCCTATTCTCGAGGTATGAGTGGAGTCTTTCTTTTGTGCACTGAAGGAGGAACCAGTCTTTAGCATTCCTGTAGAGCACTGTTGATTTTTCTGCAGACCTTTGGTGTCATTGCATTTGATCGCTACTATTTAAGGCCACTCCTTGCCTGCTCTGGGATGTTGGAACCCTGATTGTCCCTTACAGGTTCCTTCAGCATCGTGGTGTCTGTAGGGCTCCTCTCATCTCTTTAGACCTGTGATTTCCACTGTGGGTTGTGGGGTAGTTGCCAGGCCTCACTGAATCAATAATCCCGCCAAACTGTGAATAAGTAAAATTTAATTTGATCACTTTGGAAATTCATGACATTTTAAAAAGGTACTCAGTCATGTAAAGTTTGGGAGCAATCATCTTAGAATTTCAGCTTTAAGAAAACAATTTATTAAAATTCCATCTAAGGGAAAAATTGCATATAAGGGATTTTTATGAGATTCAGTAGTCATTAGTTTTATGTTCGTTCTTGGAAATAATATTTCAGATAATATCTCCAGTTCATGAAAAGGTATATTATTTTCTTATCACCAATACATTCTAGAATATATTGATTATAATCAGATTATAGTTAAATGCCTTGTATACGTAGATATTTTACTAAATAAATGCTATAAGGCAAAATGCTTATTAGATAAGCCAGGTGTGAAATCTTTTTTGACATTGTTGGTCAAATTTATTATTTTATTTACATAATTTTTTGGAGATCATTTTGATTGAAAACTTATAAAATCATAATTTTCAAAAAAGATTTATTTATTTGAGAGAGAGTGAGAGAGAGATAGCAAGCACAAGAGAGCACACAAGCGGGGGAACAGCGGGCAGAGGGAGAAGCAGGCTTCCCGCGGAGCAGGGAGCCCGATGCAGGGCTTGAACCCAGGACCCTGAGATCATGACCTGAGCCGAAGGCAGACACTTAACCAAATGAGCCACCCAGGTGCCCCCTAAAATCATAATTTAAATTAAGTAGGTGTTTACTTTGTATTGTCATTAATTTTTGTGCTTCTCTTTCTCTATGAATATATCCTAACTTTTAATAATATCTTCTCAGAATTTACAGAAACCTGGGTTGAAAAAGGGTTTAGGTTTGGTAAAATGTGAAGATACGAAAAAAGAGGGGATTATATGGCAAAATGATACTTACATATAATTGGATATGTCACTAAATATGCTTCTAAAGATTTCAGATTTCTCAATCAAATTATCCATCCATTAAAGAGAATACAGGGCAAGGGTTCTGAGCACTGGCTTTGCAAGAATAATCATCAATGACAGTTCTTTAAAATACAAATGATGGGGTCATACCCCAATCCTTCCAAATTAGAATCTCTGGGTTGGGGGTGAGGGGGTAAGATTCAGAAGTTGGTTTTTGTTTTTGCTTTTGTTTTTAGAAGTACCACAATAGGTCCAGATTTGGTAACTACAGATACAGCGGCAAGCTCCAAGTAAAAAAGTATTTCTGTGATTTTCCCCAAATACTTCACATTCACAAAGGCTTTTAAAAAATACTTCTACACGACTAGCTAATGAATATTTAGACTTTGCTATTTATGAAATAAGCTTCTATTATGTTCTATGTTGAGGATGAATAAGGTTCTCACATTAATGCTACACTTACCTAATTTTATTTTGTTAAAGTAGGCTCCATACCCAGCATGGAGCCCAACATGGGGCTTGAGCTCACGTCTGTGAGATCAAGACCTGAGCTGTGATCAACAGTCGGATGCTCAGCCGACTGAGCCACCCAGGCGCCCCTTACCTAATTTTTTATATGCTTTTAAATAATGCAGTTTCTTCTCACGAATCGTTAGCAAGACTCACAAAGAATCAGACTGGGAGTGTTGAGAGCAGTACAAGGCAACTCTAGGGAGTTACTAGAGGCAGACGGGTGGAGAAGCTGTGTTCACTGGTATCCTGGGAGCCAAGCTGATTAATTGGCCCTGTGTATGGCAGTCTTTTTGATTCCATCAACTCAAAAGGGCTATGTTCTGTTTTTGTTGCTGTGGCACCCTGGTAAATTCATGAATTGATGAATAATTTGGAATCAACATTTTATTGCTTCTGTTCAGTGTCTAAGAATGAGCTGATCCCTTGAGGCCGAGGGAACTTGCGTCAGCTTTAGAGAATAGTGTGTGTTAGTGGTATTTTGTTAGAGATCACATGCACTTTTCTAAAGTGGGTTCCCCAAATGACTAAATTCCCCATTTTCTGGGGTGTTCTTTGATATTTTTCGACATTGGTTATTAATTAAATTAGAAGAAATAAAAGGAAACAACTAACTTGATAAATCTTTTATCCCATTTAAAACAATGTGGGTATGGATTTCCTTTGTTCATCTTTTATTCCTTTTTCTTTTCCTAAATTATTTCTCTATATATGCCTCCTCATTTTCTTCTAGTATGTTTTAATTAAGAGCTTAAGACTTTTTTTCCATCTTGGCTTTAAGACCTGAGCACATGTATAGGGTGGTGATAGAACATGTGCATTTGAATTCTGTCCTTGGCACTCACCAGCTGTGGGATCCTGGGCACATTACTTCCACTGTTTGGGCCTTGGTTTTCCCATCTGTAAAAGGAAGATAATAATAACTCCTACCTCATAGTGTTATTTTGAGCATTACATGAATTAATGCATGGAAGCCCGGTTAGTAAGGCCTGGCACATCCTATATGCAGTATTATCATTAATTAATATTTAAAAAATTTTTGTCCCAAAATGGCCATTCTCCTGGTGTGCTAGTTAACTTATTAATGCATTAATCTGTAAATGAACAGGGTTTCCTTAAGAAACGCTCGCCTCAAGAAGCTGAAATTCTTCGTCAGCTCTACGGCAAGTCTTTTCCTGACCTGTATCGCTTCAGTATCCAGAACTTAGAATACAAGATGGAGATGCTTGAGGCTTTTGTAATCATGCAGAGCATTAACATGCTTCAAGGGCTGATCCCTCCTAAGGTAAATTGCTCAAATTTCTAGAAATTTCTCTCTTATTAACAGAGCCATGTTGTGCAGAGAGTACAATATTTGAAATTGGTTCTGTTAGGCCTGTGGTTGGGGTGGGGGATGTTTTAAACGTGCACATGCATCTTTTGCATTTTTCTCATTTCTGTTTTCACCAAGGAAGCCATCAGTTTATAATTTAGTGGCAAGTTCACTGTCATCTAATAAGCATCCAGATTTATTTTGGAGACCAGCTTGGTATTCCTCGAGATCAATTCTGTATTTTTTCCCAATTTCATTCATCTTTCCCTTGTTCTTGTCTTGGGGAAAACTGTTGTCCCTTTCACATCTTTGTTATTTTCATTGAAACCTCCAAGTAAAATGTCAGTTCGAGAAGCAAGCATTAAAACAGCAAGTTTCTTTTGTGCTCAGGAGCAAGGTGTGGAGGTCACACCAGAGCACCTGGGGAGACTGTACGTCTTCTCCCTGATGTGGAGCGTTGGTGCCCTGCTTGAACTGGAGGGCCGACGCCGGCTGGAGCACTGGCTGTGTTCTCAGGAAGCCTTGACCTTGGATTTGCCGCCTCTGGAGGGGACGGAGGACACCATGTTTGACTATTACGTCTCGTCCACTGGTGAGGATCCTTGCTTCCATGGACTCATACACAACACATGGGAACAGTTTTTTTCCACTGGCCAATATTTACATAAATTTTATTTTTTCTAAATGGTAATTAAAACACTTGGCTGTAAAATTGAAATGGAAATTTTCATGTGTGAAGAAACCTAATTGTTTTTTTTTCGAAATTTTATTTCATTTGTGTTCCAAAAGCACATCTTCCCCTTGTTAAGTATATTGTTTACTGAACTTCTAATGAATTAAAAACAAAGTAGGGGGACACCTGGGTGGCTTAGTCAGTTAAGCATATGACTCTTGATTTCAGCTCAATGGGAAGTCTGCTTGAGGATTCTCTCTCTCCATCTCCCTCTGCCCTACCCCCCCCACTTGTGCACTCTTTCTCTTTCTAAAATAAATAAATCAATCTAAAAATAAAAATTAGAGAAAAATCTCCAAATCAGATCTGTTTCAGCCATTTATATAATCAGGAATTTACATAAAAATTACAAAGTGTGAAGTATATTTTTACCAAATATGTGTTTATCTATACATTTGTATCTATCTATATATACCTCAAGTTTATTTATATGTGCATACATATATATAAAGTACATACAAAGTATATATATATACAATATTTATATCTTTTATTTTTGATTTATAATTAAGGAAGTGTGTAATGAAAAGCTTGTGATATTAGATATTTTAAATGGTCTTAGGTACATACTACTATCACTGTATTCTTAACTTTTATACAGACGTAATTGAAAACTGACATATTTAAAAAGAAAATTCCAGGATTCTTCTTCATATTTCCTAATAATAACACTTTGGAATTGTTCCTTGGGAAATTTTGACTCGGCTAACACATACTTAAATAGTACTTAGATCTATGGTTCTAATGATCTTCATTTTATGGGGAGTTTTTGAAAGATGGCTTCATGAGATGTCAAGGACGTGTGGTTGTTCCGGTCAGGACTTCAGTTATTTATGGGCATGTGAGGTTGTACATGTTCTCTGTTCGTCTCAGGTGAATGGAGGCACTGGACCACGTGCACTGAGGAATATGTGTATCCATCTGACATCACCCCAGAATATGGCTCCATCCTGGTGCCAAATGTTGACAACGTGAGGACTGACTTTCTAATTAAAACCATCGCCAAACAGGGCAAGGTGTGGCTCTTTGACTTTTATTGACAATAGCATATTTTAAAATGTCGCTTGAAAACACAAGGCATCTTGCATTTATTTATTTATTTATTTTTTATCTTGCATTTATCTTAGTATGTTTTGGGTTGCTGTTTCGAGTAAATGAAAGTATTACCCAAATTAATATGCTTCTTTTATTATTCTCGAGTAACAGTGTTAAGAGTTGAATAGTTCCAGTGCATGATCAAGGAATTATTTCTCACACAGTAGTTGAGAGAAAGTGAACTTGGACTTGTTTGTCCAAAGAGAAATCCTCCTCTTCCGATGGCTGTGTTAGTTTGCTGGGGCCGCCGTAACAAATCACCACAGACGAGTGGTTTAAACAGCAGACATTTCTTTCCCTCCAGTTCTGGAGGCTTGGCGTCCACGATGAAGGTCTTGGCAGGTTTGATTGCCTGTGGTCTCTGTCCTTGGCTTGCAGGTGGCTGCCTTCTCACCGTGTCCCCCCATACTCTTTATGCCTGTGACTCCATCCCTGCTGTTCCTTTGTGTACGTGTATCCAGATTTTGTCCTCTTACATGAATACCAGTAAGATTGAACTAGGGCCCACCCGAATGGCCTTATTTTCACCTGATCATCATCTCTCTAAAGATCCTATCTCCAGATACAGTCACATTCTCAAGTACTGGGTGTTAGAGCCTCAACATGTGAATTTTCGACTTGGGGGTGGGGGGCACACTATTGAGCTCATGCTCATTGTATTGCATTCCTTGGATTTCTTTCTCAATGTCTCTCTTAGGCTGTGCTGCTAATTGGTGAGCAAGGAACAGCTAAAACAGTCATTATCAAAGGATTTATGTCAAAATACGATTCTGAAAGTCACATGATCAAGAGTTTGAATTTTTCTTCTGCAACCACCCCACTGATGTTTCAGGTACTGGCTCTTTGTTATGGTTCGTTAAGACCAAGTTTGTGACCAGCTTTGGTGGCTCAGCTCTCTTCACTATTCTGCCTGTGCCCATGAGCTTCGTCTGCACTTTCCCAGCCATGAGTGTACCTGCCATTATTCTCCTGCAGTAGAATCTCTCCCTAGTTGGATTATACTGTATAACCTTAAATGGTGGAGCAATAAAAAGCTTATACTGGGTGTCAAAAGCCTCAGTAGTGTTAAAAATATCCAGCAAAGCCTGCGAACATGTAAAATTCCAAACTGACAGGGGTATCATTTATTCCTGCATCCAAACCTGCCTGCTGTCCCTACCATCTGCTTTTCTGTGGGGGTTAGTATTTTTCTAGGCTTTAGGCTAGACACATGGGTCATCTTCGATGGGTCTCTCTTGAATCGAGGGCTGTTAGTGTTGCTAAAGAAATCGTTTTCACATCTCCTTCTTTCTCTTTGTTCTCCCTGTCCACCTCTGCCTAATTCACGTTTTCAGGATCCACACCAGGGTATTAGCCTAGAAAGACCCCCAGCTGGTCCAGTCTAATTCTCTTCCAGTCTTGCTTTCATTCCTCTTCCAGTCTCTGGTTCTTATATTGCCAATTTATCTTCTTGTTCCCTGACTGAACATTCCACAGTGACTCCTATCAGCAATTGTAGGAATAAATCTTAAAGCTAGGACATTGAAGATTTTACTCTATCATATCATTGGGGAGTAACAACAACAACAACAACAACAAAATCCCGCAAATTTGCTCTGATTTTGTCAGTGGAACTGCCAACAATGACCTGGGTTTGCAGTGGTGGGCTGGTTGTTTGCTCTTGTTCCTAAGTTGTCTAAGACGCTGTTGACACTGGGGAGGGAATCCTGTGTGTCCCCTCATGCTTCAGTTGTTTTCAAGTCACCTCTCATATCTGCTAGAACGTTAACACATTAATAAAAAGGACACATTTCATACATTGAAAATGGAAGGGAAATTTTTAGGAGAATCCCAACCCAAAGAACCTTGCTCTTGATTAATTTTGTTGTTCTTTAGCTGTTGGAATGAAAATATCAAAGAGCAATGAAAATAGTTGACAACATGGCTACACCGTGACTTCATATCACTTAATGTAATTGGTGACTGCAGAGTGCCAATAAGCTAAGACCATTGATTGAGTTTCTAAATAAGACTGTCAGCTACATTGTGCTCCTCCTCTGTTAGAGATGGAATTTCCAATACTGGCTAGCCTTCTATCAAACGAACGCCATTGACAGTGTGGTGATGCGAAGGAAGGTGTGAATGGAAGGTCAACCTCAAATTGCAGAGACTCAGCTGTGGTATTTTTGTGTTTGGGGGAGAGCACCTTAAATTATCCTAAGCTGTCAGGATGCTAACATTTTACACATTCCTTTGATACTGTTTCACGTGTAAAGAACTTTTGTTAGTTTTACTCTAGGAGAACATCCTCTTAAAGGTTATAATTTTAACTTTATTGGTGGATGCAGGTTTTAAAACCTTAAATCAAAGTGCAACATTTTTTTTCCCCCTTTATGTTGGGTAATTATCTAGCTATTCACATTTCTTGAGACTGGATTACATCTTTAGGTTTCTAATGCAATTCTGGCAGTAACAACCTGGACTTTAGACTAAAGACTTCACAGGTGAAGGACTCAACGCCCCCACAAGCCTTCCCTCACTTCAGATATCAGCCCCATGCCTGGGTTTCCAGGCCACCAGCACTTCTGAAGAACTGACTAGAAATTTAGCGGCTCCTATGACTCTCAGTTTCCGCAATTCACCAGAACGACTCTCAGAATTTAGGAAAGTGCTGTGCTAATGATTATGGTTTTATTACAAAAGATATGACTCAGGATCAGCCAAAAGAAGAGATGCAGTAAAAGTCAATGGTTGGGAGGGTCCTGACTGTAAACATTCTGTGTCCTCAGAATGCATTATCCTCCAGGCACTTCAGTGTATATCCCCAACCAGGGGGCTCACCTGAACTACAATCTCCAGAGCTTTTTTTTTTTTTTTAAAGATTTTATTTATTTATTTGAGAGCGAGAATGAGAGAGAGAGAGCATGAGAGGGGGGAGGGTCAGAGGGAGAAGCAGACTCCCTGCCGAGCAGGGAGCCCGATGCGGGACTCGATCCCGGGACTCCAGGATCATGACCTGAGCCGAAGGCAGTCGCTTAACCAACTGAGCCACCCAGGCGCCCAATCTCCAGAGCTTTTATTGGGTTTTATTACATAGGTATGATTGATTGAATCATTGGCCATGTGCTTGAACTCAATCCCAAGCCCCCTCCCTTCCTAAAAGGCCAGTTGATACCATGTGGTTCAAATCCCCAACCCTCAAATCACATGGTTGGTCTTTCTGGCAAGAGTAGTCTGAGAGACTAACAAAGAAAACCCTATTACTCAGGAAATTCCAGGTGTTTAAAGGCTCCCTCCTAGGAACCAGGGACAAAGGCCAGCCAAATTATTTAGTATGTAAGAAGACCTTGTCACTGTATTTTTATTAGTAACTCTTGGTGTTTTTATTAGTAACTCTTGGTAACCTAAAGTACTCCTTTAAGGTGGTAAGGATCTGTAGGCTATGTTTCTTTAACAAGGGACATTTATTAATTTCCTGGAAAAAGGCATATTTTATCTAGAAAGCAACTTGTTTGTTGACGTAAAAATTCATAAACTATGTATAAATTTCTAGAAGTCATACCACATTGAAATATAATAATTAGGATAACAATAAAGCAGGCTTTCAAAACACAAAAATCTGTATTCTTTAGGATCCCATTATCTGATTCACAAGTACATTAGCCCAGTTCCTTCCTACGCTGGTGTGAAGGTGACATTGACACTTTACTGTTTCTTTTTCCTCTCAGAAGCATCATAGGATCATGTACTCTGTTTAGTGCCTATTTGGACTGCTGAGTATCCAAGCTTTCTATTAAGCTAGACTCATTAATTTTAGAAAGCTTTCAATTAGCCAAACCCCTGGAATTAACTTTCTCACTGTAATTTTCAGCTGTTCATGCTGAAGTGAGTTCTGTTGGAGATGAGCATTTGTCTCACGATCTCCCACTTAACTGGATCTACACGAAACTGAGATTGTAGATGTGAAGACAGATACTGTGCATCCCGTCTGTGGTACCAGGATGGCATATAGTCCAGTCAAGGCCGCACGTCTGTTTTTTGACTGTTTTCATTTGGGGTTCTTTTGTTTTTCCCATGGGGTCACATTCAGATTTTTCATCAGCAGGATGACTGACCATATGTCCCTCTTTGTCTGGGGATAGTCTAGCTTAATTCCATTGTCTTGAACTAATAATTAATGGCATCTCTGTTACTATCAAAAGTGTGTAGTTTGGGCAAAAATTGTATGGTCATCTTATTGTTTTGGCTAAGGGAATTCAGTTGGTCTTTTAGAGAGAGATCTCAATTTTTTTCCAAAACAAATATTATTTTAAGGGTTTTCCCCCCTATTTTTAAAATTTTTATTAACACATAATGTGTTATTTGTTTCAGGGGTACAGGTCTGTGATTCATCAGTCTTACACAATACACAGTGCTTACCATAGCACATACCCTCCCCAATGTCCATCACCCAGCCACACCACCCCTCCCACCCCCCTCCACTCCAGCAACCCTCAGTTTGTTTCCTGAGATTAAGAGTCTCTTATGGTTTGTCTCTGTCTCTGGTTTCATCTTGTTCCCCCCTCCCCCATTTTTGAAAGTAATCTATACATATCTTAAAAAATGTAAACAATACAGAAAGATAAGAAAGTTTCTCTACAGAATTTTTGAAGATTTATCTTTTCTAAAAATAATCTTAAAGTGTTTTGAATATAACCATCTTACAAATGGTTGCATAGCAATAAGTTTTGTTTTTAAAAAAATGAGAATCATAGAGCCTTGAAAGAAATTCCACATTTTTTTCTTAGACTCAGAGCCACTTTTCCAAATGAAATCTTATGCAGAAGACTAAGCTATAAAACAGGTAACCATAGATTTGCTTTGGTGGAATTGGGCTGGGCTCCTGAAATCCTTCCCAACTTTATCCTTGCTTCCTTCAGGGGCCCCTATGATTGCATAGAACTCTTCTGACTCCTCAGAGCATAGTTTGAAGACTAGTTTCCAGAGAAGAGTCATAGGCAATTATACATGAATGTATTTTTCCATGGTAAAGCTCTCTAAAAATGTCAGGTTTTATTGTTACTATTAATGCACTCAGGTGGAGGGATATCAAGTCCTTATTTGTGTTCACACAGTTAGTTGGTACCAGAACCTGGTGAAAAACCAGGTCCCCATATGTTTTGCTGTTCACTCATATGCCTCCTTCCAATGACTTTTCTTTATCCACATTAATATTCAAATGACTGATTTATCACTTAGTGCAATTGTTTTATGTGTTACTGTATTTTCATATTGTTTTACTTTTAAACGTGCTGTTGAGAATTTTAAACTTTACTAATGTAAGACTGTTTTCATTTGGTTTAGTAACTTATAATACAAGGGGAAGATCTTACTTAGGCAGTAGATGTCTTAATAAAGAACATAAGCTCTCCATTTTTATCTTTTAGCTAAATAGCTGATACATAGAGGCCTAAAATTAAGCATATTTTATATTTTAATTAATTAATTATTTTAAAGAGCAGAAGGAAACTTTTATTATTCTGAGTTCTAAGGTATTGTAAACATGAAATAAAAACAGGATACTATAAAAAAATAAACATTTAGAAAACCAAAGAGAAGTTATACAAATATCCTATATTTTCTTATAATACCTTTCTGGTTTACTTTTTACATTTGTATCTCAAAATATTTCAATTTAATTAGGTGTAATATGTATGAAAATGATTTAAATGCTGACATATAGAGATAGGTATAGTAATAATAAAATATCTTTCATTTTTATAATGCATTAAGCTCATCAAGTGCTTTCACATATATAATTTATGGATAATACTCTTTTGTATATATACACACATACATATATATGTATTTGTGATTTAAATAACTTTATATACACTCCCAGTTGTGACCATGCAGGTTACGCAGATCTGTGATATGTCCTATTCACAGAGACAGTGGTGTGAATGGTAAACCCCAAAACTGGGCAGTGCACAACCTCCTCAACTGCACATGGCCCTGTCAATAGCCCTTCCAATGCGGTGTTCCTCCCTCTGTGTGGTTGGGGAAACAGACGTATACACAGTCAAGTATAACAGGTGTGATAAATGCTGGTTATGGTGTAATCTAAGTATTGTAGAGCCCAGAGGAGGAAGGGAGTAGTTCCTTTAGGGGATTACAGAAATCAATGTAATGAAAGAGTTGACATTACTTGAAGAAATTCCATATTTATATTATATTAATATTATATTTTTTTAGGAATTATAGAGGCTGAATTGTCTACTAAGAAATTAACTCAGAAAATTTGTTATCTCTAGTTTTAGGGCTCCTAGCTTAGAATGGACAAGGGCAGCTTTCCTTATCTCCATTCCCGAGTCTGTCTGGATTTCTAACCTCCTAGTTTTTATTTCTTAAAATGCCACTGTCACAGCTTGGGTTAACTTTGATATGCCATGTGAGTGTGAGATAGGCAGACGAGAAAATCAGAATCTTCTCTAGGTTCCATACATTGCTTAAGATGATGTCATGCGGACTACTGTTCTCTGATTTCAGAGTAAAGTTTTTGTTTATTCTTAGAGAACAGCATAAACCACCCTTAGTTCAGGTCCTTGCTAGAGATCTCAATTTTATTAATCAATGGCTGAGTTGAGAGAAACAACATTTATGGATGGTCATTCATCTGAATCAATATTTGACAAATTGTGTTTGGCTGACGCTAATCGCGAGAGATTTTTTGGCTCAGAAATGGCTACTCTAGGAATATGTAAATAAGGATCTCATAATGCACATTAGTCTGTAAGCTGAGCATCACTTTATGGTGTGTGTTTTATTGCTAACTGAATATGAATGAATGAAGACTACGAGGGACCAGAACAAAGAGACTGAGGAGTGTTTAGAGGTGAGACTGGATGTGTAAGTGGGGACATTATGGAGTTCTTTGTAAGTTGTTCCTGGGGAACCAGTGGAGTGGCGTGGGGTTCCACTGCCCTTCAGAAGGTTCATTCTGGCTGCAGAGGGGAGGATAAGATGGAAGAGGTACGGGTGTCCTCAGAGAGACCCAGGAGGAGAGGGAGGTTGGGCTGGACCAGGTAACAAAAGGCAGCATGGAAGTAGCATGAGGATGGGTTCAAGTTGTGATCAGGAAGCACAACTGTTGTTGGCTGGATACATGTGGTTGGAAGAGAGGGACGGAAGAGAGAGAAGAAAGTTACAGATGACCCCCAGGTTTCTTTTCCTCATTTACTATATCAAATATATGTTTTTAAAGATTTATTTATTTCAGAGAGGGAGAGAGAAAGAGAGAACGCAAGAGCAGGGGCAAGTGCAGGGGAAGAGAATCCTCAAGCAGACTCCGCACTGAGCATGGAGCCTGACTCGGGGCTTGATGTCATGACCCTGAGATCATGACCTGAACCGAAACCAATAGTCGGATGCTTACCCGACTGAGCCACCCAGGCATCCCTGTATCAAATATTTATAAATAAGTGCAGTGTGCCAGATACCTTTCTAGACACTGAGGATGCAGTGATGAGCAAGATAAACAAGATGCCTTCCCTTTTTACATTCTGGTAGGAGAGACAGACAATACTCTGAGGAAAAAAAACCACCTGTTTTTGTTAACTGGATTGTGGTTATCTCATCTAAAACAGTGGATGGTTGTCTCCCCCAGATGAAGGAGATCAGAGAGAGTGTGGGTGGCAGAACACTACAAAGATTATCAGTAGTTCTTCAGACTGATTTTTTTTGGGGGGGGGAGACAGAAAATTCTGGATAAAATTACAAATCACACAATATAGATAATGTATATGATTTTTTAAGAAGTTTCCAGGACTTACTGGAGGAGGCAGCACTGAAGGGGGGGAGCAGTTTAAGAGGTCGTGGTATTAATTCCCATTAATTCCCAGGACAAATAACAGTCCTCAGGCATGTCACTCTTCAGGGAGGAGATACATTCAATAGCAATATTGAAATTATGAGAGAAAGGATGTATTGATGTTAGATGGGTAAGTGTTCGGATGGGGCAATTAGGTCATTGATGCCACTCCCTGAAATGAGTACCCAGCAGGGAGTGCAGACTTTGGGGTAAGAAGCATTTATGTTTGGATATGTTGATTTTGTGATGCTATGGATCATCCATGTGGGGAAGTCCAGCTGGAGAGACCAGTCACATATATGGTTTTCCCGAACAGTTCCCAATAGATAAATGATGGAGTAGAACCTGCAGTTATTATATTTCAGGCCTTTAGAAGGTGTCCCCAAACTTCAAATTATGCATTAGATAATGACTTAATGGGTAGCAATTCTAAAAACAGAAAGGTCTCATCTCCAGGGTCACAAGCTATTTCATTTTACTCCCTCCCTTGTTTTTGTTTTTGTCAGCTTAGCTCTTTTATGGCATATATAGCTTACTAGTAATTTCCCTCTTATTTCAAAAAAAAAAAAAAAGAATAGGGTCACAATGAAGGGGAAGCAAGTGCAGGTATGGGGCTATTACTACATATTATCCCACCTATGGCCTTTTAGCTCTTAGATGGCCCCCAAGACATAAAATCTTCATGTGCTGTGAGTTCTCATTAATAGACAAGGGAATGTCTGGAAGGCTCTAGCTTGCCATAGGGAGGTGTCAGGAGATTATTAATTGCCTTATGCATTTAAATTCATTGAAAAGCAGAGCTAAATTTAGCCTAGTACATTACTTTAAACAGCTTGCTTTTATATCAGGGGAATAGGAAATTCTTTTTGGCATTGAACTGTTGTCCTGAGAGATTTATTTTGTAATTGAATGAGTTGTGATATATTTATATATCTTTATATTTGGAAATGGTGAAAAAATTTCATATCTCTTGCCATTATTCATTAAAATGGTGATGGAAAATTATAACTTGATATTACCAACTGCAAAGATTTCCAAGGACAAATATATAGATTTTTGCTTATATGTGGCCTTATTTTGTGGTTGTATCTTGGATTACTAAAGTCATTCTTAACTGATTTGCTTTTTATCATGAAATAACTAAGCTTTTTTTTGGATAGGAGAAGAATGCATTTTATTGCAATAAACTGCCGCTTTCTCCTACATTTATACATCATCTTTAACATGACTTAAAATCATGAATCAGTAGATTACTACAGTGGTAGGAATGGAATGAGGCCTTTGAGACTGAGTTTCTAGAGCGTGAGAACCATGAAGGCTTTTCTGTTTTCTTTGTGGTGTTCGCTCTGGTTACTCAGTTCATGCATTTTGAATGACTGGTTGATTTCCAAGCCACATGGTACTCACATGGAAATGATCATACCGTGATCAATAGTCTGGGCTCCCCACCCCGCCGAATCTTCCTCTTACCTCTTCCAATGCTCCTTCCATCAGTTTTTCTTTAAATTGAGGAATAGTTGACCCATAATGTTACATTAGTTTAATCAGTTGTAAAGTTCTTTTTCATATTGCTAGGGAAGTTTTTGTTTTTGTTTTTTAATAGAGCACAGTGTAGTCTTCTTTACCACCTAAACTCAGAATGGAGAGATGAGAAAGACACGTGGGCATAGTTTGCAATTTTGTCTCAGGGGCTGAGAGGTGATTCACTCTGATTCCTTCAGCCCTAAAGCACTGTATCTGGATTGTGTTTGGCTCACTGGCAGCCTTCTCAATGGAAAGCGAGCAGTCTTCTGGTTGTGGCAGGCTGTGTGGCTCTGAGTACAGACCTAAGAAACTTCTTGGGCAGTACAGGGAAACTGTGGAAGGGCTAAATTATTCTTTGAATAATGGGGCTGCGGGATAGAGTATCATCAATGTAGGAACAATAAGATAAAAATCTGTAGAAATGGACCAAGGAGTCCCATCCCACTCAAAATGTACAGTAATTAGAATTTCATTTACTCCTAAATTAAAGCAGATTTTCAAGGGGAAAGAGGAAGATGGGGGTGGGTACCCAGACTATTGATCACCGTATGATCATTTCCATGTGAGTACCATGTGGCTTGGAAATCAACTGCATGAACTGCATGAATTAAAACGCATGAACTGAGTAAACTTTTCAAAGATTAACATTATGGCAAGATAATTTAGGTACTTCATGCCCTGATTTCCAGAACTAAAAAGAGTTTTGGGGTTGTTTGTGAGTAATTCCCATCAATTCCAATGTTCCTAGATTTTAAAAATAATTTACCGTGTCTTAGAGGATATTTTCACAAATCTTTCTGTTGGCTTTCTTGTTTCACAGAGGACAATAGAGAGCTATGTGGATAAGCGTATGGGTACAACATATGGTCCTCCTGCAGGAAAGAAGATGACTGTTTTTATTGATGATGTGAATATGCCAATAATCAATGAGTGGGGAGATCAGGTATATTGATCCTATCACACGCTTCATTTCAATTCAACATTGATTTACTCTTTGAGGAGTAAATATTTTCCCACTTTTTTCAATATGCAGTTCCTCAGTTCCAATAAAGTCCATTATTTGGAAACACTCGAGTTAGTTTCTGGGATGTAAAGGAGTGACCTTTTAATTATGAAAGTTGTCTTTCTTAGGTTACTAATGAGATAGTACGACAGCTGATGGAACAGAATGGATTTTATAACCTAGAGAAGCCTGGGGAGTTCACCAGCATCGTGGATATCCAGTTTTTGGCAGCCATGATCCATCCTGGGGGTGGACGCAATGATATACCGCAAAGACTCAAGAGGCAGTTCTCTATATTTAACTGCACGTTGCCTTCTGATGCTTCCATGGACAAGATCTTTGGTAAAATGGTGACAGTGGGGCATGGGGAGGGAAGAATATCTGCTTGCAGTCCAATGAGAAAATATCCACCCAGAGGTCAACACAGAAGGGGCATTGGGTGGCTCCTGAGTCTTTTACCCTCATCACTCTCCAGTTGTGTTTATATCAGGATTTTGTTTCCATAAGGATTTGTGATATCCTGAATTGGGTGCCTAGGCAGATCTTTTCTACCTTTGTTTTTCTTGAAGTAACTGTTGCTAGCTTCTTAGGCAAGGAGGTTAAACATTAAATGAACAAGGACATGATGAGATTGTTTCCTCATAGATATACCTATATGAGGTCAGAATTGATAGAATACCATGCCAAAAGTTTATGTAACTGGTACTTTAACCAAGCCCTATAATGATTTTGGCCAAAGAAATAATTTTGCCTATAGCAGAAATTATCCAGTGTCTGATCTTCAGAGTAATTTGTAGGATTGAAATAAGTTATTGATTGGTTAAATAGGTAGTATTTCAGAAATAATATCATTGAAGAAACACTAGCCCAGTAGATAACTATGATGATTTGAGTAATGAAAAGAGTTTACAGTTGATTTTGTAGTTACTCTTTGCAGAAAAAGAGTGTAAAGTTATGTACGCATTGTATTAGGTATTAATTTACCACTTCTGAAGCTGCTACTGAGAGAAAACTCATTAGGATTACCCTAATTAATTTCTGGCAGACTAAAATGTCATCTCAGCACCCTGGGCTAGTGGAGTATGGCAGTATCTGCCTTCCATTGTGGCAGTGGACAGAAGTTTGGAAGCCAAATGATATGTGAATGATCTAAACCTGGGAAAAGTACAATGATCCAGAAAAAAAATGACTATTATCAATTTTAATTATTCTTTTTGCCTAGAAAGTTTTACATGTAAAGTAAATTAAAATATGATGCATGGAAGGCAACAACAGAATGGAGAAATCTTAAGGGTTCATGAAACCTCCCTTTTTCTTATGTCTTTATAAGGCAACTGTATGTATTTAACATCACTCACTTGGTAATATTGAATTTTTCAGCTAGAGCTTTCAGGAGTCTTTCTTAATCAACCTTTCAGTATTTAAATGCTAACTGACTTGAACCTGTATCTATTTTTTAGATTTAAAAAAGTAAGAGAACATCAATATAAATTTCTTTGGTATGTGGCCATCTATTAAAATGTGTATAATATTTGTGCCAACTCTACATTATAATGGTTTTCATTTTAATTTCACTGACTTGAACCATCACGGAAAATGTGATGACTTTTTTTCCTCTTTCAGGTGTTATTGGGAGAGGCTACTACTGTGCTCAGAGGGGCTTCTCAGAAGACGTGAGAGATTCGGTGATGAAACTGGTTCCCCTCACACGCCAACTGTGGCAGATGACCAAGATTAAAATGCTCCCTACACCTGCAAAATTCCATTACATATTTAACCTTCGAGATCTTTCCAGGATCTGGCAGGGCATGCTGAACACCACCTCAGAGGTTATCAGGGAACCAGATGTAAGTGATATATAGGAGGGAGACAGATGGCATCGTTATTTATCCTATGCCCTAAATATTACTCGTAATGTAGTTTTTAGTGGAATGATGAAAGATTTGGAATGTTTCAGCATGGATATTCTTTTTTTTTTTTTTTTTGCTACTTTTCAACTAATATAAATAAGGGAGAAGTATATCAGAAAATTTCTTTTAAAAATTCCAATTAAATTAAATTTATGTTTAAGGAAATAGTATACACAATTATTTTCTAATGTATGGAATAAAGGAAACAATGGATCTTATTTTCCCGTTATAAGATATCTTCCTTATACTAAATAATGGAAAAAATCACTCTTGATTTTGTTACATAATAGTCTTCATATTTTAAACTTGACATTTTAACTTTAAAAAAGTAATTATCTTTATAAACATTCAAAGTTGAAGAGACCATTTTGTTGTTAATAATCCTCAATCTTTCCAAGTAACTAGATGTGCTGAAAGAATTTCGCTTATTGGTATAATTGAAAAGAGGCAGAAAAGTAGAAAGTTCATTTGGCTGAAAAATGAGCATTTTTACACACACTTGAATATAAAAGTTCCTAGCATTAAAAGAATTCCCTTCAAACTAGAAACCTTATGGAAAAATCCAGTATGTTTTTTTTCCCCCAAAGCATGGCTGGTGTGCTCAGGCTTAGGTAACCTTGGCTTCTCTTGTAGTTTTATGGAACCAAGGAGGTAGTTAAACAAGTGGGTTTTAGGGCCTTGTCCACATAAACACACAGGGTCAGCTGAGATATCCACCAAACTGTCACTAGACATATCAAGTAGTGACTATAAAAAACGCCAACTTCGCCCCAGATAACTCACAAAGTAGGTAATGACGCTGGCTGACTCTAAGACAAGACATTTCGGGGAAAACTCACTGTCCTTGTTACAGAGAACAGAGAGTCATTTTAAGCAGCAGGGAACATTTTATCTTGATTTTTTTCCCCTCAGATTTATTGACAAATTAATGGTAATGCAGAATGCATGTCCCCAATATTATTTTTTTGAGTAGCCATTTTTTGATGCTTACTTTAAATCTCCATAAATAGTTCCAGCAATCGTTGAATATATATTACTAAGTTCCTTTTATATTTTTGTAACCAAATAGCATTTTATCATTAGTAATCGAATGGCTTAAAAACCTCCTAACCAGCAAAATTCTAGCAAGTTAAGAAATTTCCATCAGTCTTTCAAATCAAATGAACTTGCTATACAAACAGGTGTCTAGAGCAGTTAACTTCCTCAACTTCCAGCTAACTTTGCACCTTGGATTATGTAGACTAGGTAGATTGCTTTGTTCAGATAATCCAGATTTTTGCTACAAATTTCCTTCACATTGTGTTAAGTAGATATACCTTTGTAATATCTCCATTGTATACATGAGAACTATTTATATCCTACATTTTATATTACGCTCTGGCCACATGAATGCAGGTGTCTTATCCAAACATACTAATTTATCACAGACTTAAGACTTTTACATAAAATATTACCTTGTTGGTTATTCAGAGTGGTTTTAGTAGTTTGTCTAGGGATATTTTCATTTTAATTTAAAGACTGAAAATGAATAGACACTACTCTCTATTTGATATACTTGAATGAGACCAATTTGAAATGAAGTTAAGTATGTTTTAACCTCAAGTTTTTAAAATGTAGCATCTTGGATCAGGAAGGATGGTGCTCTGTAATTCTGTCAACTTGATTCCCAACTGTGGCAAATAGAAACGAGTAACATATTTTAATTATACTTTCGACAGGAACTGTTACGGCTGTGGAAGCATGAGTGTAAACGTGTTATAGCTGATCGTTTCACGGTGTCCACTGATGTGACCTGGTTTGATAAGGCTTTAGTAGGTTTGGTGGAGAAGGAGTTTGGTGAAGAGAAAAAACTCTTGGTGGATTGTGGAACTGATGCTTATTTTGTGGACTTCTTGAGGGACGCACCTGAAGCTACAGGTAAACTATTGAGCGGAATTAGAAATTCCCCAAAGGGGTACCTGAAGACAGAATGTTCAGTTGAGGGATGTTGGATTTCTGTCTAGTAAGCTTCACTGAAACAAGCCGGAGACATTGTAGGTGCTCAGTAAATATAGACCAAGTGGATACTCCTGGAATTCAGAGATGAGCCATTTTTATGCATATTAGTCTCGCACATTAAGGTAGATTTGGGAGGCAAGACAGGGTAGAAGAAAGTGCCCAGGACTTATAGCTGTCACACAGAGGTAGGTTTGAGGAAGGGATCTACCACATAGTAACTGGGCGAGTCTGTGAGTTTTCTTGAACCTCATTCTCCTCATTTATGAAAATGGAAATATTAATATATGTACCATGGGGCACTGTGGGGAATAAATGAAATGTTATCTGTATGGTGGCTTGGCAGTCTGCCAAATGAAAGGTAGCAAAAATAATGATAATTATTATTCAGGTCATCCTGATTGTTAAAAATAGATAAACCTCAGATATCTGAGAAGACCATTGCCTATAATTGGGAAGAGATGGGCGACGTGCATATAAGCTTTCGTGGTTATGGTTCTATAAAAAATGGAGATGTATATTACTTTTCTTCTTATGAAAAAAATAGTGCTCCAGTTACTTCTTTCCCTCAGAAATAACTGAGCTTAAGTAGAATATTTTCTTTCATTTAATTACCTCTTTTAATACTGAGGGTAAATTTTAAATTAATTTCCATATTTAAAAAGGCATACTTAAATTCATGCTATTTATATCTTCTAAATGGTTGAAAATGACCATGCAGCACCTTTCTAGATTTGATAAGGATGTATTTGATCTATCAAAAGTTTCCAAGCGACAGTTCCAAAAGGAGGTTTACTGCTGGCTATGCAGTTGGAGGGATCCTTCCACAGAAAGAAGCTGACACATTTTATTTTAAATGAGGTCACACACATACAAAAATCCTGTAAGTGTAAGAGCATTTAAAATTAGAATTTATGTATCTCATTTTCTCTAATTCAGAAGGATAAATAATTAGAATTTATGTATTTTGTTTCTTTTAATTCAGAAGGCTAAATTATTGAATGATGGTTTTCGAGGAGCAAAGCACAATTGCGTTTTTGGGGGGTGGTCATGTTGGAGGCAACAGCTAACCTTTTTTGACTTCAAAGCCCTTTGTTTCTCAAAGCTTGAGTTGAACATTTATGAAACACTGAAGGGACTATTGAAATTCAATTAGTGAGAGCTTTGCAAATAAGCCAGTCTTCATGATTATGTTACATCAGTTTTCTTGCTTTGTCATAAAAAGGTTAATATGCTATTATATTAGGACAGGGTCAATTGAAAATAATTATGTACTGTTAGATTTGGAAGAGCCACTCACTCTTCTAGTACCCAGTGAATTTCTAAGTTGTTATTGGCATATTCAACTCATGTGTCACTTTTTTTCCTGTTACTGATGTTAACTGATGGAGAACTAATATATGCCCAATTTAGCTTTCTTTTAGCATTATGCTTTATATTCAAAGATGGAAAAGTGTTACACTGGTACATTATGTGTTTCTAATTTTTTAAAAAAGTATATTGATTTTAGTACATCTTTTCTCAGTGACATAATTCATTTATTTAGGAAATCATTATTCTACCCTCTACCTCCATTCCCCCAAATTCACTTCTGTCTTCACTACTAACTTGAAATTCCTGATTCATAGGAATTTCCTGAACAAATGCAATGACCTTTTCCTTTTTTTCTTATTAAAAAACCTTTTAAGTCTTGACCTCTCTAACTGATTCTGACATTAAATCCCTACTTTTTTGACCTTCATTTTGACCATTAAGCGAATACCCCTGGAAGATTCCTTGAAATGCCAATACTCGGTTATGGATTTGGGTTAAATTCAATATATATGACATTATTTGAAATAGGCCCTTTCTAGACAGGAAAGAACTAAGACTAGGTAGGATCACAAGAATTCCAGTGCTTTTACTATTGTTTGCTTACTTTTTTTTTTTCTTTTAAAGATTTATTTATTTACTTAAGAGAGAGACAGTGAGAGAGAGGGAGTGCCTGCGAGTGGGGGGAGAGGCAGAGGGAGAGAGAGAATCTCAAGCAGACTCCCCGCTGAGCATGTAGCCCATGGGGGCTCCATCCTAGGACCCTGAGATCATGACCTGAGCTGAAATCAAGAGTCAAACACTCAACCAATGGAGCCACCCAGGCACCCCTGCTTTTCTTTTTTTTAAAATTTTATTATGTTATGTTAGTCACCATACAGTACATCATTGGTTTTTGATATGGTGATCCACGATCCATTGTTTTCGTATAACACCCAGTGCTCCATGCAGTACGTGCCCTCCTTAATACCCATCACCAGGCTAGCCAATCCCCCCCCCCTCTAAAACCCTGTTTGTTTCTCAGAGTCCATAGTCTCTCATGGTTCATCTCTCCCTCCAATTCCGCACCCCCATTTTTCCCTTCCTTCTCCTAATGTCCTCCATGTTATTCCTTATGTTCCACAAATAAGTGAAACCATATGATAATTGACTTTCTCTGCTTGACTTATTTCACTTAGCATAATCTCCTCCAGTCCCATCCATGTTGATGTAAAAGTTGGGTATTCATCCTTTCTGATGGCTGAGTAATATTCCATTGTATATATGGACCACATCTTCTTTATCCATTCATCTGTTGAAGGGCATCTCGGCTCTTTCCACAGTTTGGCTATTGCGGACATTGCTGCTATGAACATTGGGGTGCATATGGCCCTTCTTTTCATTACATCTGTGTCTTTGGGGTAAATACCCAGGAGTGCAATTGCTGGGTCATAGGGTAGCTCTATTTTTAACTTTTTGAGGCACCTCCACACTGTTTTCCAAAGTGGCTGTACCAACTTGCATTCCCACCAACAGTGTAAGAGGGTTCCCCTTTCTCCACAACCTCTCCAACATTTGTTGTTTCTTTCCCTGTCCATTTTTGCCAGTCTAACTGGTGTAAGGTGGCATGTCAATGTGGTTTTGATTTGGATTTCCCTGATGGCTAATGATGATGAACATTTTTTCATGTGTCTGTTAGCCATTTGTATGTCTTCTTCAGAGAAGTGTCTGTTCATCTCTTCTGCCCACTTTTTGACTTGATTATTTGTTTTTTGGGTGTTGAGTTTGAGAAGTTCTTTATAGATTTTGGATACCAGCCCTTTATCTGTAGTGTCATTTGCAAATATCTTCTCCCATTCTGTGGGTTGCCTCTTTGTTTTGTTGACTGTGTCCTTTGCTGTGCAGAAGCTTTTTATCTTGATGAAGTCCCAAAAGTTCATTTTTGCTTTTGTTTCACTAGCTTTTGGAGATGTATCTTGAAAGAAGTTGCTGTGGCCGATGTCAAAGAGGTTACTGCCTATGTTCTCCTCTAGGATTTTGATGGATTCCTGTCTCACATTGAGGTCTTTCATCCACTTTGAGTTTATCTTTGTGAATGGTGTTAGAGAATGGTCGAGTTTCATTCTTCTGCATGTGGCTGTCCAATTTTCCCAGCACCATTTATTGAAGAGACTGTCTTTTTTCCATTGCATGTTTTTTCCTGCTTTGTCAAAGATTATTTGACCATAGAGTTGAGGGTCCATATCTGGGTTCTCTATTCTGTTCCATTGGTCTGTATGTCTGTTTTTGTGCCAGTCCCATGCTGTCTTGGTGATCACAGCTTTGTAATATAGCTTGAAATCGGGCAACGTGATGCCCCCAGATTTGTTTTTCTTTTTCAACATTTCCTTGGCAATTCAGGGTCTTTTCTGATTCCATACAAATTTTAGGATTGTTTGTTCCATCACTTTGAAAAATGTGATTGGAATTTTGATCTGGATGGCATTGAAAGTATAGATTGCTCTGGGTAGCATAGACATTTTAACAATGTTTATTCTTCCGATGCATGAGCATGGAATGTTTTTCCATCTTTTTGTGTCTTCTTCAATTTCTTTCATGAGTGTTTTGTAGTTCCTAGAGTATGGATCCTTTACCTCTTTGGTTAGGTTTATTCCGAGGTATCTTACGGTTTTTGGTGCTATTGTAAATGGAATCGTTTCTCTAATTTCTCTTTCTACAGTTGCATTGTTAGTGTATAAGAAAGCAACGGATTTCTGTGCATTGATTTTGTATCCTGCCACATTACTGAATTGCTGGATGAGTTCTAGTAATTTGGGGGTGGAGTCTTTTGGGTTTTCCACATAAGGTATCATGTCGTCTGCGAAAAGAGAGAGTTTGACTTCTTCTTTGCCCATTTGAATACCTTTTATTTCTTTTTGTTGTCTGATTGCTGTTGCTAGGACTTCCAGTACTATGTTGAACAATAGTGGCGAGAGTGGGCATCCTTTTTTTTAAATTTTTATTTTTTAAACATTTTATTTATTTATTTGAGAGAGAGAGAATGAGAGACAGAGAGCATGAGAGGGAGGAGGGTCAGAGGGAGAAGCAGACTCCCTGCCGAGCAGGGAGCCCGATGTGGGACTCGATCCCGGGACTCCAGGATCATGACCTAAGCTGAAGGCAGTCGCTTAACCAACTGAGCCACCCAGGCGCCCCAGAGAGTGGGCATCCTTGACGTGTTCCTGATCTTAAGGGAAAGGCTCTCAGCTTTTCCCCATTGAGGATGATATTCGCTGTGGGTTTTTCATAGATGGATTTTATGAACTTGAGGAATGTTCCCTCTATCCCTATACTCTGAAGAGTTTTAATCAGGAAAGGATGTTGTATTTTGTCAAAGCTTTTTCTGCATCAATTGAAGGGACCATATGGTTCTTCTCCCTCCTCTTATTAATGTGTTCTACCACATTGATTGATTTGCAAATGTTGAACCACCCTTGCATCCTGGGAATAAATCCCACTTGGTCGTGGTGGATGATCCTTTTAATGTATTGTTGGATCCTATTAGCTAGGATTTTGTTGAGGATTTTGGAATCCATATTCATCAGGGATATCAGTCTGAAATTCTCTTTTTTGATGGGGTCTTTGCCTGGTTTGGGGATTAAGGTAATGCTGGCCTCATAGAATGAGTTTGGAAGTTTTCCTTCTGTTTCTATTTTTTGAAACAGCTTCAGTAGAATAGGTATTATTTCTTCTTTGAATGTTTGGTAGAATTCCCCAGAGAATCCATCAGGCCCTGGACTCTTGTTTTTTGGGAGGTTTTTGATCACTGCTTCAATCTCGTTACTGGTTATTGGCCTACTCAGGTTGTCAATTTCTTCCTGTTTCAGTCTTGGCAGCTTATAGGTTTCCAGGAAGGCCTCCATTTCATCCAGATTGCTCAGTTTATTGGCATATAGTTGTTGATAATAATTTCTAATAATTGTTTCTATTTCCTTGGTGTTGGTCATGATCTCTCCCCTTTCATTCATAATTATATTAATTTCGGTCCTTCTCTTTTCTTTTGGATAAGTCTGGTCAGTGGTTTATCGATCTTATTAATTCTTTCAAAGAACCAACTTCTAGTTTTGTTGATCTGATCTACTGTGTTTCTGGTTTCTAATTCATTGATTTCTGCTCTAATTTTAATTATTTCTATTCTAATGCGTGGCTTAGGCATCGTTTGTTGCTTTTTCTCTAGTTCTTTAAGGTGTAGAGTTAGTTGGTGAATTTGGGATTTTTCTATTTTTTTGAGTGAGGCTTGGATGGCTATGTATTTCCCCCTTAGGACCACCTTTGCAGTATCCCATAGGTTTTGGACCGATGTGTTTTCATTCTCATTGATTTCCATGAATTGTTTAAGTTCTTCTTTGATTTCTTGGTTGACCCAAACATTCTTGAGCAGAGTGGTCTTTAGCTTCCAAGTGTTTGAATTTCTGCCAAATTTTTTCTTATGATTGAGTTCCGGTTTTAGAGCATTGTAGTCTGAGAATATGCAGGGAATAATCTCAATATTTTGGTATCGGTTAAGACCTGATTTGTGACCCAGTATATGGTCTATTCTGGAGAAAGTTCCATGTGCGCTCGAGAAGAATGAGTATTCTGTTGTTTTAGGGTGGAATGTTCTGTAAATATCTATGAGGTCCATCTGGTCCAATGTATCATTCAAAGCTCTTGTTTCCTTGTTGATTTTCTGCTTAGACAATCTGTCCATTGCTGAGAGTGGAGTATTGAGGTCTCCTACAATTAACGTATTGTTATCAATATGACTCTTTATTTTGGTTAACAGTTGGCTTATATAGATGGCTGCTCCCATGTTGGGGGCATAGATATTTACAATTGTTAGATCTTGTTGTTGGATAGACCCTTTAAGAATGATATAGTGTCCTTCTGTGTCTCTTATGACAGACTTTAGTTTAAAATCTAATTTGTCTGATATAAGAATTGCTACCCCAGCTTTCTTTTGAGGTCCTTTGGCATGGAAGATGGATCTCCATCCCTTCACTTCCAGTCTGGATGTATCCAGGTTCAAAATGAGTCTCTTGTAGACAGCATATGGATGGGTCCTGTCTTTTTATCCAATCTGCAACCCTGTGCCGTTTTATGGGAGCGTTTAGGCCATTCACGTTGAGAGTGATTATTGAAAGATATGAATTAATTGTCATCATGTTGCCTGTGAAGACATTGTTTTTATAGATTGTCCCCGTAAATTTCTGTTGTATATGACTCTTGGGGTCTTTCTCTTTTTATAGAACCCCCTTAATATTTCTTGCAGGGCCGGCTTAGTGGTCACATATTCTTTAAGTTTCTGTGGGTCGTGGAAGCTCTGCATCTCTCCTTCCATTCTAAATGAAAGCCTTGCCAGATAAAGCATTCTTGGCTACATGTTCTTCTCATTTAGTACCCTGAATATGTCTTGCCAGGCCTTTCTGGCTTGCCAGGTCTCTGTGGATAGGTCTGACGTTATTCTGATGTTCCTCCCTCTGTACATAAGGGATCTCTTCCCCCTAACTGCCCTTAAGATGGTTTCCTTGGTTCTAAGATTTGCAAGTTTTACTATTACATGCCGGGGTGTTGGCCTGTTTTCCTTGATCTTAGGAGGGGTCCTCTCTGCCTCTAGGACTTGAATGTTTGTTTCATTCCCCAGATTAGGGAACTTCTCAGCTACGATTTGCTCAAATAGATCTTCTAGCCCTCTCTCTCTCTCCACTCCCTCCGGGATTCCAATTATTGTGACATTGGAACGCTTCATGGTGTCACTTATTTCTCTGATTCTATTTTCATGGATTCTGAGTTGTTTTTCCCTGGCCTTTTTTCCCTTTTTATCTGTTATATTGTCTTCCAGGTCGCTTATTTGCTTTTCTGCCTCAGTTACCCTAGCTGTTAGATTATCTAGATTGGATTGGATCTCATTGATCGCATTTTTAAGTTCTGCCAATTCACCTTTTATTTCTGCCCTTAGAGACTCTATGTTGCCATTAATTGATTTCTCCATTCTAGCCATTGTCTTCACAATTGCTAGCCTGAATTCCATCTCCGACATTTTGGTTATATCTGCATCCATTTGTAAATCTGCAGCATAAGTCATAACCTCTGAGTCTTTTCTATTTTGGGAGCTCCTCCTCCTAGTCATTCTGTTGATGGGTGTTTGAGGGAATGTATAGAGTCCAAATTATTGACCAGAACGCAAGCAAGATGCACCTGTTTTCTTGGGACCTTAGGGTTGCTGGCCTCTTGTTTTCCCAGCCTGCCATGCTGTTACTCAGCGGGAGGGACCTGCCGCACTGTTACTCAGGCAACCCTGTTTGGGCGGAGTTGCCCTGCGCCCCTCTGGTGGGGGATGGGCTCAGCGGGAATCAGTTTTTGGGGCTTTTGTTCTCTGGTGGCTTTCCCTGGCGGCTTTCCGCATCTCTTTCACAAGTCAGAGCAGAAGAGACCGTTTCCAACCCTCTGCCTCAGAGCAGAGAGACCTCAGTCTGTTCTTCAGTGAGCTCTCCAGGCCACACCGTCTCCGTTTCTGTCCGTGCTGCTATAGACTGCAGCGGCCTGGGTTGTGCGCCCCTCCGCAGCGCTCCCAGTCCTGCCTCCAGGTCAGGCACGTCTCTGCCCTTTGTGCTTCTAAAACCGCCAGCTGCTCCCAGTTTGTGCACTTGCGACCCCGCCGCTCGGGGTTTCCGTCCTGGGGGCTGCAGTTTGCAGGCGCGACCCCACCGCTCCGGGTTTCCACCCCGGGTGCTGCCCTGGAGTCCTTTCCCTGCTGCTACTGGTCTGCGAGTCTGTGCCCCATCCCCAGAGTGCGAGGCTGTCGCTCACAGGCGGTGTGGGATCCCCACGGCCAGGCACCCTCCCGCTGCCGATTATCCTCAGATATCTGCCCACGGAATCATGGCTCCCTGCTTCGTACCTCAAAACCAACCACCTGCGATATTCTGTTTGTAGAGATCCAGATCTTCTTACATCTCAGGCTGGTTTTGTGGGTGCTCAGAGTGGTCTGGTAGATATCCAGCTCAATTCCGGGGACCCGTTGAAATAGGGTCCCCTACTCCTCTGCCATCTTTCCCCTGATCTATTGCTTTCTTTTCTTTTTAAAAATATATAATATGGCGTTTGGATGAAAATCGGTATTACTGAGTGTGAAATTGTCGAGCTATGAGTGTATTAACTTAGGTTGAAGGAACTAGTAAAGCCCGGTGATATGAAGAAAACAAATTCTTTTTCCCTAATACCAGGTGAAGCACCTCAGGAGGCTGATGCTGAAATGCCCAAAATTTATGAGCCAATTGAATCTTTTGATCACCTAAAGGAGCGCTTGAATATGTTCCTGCAGCTGTATAATGAGAGCATCCGTGGCACTGGCATGGATTTGGTGTTCTTCGAGGACTCCATGGTTCACTTAGTCAAGGTCAGTGGCCATACCCTGTGACACCTCCCCAGAGTGATGGACGCTTGGCTTCACACTAGAATTTTTTCCCTCCTCTTTCATTTTCATCTCCTGGAAGAATAGTCAGTTTGAAAATAAACTCAATGCCATATTCCAATTTAATTTTTAAACTGAATGCAACATGTCACACCTATAGGCTGAAAATCAGCTGAAATATCAGAGCATGGATACTTCAAATGTGTGATATAATTTTATTCAGTGTTGCTATTGGCTTCCAGCTCAGTGTTTTCACCACATAGAATGAATGTGGTTGACATCTGAGTTCAAAGCACAGGCAAAAAGTTTGCTTATTTTTTTGCATTATGCAAAAAAGAGCAGTAAAAAATAGTGCATAAACTTTGAAGACACTATGCTCAGTGAAAGAAACCAGTCACAAAAGGATAAATACTGTTATGATTCCACTTATTGGAGGTACTTAGTATAGTCAAAATCATAGAGACAGCAAGTAGAATAGTGATTGCCAGGGGCTTGGGGGTAGGGAGAATGCAGAGTGTTTAATGGTACAGAGTTTCATTTTTGCAAGATGAAAAGAGTTTTGGAGATAATTGTTGGTCGCACAAAAATATAAATGTACTTAATGCCATTGAACTATGTGCTTAATAGTTAAGATGGTAAATTTTATGTTATATATATTTCACCACAGTTAGAAATGATAATTAAAAAAGAATGCATAAACAATTGATTTTGAGCTGGATGAAAATTCTCTTAGAATTAAATCCACCAGGAAAGTACATTTTCCTTTCTACTTTGTCACAGGCGTCATTCCAGTATCTATTCATAGGAGAGTTGACTCTCAAAGATTGGAAGTAAAATATATTATTTATTCGATAACTTATGTGATCTAATTTCTCTGTGGTGGAAGATAATGCCATTTTAAATATGTTGTTGATATTCTCACTCTGTTGATGTCAGTTACTTTTTCAGACTACATCCTTTTAGTTAGAAAGAGGATAGCTCGAGGCTGTATTCCATTACTTAGGTTAAACCATAAGGAAAAATCTCATAATTATAAATTGTCACCTCTGATAATTACTGAATCTAGAGTTCATCTAGTTGACCCTCCCTTTGAAAGTAGAAGAGGGTGGGGAAGGCTGGAGTATGTCAGGGAGGAGGAGGAAGACAGAGTGGCCATTTTAGGTTGAGTGTCCCCCCACATGAGGGCATATAGCTTGGACATTCTGAATTCTCAGAGTCTGAGACATCTGTACTGAATTGTGAGCAAAAATGTCCTTCCAAATATAAATAATGACAGCAATTCTGTCATACTTACTGATTAAAAAGAAGAAGAATGAAAGAAAATAAATAATACCAAAGGCAACTTTATAACTAATGTCTTTTGGAGACAAAATCTGATATGCCTAGGATTTCCTAATGGCTCAGATTGAAGATGAGACTATTTGTGTTAGTCTTATGTTTGAGCTAGTTTTCTAGAACTCTCTCATTTCTATGTTTCATGCACAGACGAACGATGACCATTTCTTCACAATGTGGGGACTTGACATTTGAGGGTCGTGTGACTTAGCATAGGGTCTTTGACTATTTTCCCTCAATTTCCTTCTCAGCCTCTTGTGTCTGCTTTGGAATGGGCTGAAGAATTCGTGACTGGAGTTTTTGAGCTAAGATATAAGATATAAGCTAGGGTATAAGATATCCTAGGCAGACCTTCTCTTCTACTCTCTTGCTTCCTGGGGACAGTACATCCAAACTGTGTTGTGTGGATGTGAACCTTGAAATGTGTGACTTAGTCATAAGACATGATAAAAGTCAAGAGACAGAATTAAGATGAAATTAAGATGAAAACTGCAGCAAAACAAGTTGTGATATGAGACCAGACGTATTTCTTGATTCCCTTCTCCATTAAGATAAAGATTTTCTTTCAAAACACAGAGAGTATCTCTGTGATAGTTCTTTTGCCTCTTTGGTAAAGAATCAGACCATGGTGTGTGTGATTTCTCATGGTCTAACCCCTGCATAACACTCTAGCCTGTGACTTGTGCTCTGCTTGGCATGTAATCCAGAAAAATCAGCTACCCACGATGAAACATACCCTGCTTCCAGAGCACTTCACCCCTATGCCTTCCCAGCAAATGTTGCCTCATGTGGAATTTATTAATGTGTGTGTTTGTTTTCCCTTCTGGGCAATAAGCTCTGTGAGCGTGGGCATCCAATTTATTCACCTCCGTATTCACAGGATGGAGAATAGGCACACTTGAGATACTTGATAAATAGGTTTGGAATTTAACCCAGGGCCCAGTGTGGTCCAAAATTACCCTTTGCTGCCTCATCTCCTGATATTTCTGTACCTAGTACTGAAGTTACCCCTCTATAGGGATACCTCAGGCCTTTTGTTGACTCCGAGACTTCCTGCATCTCATTTCCTCTTTTTTTTTTTTTTTTTTAAAGATTTCATTTATTTATTTGACAGAGAGAGACACAGCGAGAGAGGGAACACAAGCAGGGGGAGTGGGAGAGGGAGAAGCAGGCTTCCCGTCTAGCAGAGAGCCTGATGCGGGGTTCGATCCCAGGACTCTGGGATCATGACCTGAGCTGAAGGCAGACACTTAACGACTGAGCCACCCAGGCGCCCCTCATTTCCTCTTCTTAAAATGTAGCTCAGCTCCTGACTGGCATGTCCCCTTCTTTGTATGAGGGACTTTAGTTATCTTTCAAGATCCAGATCACACTCCAGCTCCACAACTAAGACTTGCCTCTACCCAGCAGCACTGTTTCCTTCACTACATTCTTACCTGTTCCTGCATTCGCCATGGAATGTGTATCCCCACATTTCTGTTAATAGGTCTCTCTCCTCTGCTAGCATGTGAGCACCTGTGGGGCAGGATGGGCATTATTAATTTTTAAAATATTTGCTAAAGGGATTGAAAAATGAATATTTCTATCTCACAATCTGTGTAGAGTAAGACAAAAAAGTCCCATTTAAAGGTATTACTTGATTGTGTTTTCTCATTTAATTTCTATTTGTAATTAGACTATGAGTTTTTGAGTCTCTTTTAAACCCTTCTGCTTGCTTGTTCACGTCTATGTTCATTTGTAGTATATGGTTTGTTTACCATGTGCTAGAAACTAGGAACGGAAAATTTTAATATAAGACCTAGGCCTAGTTTCAGGAAAAGATGTTGGTGAACCTAATTAATTAACAACAATTATTTAAACCCTTAATATATTCACCAACACCAATGAAAGGAAATGGTTATGACAAAAACTGTATATTTTGAAAAATGTTAACCAAGGAAAGACACCGAAGATTCTAGTGTGGTTTTCGGTAGCTCCTTACCTGCCATATCTGTGCCTCTTGAAGGAATATCAGGGAAATAATATGAATAGACATTGGCAAATCATTCTTGCCAGTACCATTCCTTCCCTGCCTACAACAACTTTGGAGAGAATCGTGGGCAGGGTGAGTAGGGGCCTGGAAAGATGGGTGTGTCCCTCACCTATTCTGAGGGCTCTCAGATCCACAGCAGAGACAAGAAAATGGTCTTCATTTCCCAGGCTCACACTAAATTGGGGGGAATAATCTAAAAGACAAGAGTAGTCCCAACACTTTATTATACCTCAATAAGAAGAAAACAAGAGTAGTCCCAACAGGGTAAGTATTGCCCCTGCCAGATGAGGTAATCCTGAGAAAGGATGTTTAGCAATACACTGGCAGGATAAGAGCCCAGGTCACCCCAGGAGGCTTCCACCAGCTGCAGAGAAGTGACCTTTCTCAGCCCTGTCTCACTCTCTGTTATTATTCTATAGAAAAGTGAGTATCACAGTAATTCCCCAGGCTCAAACTGCCATTAGGAGGGAAAGAGAAAGAGTTACCATACTCCATGGAGTATGGAGAAGAAAGCATCAAGGAGAATCCTACACTGAATCCCCTCTAGGTGGGTGTTGGAAGCCAGGTGGTAGAAGCAGTTCATCAATAACAATAAAGCTAAAGAAACATGGACTTCTACCACAAGGGGGACTTGAATTAGTCTGGGACTACTGACTGGCCCACCCATATTTACTTCTTGGTCGATTCCTTAGGTCTCACTGACTGTGCCAAATAATAGGAGGGTGTTTATGTTTGTTTTCTTCCTTCTGCTCCTCTTCCTCCTCCTCTTCTTTTTAAAAATTCCATCACCTGTACCACATTTTGGGAATTTCCTTCCCTTCGAATTAAACTCTCTGTCATTTTTCAAATGTAGAGGATATTCTAATCAACTGTGTGTTCTGTATTCCAAGGATACACATTGTCTTGAAATTTCAGTCTCTTTCCTGTCCCACTGCATTAGGTTGGGAGACTAAAAGGAAACCTCCACATCCCCTTTATTTCTCTCCTTTAAAACCCAGAGCAGGCCATAGGGGTAGTTTGGGTTGACATTTCGGTACTGGTCTCTTCAAGTTTCCCCAAAGCACCCCCCAACACACACCCTCTTCAAACATCATTCTCTTTCAGAAATACCCTCCTTCGTCCAGCCAGTGTATCTCTTCATGCTGATCCTGAGACACTTACGTCTTCCCAAATGCTTACAGTGCATAAATAGGAAAAAATGGAATATTTTCACATTGGACAATGATATGTGCCTTTTCTCTTCCATATTCTAGATCTCACGTGTCATTGGCACAGCCCGGGGAAATGCCCTCCTGGTTGGAGTGGGGGGATCAGGAAAACAGAGCCTGACAAGGTTGGCTTCGTTCATTGCTGGCTATTCTTCCTTCCAGATCACTCTGACAAGGTAACACGCTTTCGCTTTAATTAACCTGAAGTGGATTTTGATAGCAGGTTTTCAGAGGCCACTTGAACTTAATGCATTTATATTATACATAAGGAATCAATCATTTCCTTCCTAAATGTAGACTTATCATCGTCCCCTTTCAACCTTTATTATAGATCAGGAAGTTTTCACATTAATAATTTGCTTTTGAAGTATTTCAGCCTCTTATAATAGTGAATAGCTGCCTCCCTGTTTTTATGTTATGCATGCCATGTGTATTCTATGTATTCCTCTTGGTGTATTTCAGAAGAAATTTATCCCTACTACATGTTAGTTCAGATTTCAAGAATGTTAATAAACTACTAAAGTAGATGAAAACTTTATATTGATTAACTCATACATTTAGAAATATTTATGGAACACTGGCTATGTGTCAGGCACTGGCTAGGTGCTGGGGAGTTCATGCTGAGCAAGGTAAACCTGGCTTGTGTCATCACAGAGCTTCTTATAGTCAAGGGGGTCAGACAGTGGAGCAATTCATTCAGGAAGGTGTCATACGTAGGTGCTGTCTGCTGGAAGAAAATAAATGAAGACCAACCAGCTCCTGTTGTAACATGAGGGAGGGACTCCTAACCTAGTCTGGGGGATGGTCAGAAAAGGCTTCCTGGAGGAAAAGATGTTTAAACTAAGACCCGAGAACAAATAGGAATTATCTGAGAAAAGAGGTGAGGTGAAGAGTGTTCCAGGCAAAAGGGTCAGTACCTGTGAAGTCACATTGAGGCCTGGAAGAAGTTCAATATGGCGGGCTGTGCAGCGTGAGATAGCAAGTGGGAAAGGAATAGAAATGGAGGTCTTTGAAGGTATGATAAGGAATTTGGACTTTATCCTAAAGCAACAGGAGACCATTAATGAATTACTGCTAGGGAGGGCCTGTGGGTTTGTATGTACAGAAAACAGATGGAAGGAGCTCAATGGAAATAGTTATAAGGCTGTCTCAGGGATCTAGGCAAGAGATGATGGGTCAGGAGTGGGAGCAGTGAGAATGGAGAAAAAAGGACAGACTCAGGATCACTGGAAAGTTGAACTTTTGGACTTGGTCCATCCTAGTTCTGGCTTGGGAAGCTGGCTGCCTGCCTGAAGCATACACTCATCAAGGTAGGGAACCCCGGGAGGGTCGTCCTTGGTCATATATGTGTAGTGAGGGTGGAGCTAGGAAGTGAAGAGTCAGCATGGAGAGATACGCAGGCGTGATTCAGAGGGGCTGAACAGAATTTCAGGATTAACCAAGATGAGAGGTAAGAGGCCAATTTGGGAACTTTAGTTGGGCTGAGAATTATTAGAGGTTAACTTGTAGGTGTGGGAGAAGGAAGTCTTGCCTGTTGGCCATGCTCTAGAGCTTTGGCTTGGCCCAGTTGGGCAAAGCATCCCTCCATCTCTTCCTGATGGAGGCCCATAGATACCTGCTAGGACAGCGATTGAAAATTATTAAATCTGGGTTTAAGATCCAGGTATTCGAGTTGTTGTCAGGCTTTTCATTTGGTCCAAATTATAGGCTTTGCTTAGAGAGTAAATCCGAAAGGTTGCTGTTTGTTTTTCAAGTACTAGGACAGAGAGAAATAATTACCTTGTGTATAATTCTTCTAGTTTGTGGATAGCAGTAGAGTTAGGTAAAAGATAACCTATACAGGAAAGAGACTGGACTCTGAGATTTTTGTTCCTAATATTTTAATAAAGCCTTATAATTTTCTTTTTTTTTTTTTTTAAAGATTTTATTTATTTATTTGACAGAGAGACACAGCGAGAGAGGGAACACAAGCAGGGGGAGTGGGAGAGGGAGAAGCAGGCTTCCCGCCGAGCAGGGAGCCTGATGCGGGGCTCGATCCCAGGACTCTGGGATCATGACCTGAGCCGAAGGCAGACGCTTAACCGACTGAGCCACCCAGGCGCCCCTATAAAGCCTTATAATTTTCAAAGCACTTTTATATGCATAGGCTAGTTTGGTCTTCAAAGCAACTTTATCAGTTAGCAGGGCATATAATAATATTAGCCTATCTTACAGCTGAGACTATCACTTGTCTGAAATCCCAGATTTGCCTGGGAATTGACCACAGAATTTCTGGTTTCTGGTCTGGCTTGACTTTCACTCTACCATACTGCCTCAGGAAAAATGTCTTGCAGCTCCTCTCTCTGTGATCAGTTAGTTCCTCCATATGTCATAGTGGGAATGCTCCATTATGATGAAGAGGAAGGCCAAAGCCTTTGCCTTCTCACACCTTCAAGAGACCATCTTACTGCCCCAGCCTCTGCATAGCTATGTGGCCAAGATTCAGCAAGCAAGAGCCTCACATTTGGGAAGCACAGCCATGTGTTAGAGGGCTCAGGCCATTATTTGAGGCAGTGGGCCCTTGATCCAGGGGACTGGGCTGAAAGTTTTCCCAAGTCAGGAGAAGCTTTCTCTCTCTTTCTCTCTCCAGTGGAAGGCTGCGTGTTTGAAATTCTTTTCTAATCTCTCAGATTGCACTTCTGCAGACATTTTCTTAAAATATTGATGTATCGTGGTGGGATTTCTGGTTCTAGGATTTAGGTTTTAGATGATCAAAAAGCACAGACATAGAGTTAAATAGTAGCTTTAAAAAAAATCAGAAGGCCATTTGCTCTTGTGGTCTGAACTCTGAGTTTATTTAATAACATAAAATTCAAATGATAATTTAGTAAATCTGAATCTCCAGGATTGGAATATCTTTATTTTTACTTTTGGAGGTATTGGGCTACTCTGTTTTGGGAGATCTCTAATATTTCATGACTGCAGGCTGATTTCCACTAAAGGATTGCTTTTGTCAGTGAAAGAAGATTTAGAGTGGGATATTTCATGTTTTCAGCTGTTCTATTACAGTAGACTGATTGCTCAGAAGACTCTTTTACAGGGGGCCCAAAGATGCAATGAAATAATTGTGTTGGGGGATGAGAGGGCACCATTTTTTTTTAAAGATTTCATTTCATTTCATTTTATTTTACTTTTTAAAAAAATTTTATTTTTAAGTAACCTCTATACCCAATGTGGGGCTCGAACTTACAACCCTGAAATCTGGAGTCATATGCACTTCTGACTGAGCCATGCAGGCGTCCCAAGAGGGCATCATTTGAATTAGGGCATTTTCCTCAGCCTATATAATTAAAGCTTGAAATGATTTAATTTCGATTAATTTATGAGGTATCTTCTAAAATACCAATTGCAGGGACGCCTGGGTGGCTCAGTCATAAAGTGTCTGCCTTCAGCTCAGGTCATAATCCCAGGTCCTGGGATCGAGTCCCGCATTGGGCTTCCTGCTTAGCAGGGTGCCTGCTTCTGCCTGCCGCTCTCCCTGCTTGTGCTCATGCTCTGACAAATAAAAAAAAAATCGTAAAAAAAAATACCAATTACTGATAGGTGCGTAATAAACATTCCAATTTGACTTTTGTATTAGCCTTACCACCAAATATTTTCAAAATGAAGCATACCCATTTAGATGACATTTAGTTGTGGTAAAAATGATATTTTGGTTTCAGGTTGACTTTTCACTCTAGATTTTTATTTTGCGTGTAAAAAATTAATTATAATAGTTAATGAAGTACGGAGTTTAAAAACCAGTTTCATATTTGCAGGTAAATATAATGTTACTTGACTTGATGTTAACTAGACTTATTGTGGTGATCATTTTGCAATATATACAAGTATGGAAATATGTTGTGTACCTGAAACTAAGATAATGTTATATGTCAGTTATGCCTCAATGGAAAAAATAGCTCTTAACTTTCATGAGTAGTGAAGTACTCAAAATTTTACCAAGATGTGCCTCTATTATTCTCAAAGGAATAGCTATTAGAAAATGAAAGAAATTTAAAAAAAATCAGTTTCATCTTTACAAGGAAATATAATGAACCAGTAACATTCACATACAATAAAATTCTTTTTTTTTTTTTTAAAGATTTTATTCATTTATTTGACAGAGAGAGACAGCGAGAGAGGAAACACAAGCAGGGGGAGTGGGAGAGGGAGAAGCAGACTCCCCACTGAGCAGGGAGCCCCATGCGGGGCTCGATCCCAGGATCCTGAGACCATGACCTGAGTCGAAGGCAGATGCTTAACGTTTGAGCCACCCAGGCGCCCTACAATAAAATTCTTATCTGATGAAACAACATCAGTATTTCTTTTGATTAACCAAATGGCATAAAGCATTGTTATAAGGATCTTTCCTTCCCATCAGAATAGTTTAGCTAATGACACAATGACAATATCGCTTTAGATCCTACAACACATCAAATCTGGTGGAAGACTTGAAGATTTTGTATAGAACGGCGGGGCAGCAAGGCAAAGGAATCACTTTTATCTTTACAGACAAGGAGATTAAGGATGAGTCATTTTTGGAATATATGAACAATGTTTTATCATCGGGTGAGGTAGGAGCTCATTTATCTTCATGCATTTTGACTCTTCAGATTCCCTCCAACTTTAGAGCTCTTTCCTTCCATTAGAGTTTTTGAGTGAGTGCTGTTATTGGGGATTAGGAAATCAGTAGGAAGAATTGCTTTTTCTATTGGGTTTTAGAGAATAAAACAGCTGATTGGATTTTTGATATGTCCATTTACCCCTTTAAAGAGCTATGACTTTGCAGTTAATAATAGAATCATTTGTGTATTTAAAATATGGGGTATCTTATCTTGAGGACTTTGGTTAATTTTTTTAAAAAAGGGTGTGCAAAAGCTTGTTATTTTGTTGTAGTCCCAATAGTTTATTTTTGCTTTTGTCTCCCTTGCCTGAGAAGACACACCTAGAAAAAATGTTTCTACGGCTGATGTCAGAGAAATTACTGCCTGTGTTTCTTCTAGGAGTTTTATGGTTTCAGGTCTTACATTTAGGTCTTTAATCCATATTTAGTTTATTTATTTATTTATTTATTTATTTATTTATTTATTTATTTATTTATTTTTTAAAGATTTTATTTATTTATTTGAGAGAGAGAGAAAGCATGAGGTGGGGAGGGTCAGAGGGAGAAGCAGACTCCTCGCTGAGCAAGGAGCCCGATGCGGGACTCGATCCCGGGACTCCAGGATCATGACCTGAGCCGAAGGCAGTCGCTTAACCAATTGAGCCACCCAGGCGCCCTTTATTTAGTTTATTTTTGTGTATGGAATGAGAGAGTGGTCCATTTTCATTCTTTTGCATGTAGCTGTCCAGTTTTCCCAGCACCATTTATTGAAGAGTTGGTCTTTTCCCTATTATATGCTCTCAATTCCTTTGTCATAGATTATTTGAACATTTAAGTGTGGGTTTATTTCTGTGCTTTCTCTTCTGTTCCATTGATCTGTAGGTCTGTTTTTGTGTCAGTACCATACTGTTTTGTTTATTATAGCTCTGTAGTATATCTTGAAATACGGGGTTGTGATATGTCCAGGTTTGTTCTTCTTTTTCAAGATTGCCTTGGTTATTTGGGGTCTTTTGTGGTTCCATACACATTTTAGGATTGTTTGTTCTAGTTCTGTGAAGAATACTGTTGGTATCTGGGTAGGGATTGCATTGAATCTCTACACCACTTTGGGAAGGATGGACATTTTAACAATATTAAATCTTTTAACCTATGAGTGTGGAATATCTTTCCATTTGTTTGTGTCATGAAGACTTTGGTTAATTTTCTAAAGGTGAGTTTAAGAACACAAATGGAGGAAAGATATCATATGTATTGAGCTATGTATTTTGATCTCTTTTCACGTGTCTGTACTGAATTTGAGTGTCTGCTCTTCTTTTGAAGGTCTCCAACCTATTTGCTTGTGATGAAATTGATGAAATTAATAGTGATCTCCTATCTGTCATGAAGAAAGAATACCCCAGGCGCCCTCCTACCAATGAGAACCTGCATGACTACTTCATGAGTCGGGTCCGACAGAACCTTCACATTGTCCTCTGCTTTTCACCTGTTGGGGAGAAATTTCGAAATCGAGCGTTGAAATTCCCTGCCCTTATTTCAGGATGTACTATTGACTGGTTCAGCCGATGGCCTAAGGATGCCTTAGTTGCTGGTTAGTGTGGTGGAAACTTTGGTCACAGTTTTTGGTTAACAGTGTGTGTGTGTGTGTGTGTGTGTGTGTGTTTACATTCTGTGCTCTTTGCTGTCTCTGTCCTGGATTGAGCCTGAAGTCACTTTGTCTAATATTTGAGGATTTTTGCAAGATGCTGCTCTTTCACCAAAGGTGCAAAAATTAGGTAGCTAATTTTCCCCAGAGTGTGGTTATCAGACACTCATCTTCAATCTTGTACTCCCTTGGGTTAATTTCCAGTAACTCTAGTCTTTTCAGGGATACTGGAAGGCTTTGTCTCAGTTGGATACCCAGACGTCTTCCAAGATGTCCCAGGAAGGCACGGAGGTTTTAGCTACTTTGGTAGTATTTGTGTTCAACCTCGGAGTAGTTAAAGCTGAACGTCTCTTGGATGTTCTGTTCTTGTGGCTACAGTGCTGGACATCAAAGAAGAAGACCTTACCCAGCAATGCTCTGCTGGCTCCTGTCCTTGGAGACGGATGTTAGAGTGTTCTGTGACTTGGGTCCTTGGCTGCTTCCAGTTCTGTCCACGATCATCTGTCCTGCGGAACATGAATGTCTCTCTCGCTCTAAATGAAATTGAACATGGATGTGGTAGAGGAGACGTTAGAGATCATTTAGTTTATGGTTTTTCAGCTTTTGGTGAGAAATTACTTGTGGGTATTTTAGATGGTAGGGATGTTTAGGTGTCACCCCTGACCGGACCCTCAGGGAGTGCCTGGATTCATGGCAGTGGTTTTCAAACTTTTTGTCTGATTATATTTTAATAATTAAGAAGAGTCCCATTTCTCAGTAAAACCTTGCAGGTGGTCCTAATAGATAAAACAGCGAAAAGTGGAGGTGAGGGGGTGTTCTAGAGCCTGTCCTCTCATCCCACATCTGTGCCATGTCCACATCTGGCTCTCCAGTCCTGTGGAACCCACCATGAGAACAACCGATTAGCCCATCTCCTGACCTTTATAGATGGAGACATTGGGGATAGTGAAACTGAGGGAATTGTCAGAGATGTAAGAAGCCATTAGGATCAGTACTGGGGCCAGAACCCACATTTATTATGTATATGTATTTATTCTTATCTACCAGAGACATTCTGTTCTCTACATAGTGCTGTTGACAATAATGGTCTTCCAATCTGTGGCTTTTAAACACAGAATATTTAGGGCGCCTGGGTGGCTCAGTTGGTTAAGCGACTGCTTTCGGCTCAGGTCATGATCCTGGAGTCCCGGGATCGAGTCCCGCATCGGGCTCCCTGCTCGGCGGGGAGCCTGCGTCTCCCTCCGACCCTCCCCCCTCTCATGTGCTCTCTCTCTCTTTCTCTCTGTCTCAAATAAATAAATAAAATCTTTAAAAAAAAATAAATAAACACAGAATATTTAAACGTATTTGAAATACACATGTACAGTTTCTCTTTTGTCTTATAAAGTTTGAGAAAAGGCCAATGTTTTACAGTTTTAAGTCCTATTAAAATGTGAATACAACTAAGGGTAAAACTTCAAAATTCCTTGAAGTAGGATATAAATGCAGAGCACAATATGACAGAATTTCAGAGCTATATTAAAGTTAACTATGAAATATGATAATTAGTGTGGAAGGACTTTGTGGAGTATCATGTAAGGCATTATGATGAACAATAAAATAACAATTTCAGGTGACAAACATTGTAATATACCATAATTAAGATGATTTAATTTAAATACAGAGCCCTGCGAGGTCTCTATTTCAGTCATCTCTTCTATTACAAGACAAAGGTCTTATTGATCTTTCCTTTGTTAATTTCTCACAAATCCGCCCCTTTCTTTTAAATCTCATTGTATCATCCCAAGCCAGGATGACATGGAGGTCAGGGAAACTTTCATTTCTTTGTCCTTGTTTCCTAGCAAGTGTCCTGACTTTCATGGTTGCATCTCCCTGTTTGTTTATTGAGAATGTATTTTTTGAGCTCCATGCTATTTCTGGAGCCAGGCATAGGGCAGGGTAAGGTGGACTTCTTTCTTCACTCCAATCTTCTTCCCAGGCAAGCTCATCCTCAGCCTCCTGGGTGATAGGCTCCATCAGCTTCTCTTTCCAGTTTAGCCTGTCCTTTGGCTTGAAATCTGTGCACTCCGCTGGCTGCTTGTTTGATACATTCTCACGGGGGTTTCACAGACTGCTACTCCAAGTGGCTGATACTGACCTTCCTCTCCTCTGGTCCTTCTCCCAGGAAGTCCTGCCATCATCCTTTGAACTGCACAGAGAGCTTTGTCTGGAACATTTGGGCCTCCTTCAGCTCTCAAGTCTGCTCGATCTCCAAGTCTCGTTGACCCTATCTTTTAAATATTGGGGGACTGTCTCCAGTTCTTTCCCTCTCATAGACAGACATCCTAGGCCAAGCTGTCATTGTTGCTCACCTGGAAAACCCAAATAGCTTTCTGATGACCTCTCCTCCTGATTCAGCTGTCTGCCATCCATCTCACATTGCGAAACAAGAATGATGAAAACACAAACCCAACCACACTGCTTTCTACTTAGAACCTTCTATGACCTCCCCTTGCTCCTGGGAAGAAGGCCATGGTCTCTAGCCTGGCCTTCTAGGATGGGAAGAATGGCCCTGCCCACCTCCCCAGCTTCCCCTCAGGTTGCTTTTTTCCCCCTGCTCTGTTATTCCTGATCCTTGAACAGGCTGTTTTTTCTTCCCATGCGACGCCCTCTTCCTCCATCCGACTGGCACCCTCCTCCATTGTTTGGATGATGCTCCTCAGGGGAGCCATCCCGTTTCCCTTTCTCCCCACGGAGCCTGTTCCCGTGTTAGCTCTTCCTAGGACTCTGTGCTCTTTCTTCCTAGGACTAACCACAGTTTGCAGTTTATATACTTAGTTGTGTGTGTATTTGATTAATGCTCATTTGTCCTGCTCGACTAAAAAGTCCATGAGGTCAAGGACTACCTGCCTTTCATTCACAGTCTTGGCAGCTACCAGTGTCTCATGGTTGCAGTGTTGAAGAATGAGTTAGTCTGTCAAAATTCATCTTCCTTCTATAGTACAGCCGTGACTTACTTCCAGTCTTCTCTAACCAAACACAAACCTTCCCTCTTTTTTCCCCCAGATATACCACTTTTGTGTTCTGAACCTGCCTTTTTTTTTTTTTTTTTGAGAGAGAGAGAGAGAGAGAGAGAGCATGCAGTGGGGAGGGGCAGAGGGAGAGGGAGAGAGAGAATCTTAAGCAGACTCCATGCCCACTGCAGAGCCTGACCAGGGCTTGATCTTACAACCCTGAGATCATGACCTGAGCTAAAATCAAGAGTTGGATGCTTAACTGACTGAGCCACCCGGGTGCCCCTGAATATACTTTAATCATCCGTATCCTCCACACACTGTCCCCCTTAGATCAAGAATATTCTCTGCCATCTCCTTTGTTTATCTACATTCCAAAGCTTAATCACATCACATCCTTTACTCTTTCTTTGTTCACTTAGGAATGTTTAGTTTCCCACCCCCTCCTTTTGGGGACCTCCTGTATCTATAGTACATATACTTTATATCATGCACCTCAGTTTTGAAATGTTCTTAAACCTTTGATAACCTGTAATCTTTTGTGGTTATGTCTCCAGTCTAGTCTGTAAGTGTTTACTGTGCCAGTCATGGTACTGGATAAAATAATTATAAGATATGAGACATAGTTCCTTTATGCAATAAATATAAAATCTATACACCTAATATTAACCTGGAACCTGGCTTATGTTATTTTGAAAGAATACCATCTATGGGTTTTGGAAATACTTAATATACTTAGGGATTTAAGTGTTATTTATCCTTTTTGGAAAATTAGCAACAAGGTTTCTAGAACCAACCTTATTTAAGTTGTCTTCAGGATGCTGATTCTAAATTAAATTATTATCTTCAGCCACATCAGTAAGGAAATACACAATTTTGTTTGTGTTAGTATATTTCATTTAGATTATACTGAATATTTCCCAGAAAAGTATTAAATTAATGTATATTTGTATAATTAATTAATATTAATTAATTAATTTATAATTTAGGATAGACTTTAGTTTTGTTCTTAAACCAGCTTATTGAGGTATGAATGATATACAAAACACTGAACATAATTAAAATATACAACTTGACGAATTTTGAAGTAAGTATACACCCATGGGACCATCATCATAATCTATGCCATAAACATATCCATCACCTCCAAAAGTTTCCTTCTGACTTCTTTAATTATTATTGTTATTATTTTGTGATAAGAACACAACATAAGATCTCTCATAGCTAATTTTAAGTTTACAAACAGTATTGTTAGCTATAGGCATCTTGCTGTACAGTAGATTCTGTATAACTGAAACATTGTATTTTTTGACTTTTTGACTGGGAGGAGGGGAAATGTACCCCCTCCCCTTAGTCTTGGCAATCAGAGTTCTACTTTCTGCTTCTATGACTCTGACAATTTCAGATTCCTTGTATAAGTGGTGTCACATAGTATTTGCCCTTCTGTGTCTAGCTTATTTCACTTAGCATAATGCCCTCCAGGTTCATCCATGTTGCAAATGGCAGGATTTCCATCTTTTTTTTAGGCTGAATAATATTCCATTGCATGTATATCCATTTATACATCAACAAACATTTAAGTTGTTTCCATGTCTTGGCAACTGTAAATAATGCTGCAGTGAACACGGGAGCGCAGATATCTCTTTGATATAGTGGTATTATTTCCTTTGGATATGTGCTTGGAAGTGAGATTGTTGGATCATATGGTAATTCTATTTTTTATTTTATTTTTTTATTTTTATTACTATTTTTTAGATTTTATTTATTTATTTTGAGAGAGAGGGAGAGAGAGAGAGAGAGCGCACACGAGCAGGGAGAGGGGCAGAGACAGAGGGAGAGGGAGAGAGAATTTTGAGCAGACTCCATGCTGAGCACAGAGCCCCACACAGGGCTTGATCCCACAACTGTGAGATGACTTGAGCCAAAATCAGGAGTCAGATGCTTAACCGACTG